TAATAATAATAATATGGTTTATGTGGAGTGTTGGCCTCAACATTGCCTTACATGGTCTGACACTGCATCTCAGAAAACACCTGTCCTTGCAGTTAAATATTGCAGGTAAAGTAGGCTACAGGGCTTTTTTTCAGACAGAACTCACCGGAACTCAGTTCCAACATCTCTCAGGTGGGCGTCATTGCCATGATAAGAGAACAAGAGAGGCATTCATGGTGAGTTCCAGCACCTCTTTTTCTAGAAAGAGAGCGCCAGTGTGGTGTAGTGGTTAAGAGCGGTAGTCTCGTAATCTGGGGAACCGGGTTCGCGTCTCCGCTCCTCCACATGCAGCTGCTGGGTGACCTTGGGCCAGTCACACTTCTTTGAAGTCTCTCAGCCCCATTCACCCCACAGAGTGTTTGTTGTGGGGGAGGAAGGGAAAGGAGATTGTGAGCCGCTTTGAGACTCCTGAAGGGGAGTGAAAGGCGGGATATCAAATCCAAACTCTTCTTCTTCTTGTTGTAGAAAAATAGCTCTGGCTGGGGAAACTGACTTTCTGTGAAGTTTGTCTTCTGTTAATGCCCCTTTCTTTGAGATCCCTGATAAACTTCTGAGCAACCTCAACGTTCCTAGAACAGAGTTTGGAAGAAACATCCTCTTTCCATCAAAACATGTCTTGACCTTTTGTGCATATTGCAATCCGCCCTCAATCTTTTCTGGTCAAATATGTTTAGAACTTATGGAAGAGGGAAACCAAAAGAGGGGCAGGGAATCAACAGCATGAAGAACTACAATGAACAATCTGTATTTCCCAACGTGCGTCAATCGTTCTGGTCAAATAACCTAGCAACCATGTTTAGGACATACTGAGAAAAGAAAGCGTAGGAAAAATTAAAAGTAAACAGCTTGAAGGACTATAATAAACAAATCTGCTAAGGAACTTTTAGTTTACTTTCGACTAGTGCAATGTCCTATGGGGTACTGGCTGCAGAGCTAAATCTTCCCCTGACTGCAATGAATTCAGTCTCATTTGTCAACCAAATGTTGGTTTCTTTCAGAATGGTTCCTCCTGTTTGTAAGCTGCCTTCTGTTGTTAAACCCGTAACCATCTTCAACTCCAACAGAAATTTTCTCCTTTAATGGCTTTGATGTTTTTTAACCCTAGCAGTGATTAACTATACAGTGGTACCTCAGGTTAAGTACTTAATTCGTTCCGGAGGTCCATACTTAACCTGAAACTGTTCTTAACCTGAAGCACCACTTTAGCTAATGGGGCCTCCTGCTGCTGCCGCGCCGCTGGAGCACGATTTCTGTTCACAATCTGAAGCAAAGTACTTAACCCGAGGTAATATTTCTGGGTTAGCGGAGTCTGTAACCTGAAGCATATGTAACCTGAGGTACCACTGTAGATCATGTGTGTGTGTGTGTGAGAGAGAGAGAGAGAGAAAGTGTGAGAGACAGAGACAGAGAGAGACCGAATGAATTCATAACAGAAGACAGATCGGTGTGTAACATGAACAAACTGCCTTTTCTCAATGTTGAATGTACACCTGGCCATAATAATCTGAAAACCTCAGAAGGGAAAGCAAAGGAGACTGATGGCCAATTTCCATTCCCATTGCTTCTCAATATCTCTTGTTTCTAAATCAATACTGACCTTACCGGGAGGAAAGCTGTGCTGCTGCTATACAAACCATGAGGGTAACTGATACATATATTCTCCCTTCCCCAGTTAAGTAGTTTAATCTTTATATGAGAACTGGTGGATAGTCTCGTAGTAAGCATAAGGCAACATAAGGCCCATGGACCACATATGTATGTCAAGGTTTTCCCTGTATCCCTGGCCAGACCTACAGCCACACTAAGTAAGTCCAGGAGAGCAGCCTTAGTAGGCTGGATGAAGCCCACACATCTGATCTGATTTTTCTTGCTTTCAAAGTCGATGTTTTCTTCTATATTTGTACAAATTGGGACTCCTACTACTCATTGAGTATTTTTTTATATTTAAAAGTGACCTTACTTTAAGTAAAGTTGCATAGGAAGTCAACCTGAAATTAAGGAGCAATGTTTATGTACCCTTTCAACCGGGAATTTGGACCAATTCTGTTTTCTTTCCATTTCTAACGGCAACATGAATACAGAGATGGGTACCGTATAGAAAATAGGCAGACACTTCCTCTTGCAGTTCATGGCCTTTGGCCCCATTTTATTGCATCATCTCTTAGCTGTCGATGACACACCTGGTGAAGTCCAATGGACTCTGGTTCATGAAAGCTTACGCCATGGTAAATGGGTTGAGTCTTTGTAGCTGTAATCCTAAACACGCTTTACAGTGGTACCTCGGGTTAAGTACTTAATTCGTTCCAGAGGTCCGTACTTAACCTGAAACTGTTCTTAACCTGAAGCACCACTTTAGCTAATGGGGCCTCCTCCTGCCGCTGCACCGCCAGAGCACAATTTCTGTTCTCATCCTGAAGCAAAGTTCTTAACCTGAAGCACTATTTCTGGGTTAGTGGAGTCTGTAACCTGAAGCATATGTAACCTGAAGCGTATGTAACCTGAGGTACCACTGTATTATCTTCTCTTTGAACATGGGCTTCCCATAGGCACCAGCTTCCCTTCTGTGGGGAAAAAGGATGTTGGGCTCGATAGCAACTCTCTCCTTACCCTCTTTGCTGGTTGTCCTGCAACAGACCTCCATGGCTCCCTCTCCAGAATTTTTAACAAGCCAGGAAGTGGCTTAGTTTATTATCAGTGCATCAAAGTTACTTTTCACGTATGCGATGGTATAGATAAGGCATCCCCAACCTGCGGCCCTCCAGATGTTTTGGCCTACAACTCCCAAAATCCCTAGCTAACAGGACCAGTGGTCAGGGATGATGGGAATTGCAGTCCAAAACATCTGGAGGGCCGAAGGTTAGGGGTGCCTGGTGTCGGGATCTCCGCTCTGCCAAGCTGATAAAGCTCATTTTCTTCCCCCGACTCTTCGGAATCGCCTCCCAACGTGTTTAATGACCTGAGCCTTTGATAAGGCTCCAAGGCACATTCTTCAGCAGAGTTTCCAGCACAGGAAAGAGACGAGAGGTTTGGGCTACATTGTAAAGAGTTTTATTTCTAAGCTACGCAGTCAGAAAAGACATCTTCTCTCTATGGAAGCAGAGAGCAACTGAACAAAGGAACAAAGGAGCAAAGGAAGCAGGAAACCACTACGTCACATCCTGTCTCCTCTCCCGTGAGACTTCCAATAGTATGGAATCCCAGGAATGTAAACAGAGTCCTGTCACTCCAAGCAGCTGCTCAGTGGCAAAACAGAAACTAACACCTGGTATAGATCACACACAAATATACCACACACACAAAACCGTTCAGACAAGCAAGAGGCGGATTTCGGGCAGTGCGACTGCTTCCCCCGCCCTGGGTGCTGAGCCTAGGGGGGGGCGCAGGGTGCCACAACTGCAACATAGTGAATGGAGCAGAAGGGAAGGTGCCGATTGTTGGCCTCGCACAGGACGCTGCAGAAATCTGAAAGACCAAAGTCTGCCCCCAGACATGCCTACCCAGAGGCTTAGAAAGTGGACATAATTCTAATCTGTTCTAGCAATGCCTTTTTCTGGGGGTATTCAAGGGTACACAGTACCGGCACCTTCACCCCCCCCCCATGTTAAAAGTGTGGCATTTACTACAACAACCTGAAGGAGAATCTCCATCCCCATCGTCCAAGGGTATTCTGGAGGTTTCCTCACTGCGAGACGTGAACTTACAGGGAACCAGGCAAGGGGCCTTCTCGGTGGTGGCGCCCACCTCCCGTCAGATGTCAAGGAGATAATCATCTTTCTGACTTTTAGAAGACAGCCCTGTTTAGGGAAGCCTTTTAATGTGTAATGTTCCATTCTTATATATGTTGGAAGCTGGCCAGAGGGGCTGGGGCAGCCCAGTCAGATTGGTAGGGTACCAATAATAAAATGATGATGGTGATAGTGGTGAGTACCATTATCCCTCTGTTTAGGGAGGTTTTTGATGTCTGATGTTTTATCATGTTTTTAATATTCTGTTGGGAGCCGCCCAGAGTGGCTGGGGAAACCCAGCAAAATGGGCGCGGTAGAAATGATTTATTATTAGTATTAGTATTAGTATTAGTATTAGTATTAGTATTACTGGCACTTTCCCCTCTTTTTTTCCTTTTTAAAAGAACTGCGTCAGTATTTTAACTTTTGTATGTTTCCCTTCCCTCCCCCTTTTATGAAGATCCCACAGCTACCGGCAATTCTCCCCTGGTCTCCTTGCTGGCCCAAATAGGACTAATTTAGCCAGCTAGCCCTGGTGATCATCTATTGTTTATTGGATGGATTTTCCCCCTAAATTGATTTTTGAATTCTGAATTTATTGTTATTCACATTTTATACTGTATTTTATGCTGTTTTTTTTGTTGCATCAATTGTTTTAAATTTGTTGCTAGCCGCCCTGAGCCCGGTTTTCTGAACCGGGAAGGGCGGGGTATAAATAAAAATTATTTATTTATTTATTTATTTATTCTCGGTTTTGCTTTTTTATCTTTTGCAAACTACTTTGAGCTTTCTTCTTTTTAAAAAAAAGACATAAAGCAGTGTAGGTATACACGTCATGAAATAAAGAAATAAGGAAATAAGCGGTTCGGGGCATTGCATAACTGGTCCTGCGATTCAACCTGCACGCTAACTGCTGCGATTTCTTGGGGTTGCCATCTTTTTTAAAGAGCCTCCCCCAAAAGAGGACGCTGCGTTGGCCATCCAAAGCAAACAAATGCGCTTTGTCTTCGATTTCACCCCTCGGAAAAAGAGGGCGCGTCCTGGGAAAAGAGGACACATGGCAACCCTCGTCCCCCTCTCTCTCCTGGGCTTCTTTCTGCTGCGCAAGGAGGGGCCAAGAGGGCGCGGCGCCGAGAGGCAGGATCCGCCTGTTTCCTCCTCCGCCGCGCGCCCTCCGCGCCCCTCCTCTCCTCGGAGCCGTGCGCGCATCGTGTGCGCGCTTGGAGGAAGCTGCCCGGATTTGCAGCTGCCTGGCGTCTCGCGAGAGGAGGAGGAGGAGACTGCCCGACGGCCCCCCCCCCCTCTCCGCCCGGATAAATTGCCGGCGAGGCTGGGGCGCGGCTGCGGAGCCGACGGGGCGAGAGGACCAGCTGGGCGCGCTTGACGCACACGAGGCAGCCGCTACCTCTCCTCCGACAGGTGAGTCGCCTTTGCCCTTGGCCGAGAGGAGCCTAACCTGCGCGTCTTTGCAATCGGGGGTGGGGATGATGATGATGATGGGGGACGCGGACGCGCCTGGAGAGGCTGCGGGAGCCCAGGGCGCAAAGCAGCAAGCGGGTCTGCGCGCACCCTCGCCTTGCAAAGGGACCTCGAGGGGTCATCCTGTCCAACCCCGGGCTCTCTCGCCCGACGCGGGTCTCGAACCCACGACCCTGAGAGCAAAGAGTCCCACACTGCGAGCGGGTGGGTAGGTGTCCCTTTGCGCTTTCTTGCTCTGCGACTTCCTTCCTCTCCATCTTCCGTTTGGAAAGCCCCGGGAATGATGCGCAGGGGCCGTAGACAAGGCAGGGCACACCCTGTGTATGCTTACTCCGAGGTAAGCCACACACACACACGCGCGAGTTGATTGGGGCTTACTCCCAGGTAAGTGCAGTTGGCAGCCTCTTTGCCCGAGGGGGGCGGGACTACAGGGCATCTTCTTAAACCCCTTTTTTCCCGTGAGGAAAGAGCTCTCTTGAGGATGCAGGAGTGAGTGGAGAGGCTCTCCGGGACGGCAGCAAGGAAATGCAGGCGCTCCCCAAACGCCTCCGTCCCGATGCTTGGGGAGGTCTATAAATGTACTTTCACTTCTTGCTGGCGGATGCTGTGCCGTCAGTCACTGAAGTGGAGCCATAATTGGGTGGGAAACATTTCTGTCGGATAGGTCATCATCTTGGCAATGTAGGTGGGGGCAAAGGACAATCGGGAACAGAGCTGTGTGATAAATACAATGCAACGTAAGCAAACAGAACCGAGATAGAATCTGCTGCTTAAATAGGTTTGGTCCCATTGTTTGGAGGAGACCAAGCCTGTTTGTTTTCTCTCCCTCTCTGCTAAAAGCTGCGTTCATCTGTGTAACATGCAAGCTGCCTCAAAGCCTCTAAATTATCCCATACTTGAAGGGGCCGAGAGGCAAAATTTGCAGCTGTTTCACAGGGTTCTCTGTAGGAGAGGTTTAGTTTGGTTGCTTTTATTTACACTGCGTGAAATATTGTAGTTGGGTTACAAAAAACTGTTGTGGGTGAGTGAGCATTTTTTAATTTGAAAAAGCTCCCTGTGATTTTTGGAATTCATTGTCTGTTGTCTGTAATAACTGTTTAACCAATGCATCACCTGTACTGTACTATATCTTAAAAAAAACCTGGGTTTTGAGTGCTTGGTGGTCCTTCAAGTATTGCACCGAGACTTAAAATGGGAAGCTTAAATGCCCCTAGCATGGTGTGCTCTTTCCCTTTTGCTACCTTTCGTATGAAAAGGAATCCTGCCTGATATTGATCAATTTAAGAGAGGCATTAAGGTTTTTTGTTTTTAAGTTGCTTTGTAATCATTTCTGCAGCAGGATAAAGTTTCACGAGAACTGAAATGGAAACACGTCCTGTCATTTCTGTGTTACAGAAACTCTTTAATAGTGCATACACAAAACGTTTCAAACACACCCATTCAAACCCCCCCCCCACTCCTAGAACTGTAGTTTATGCCTGTATTTCTGGCACCCTTAAATTATAGTTCAAAGGATTCCTTTCACGGAGAGGAGAGAGAATGTGCTTTAAATGTACAATGTGTCCTTGGCTGAGAACAGATTTCTGAATCCTGTTTGGTTTTGACCACAGCCTGCACCAGCCATAGCTCATAATCATGGGATGATAAGAGTCACGGTCAAAATATCTGGAGGGCACGAACTCAAGGATGGCTGAGTGAGAGGAATATTCCAGAGCAACTCTGTCCTTAATAGACTAATTATGTGTTTTCATAATACAGATGGCAGTTCTGTTTGCAGAGGGAGAGTCTCACAACCAGCAGTGGAAGAAGGGGCAATTGCAACGTGTTAAGCACTTTATTGCTACAGAGGGAACAAACAGTCTCCCTTGTTCCATTTAACACAACTTTGACAGTGGATCCACATTTGATAACTGTGGATTCAACTTGGCTTTTCTTCACTCATTCTTGTAACCAGAGTTTGATGCAGAGCTTTCCAAACTCTCCATGTTGGCGGCACACTTTTTAGACATGCATCATTTTGCGACACAGTAATTCAGTTTTAGTAGCAAACCGGAGGTTAAATTAACCCCCTTTCCACACACCGACACACTGCAGTGGACATGTCGTGACACACACAGTCTGGAAAGCTCTGGTTTAATGTCTACTCTGAAGGCACTGTTGTTTGTTTAGTAACTTAGTAAAGAATACTAGAATACAATGCTCGGCTTCCACTTTTCAAATCCCAATTTAAACTCTTTATTTCCCTAACTTGTCGCTACTACGTTTTGGCTTGGAAAGTGAGGCGAATTTTTGGACACAAGAAAAGCCAAGTGTTCCCAAGGTTGTATACAAATTGGCTTTGCCAAAGCAACCCAGAACTTGTCTCTGCTCAGTTCAAGCATTACTGAATAAACTAGTGAATTATAATTTAGAAATAACAGAAGATATCCAAAATAGTCATGCTTTAAATACGCCCATTGAAATTGATACTTAGTACATCAAGTTGCTTAAGCCTATTGATTTTAGCAGGACTCACTGGATATTGCCCACAAATTTTATTGGCTAGTCATATTTGTCCGGAAAGAAAATGCTTTCAGATTTGAAGTTTCAACCTTCCATATTGCATAAATGGAAAGTGTTTGAATAACGGAACAAGCTGAGCATATCTTAGCGGCTGCAACTTGTCAAAAGGTTAGGTTTTGTTTCAAGCCTTGCATTTAACTTGTGCTTTCTCTCCCCTCCCCCAGACTCTATAAAGCATTCAAGGCCCAAACATGGCGGAAGAGAGGACTGATTCACAGCAGGTATGTTTGCATGCACCAAAAATGTTCCTGACGATTTATTCCAGAAGAAATGTGAGCTAACTGTCCTGTCTTCTGCATAAACAGAATGTGGTCGCCAGGGTTGCCAACCTTCCCCTGGTGAGCTCCACCTATGACATGGTCTCCTCAGCTTACGTCACCACGAAGGACAACCATCCCTACCTGAAGTCTGTATGCGAGATGGCGGAAAAGGGCGTAAAGACCATTACTGCAGTAGCCATGACTGGTGCTCTGCCTATCATCCAAAAGCTGGAGCCACAAAGTAAGCCCCGACTCTTGGAAACACTTTTCAGCTTGCAAAATTCTTCCAGAGGAAAAAAAAAAAAGACCAGGTTTATTAGCAACAATAAACAGGTTCCCAAGCAGAAATGACAGCCTGGGAATACAAGTTGGTATTCGTTTGGAAATGGCTGTCGTTTCATAGGCTGTGCGTTCAGATGTGTAGACAGCATGGTAAGGTCCAAAGTCATCTGTGATCCCTCTAGTGGAGTTTGATGGGAACAGTCAGGATCCAGTGATCCTCAGGCATGCACCTCCAAGTGGTGGAGCTGTCAGGGCTCCATCCTGGCTCCCAGGCACCTTCACGTGGTTGCAAGGGACCAATAGCCAAGTGCTAAATGAGCCTGGCATCAGGCGAATTTTGAACACTGCCACCGAGTATAATAATCTCATGCAGTGTTCGAAACTCCCATTTTTCTTGGTGCATTTTGCGACAGGGAATTTCATTAGTGTGAAGAAGAAGAAGAATTTGGATTTGATATCCCGCTTTATCACTACCCAAAGGAGTCTCAAAGCGGCTAACGTTCTGCTTTCCCTTCCTCCCCCACAACAAACACTCTGTGAGGTGAGTGGGGCTGAGAGACTTCAAAGAAGTGTGACTAGCCCAAGGTCACCCAGCAGCTGCATGTGGAGGAGCGGGGAAGCGAACCCAGTTCACCAGATTACGAGACTACCGCTCTTAACCACTTTTCTGGGCGCAGTGCAGTGGTACCTTGAGTTACAAACGCCTCAGGTTACAAACGCTTCAGGTTACAATCTCAGCTAACCTGGAAGGGTTACCTCGAGTTGAGAACTTTGCCCCAGGATGAGAACGGAAATCATGTGCCGGCGTTGCAGCGGCAGCAAGAGGCCCCATTAGCAAAAGCACGCCTCTAGTTAAGAACAGTTTCAGGTTAAGAACGGACCTCTGGAACAAATTAAGTTCAGAACTAGAGGTACCGTTGTACTGTGCCTAAGTTATCAGATTAAAACTGCAGAGCGGAAGGAAGGGAAGATCTCTTTCTGCCTCGCCACTTCTAGCTACTCTCTGAAGACTGGAGAAGAGACCCTCTTAAGAACATTAGGGGGTTGGCAGGGGAAGGACTAGACCATATGAAAAATGAACATAATATTTTAGCTGCAGTTCATTCATTTTCAGCTTTGTATTCTTGTTATTAAAAAAGCGCACCTAGACATTCCGTTCTTGTGCTCATATCCTAAGTTTAAGGTGCCATTTAGCTCCTAGTTTTCATATCTCAGCTTCTAACACTGACCTCAGGATGGTTATTCAACCACTTGTGTGCTGCTTAATTTCGCCAGTGGTCAGGGATGATGGAAATTGCAGCCCAGTGACATATTCAGTTGTCAGCTTGCAAAATGCTCTGCTCAGAAGCCTTGCTGCTTTTGTAGAATGCCTAAAATGTTTTCACCACGGGGAGAGTATTTTGTTTGGCTTAGTGGAAGCACACTCCCTACAAAGAACTGTAAAGGCCTGCCTTAAATAACAGCTCATTGCGAGGCTACTAATATCTTTGCATAACGTTTATGGGCCGCTGTGGCTATAAAGAAGCTTTCTGGACGAATTGGGTGCGAAGTCAAATAAGATTGTGACTTGTAAGATGCACAATGAGTCAAAAAAATCCTCCTGGCTCCAGTTTCTCACCCTTCACCCACTTCTAAGTTCTGCCTCAGCTTCCCCTTTCGCCTACTTTCTCAATGTCTCACAGTTTAGAAACTTGGCACTTTGCGTTTTGCACTCCCGTGCTTGAGTGTGTCAGCTTGTTCACGGAAACCTATTCTTGCAAAGTGGCAGAGGGCCAGGAGACCCTCTTTTATCGCTTTCTGAGGGAGCTCTGAACTTGCTAATGAGTCATTCATGATGAACTTCGTCCTTAACATGATACGTCAGAATGCTTCCTGTTTCCCAGCAGTTGAAAGAAATAAACAGCTTCTGATTAACTTCTTAAAATTGCAAAAGCTGGCCTAACAGTCCTTTAATGTTTCCAGTTGCAGTTGCCAACAGCTATGCTTGCATAGGACTTGACAAAGTCGAGGAGAGGCTGCCAATACTTTATCAACCAACTGATAAGGTAAACTATTTAGAAGGATTTTAATGTGGCTTTTTCTCTCTCGTTGGTTCGAAGCAGAGTTACACATGAACTGGAAAAAAGGTGCCAACTATAACAGGGTGCATTGGGGAGCGGGGGGGGGGACTTCATCGCAGGAAACAAATGAAGTAGCCCCGAGGCACACAAGATGGTACGACTTACTTGGGATACCTGCCCAGTGTTTAATCTACAAACGCAAAAGTTCCCTGCTTTATATATCTGTTGGGTTCAAAGCCCTCTCCTGCAGGGCTTTCTCATTCACTTCTTTGAAGGAAAAGGTCTCGCATATCTATAGGCTGCTCACTGGACACTTAGGGTGGTATCCAGTGCTAGTCCTACTCAGAGTAGACTCACTGAAATGAAGGGACTTAAGTTAGTCATTGCCATTAATTTTAGTGGGTCTACAGAGTAGAACTGACCAGTGGTGTTGCGTCCTTTGCTGGTGCCGAGGGCACTGCTCTGCTTGCCCCTCCAAATCATTTGCCCAGGGCTATGCCTGCCCCCCGGCCCTCTCCACGCTACGACCCTGGGACTTCCATTATTATTACTTACTACTTATTTATTGAATTTATATACCGCCCTATACCTGGAGGTATCGGGGCGGTTCACAGAACAAAACCAAAATATAAAACCACAAAATATATCATCAAAATAAAAACAATACCCCCTGTGCAAAAAAAAAACACACCAGACATTTTAAAAGGGCATCAGGTGTCAATCAAATCAACCAAAGGCCTGGTTAAAAAGGAACATTTTCGCCTGGCACTTAAAGGTGTGTCATGAAGGCACCAAGCAAACTTCCCTGGGGAGAGCATTTCACAGACAGGGAGCCACTGCAGAGAAGGCCCCGCTCTCGTGTTGCCACCCTCCAGACCTCTCGAGGAGGAGGCGCACGAAGGAGGTCCTCCCCCATGTGGCATTCTGTTTTGTTAAGTAAAAGCCCAGTGTTACAGCTCCTTTGAAGACTCTAGGCATTGGGGACACACTCCTCCGAAGTCTGCATGGCGTACACAGAGTGATCCAGAATCTAAGCTGGTTGCATTGTCGGAACTCAGGTTTATGTTTGTTCTCCCCGCCCCCCAAAAAACCAAAAACAGCGAGCAGGAAGCAAGCTTTTTTATTGGCTTACTGATCTTGGTTTTTTGGGAAACCATCAGGTTATGCAATGGGCAAGATTCTGTCTTGTTTTATGCTTGGTGGGGGGCTATGGAAACTCATGAACTTGCGAGTGTGTGCCAGCACACCGCTCGTTCGTAATAAAACTGTATTTTTAAACTCTGGCTTAATGTGATGGGCAAACTGGGCCCATGTGCTTTATACTGAATGAGTTGTGTCACTCCTTGCGTCTTGCGTTCAGCTAGCAGTGAAGAATCTGCAACCACTTTTTCTAGGTTGTCGCTAATGCAATGGATGTGGTTGTCGGTGCGAGGGATGTCGTCGCAACTACCGTGACTGGTGCCAAGGATACTGTTGCACAAACCATTAATGGAGTTGTTGACAAGACAAAAGGAGCCGTCCAGGACAGTGTGGAGTTGACCCGGTCAGTGGTCAGTGGCAGCATTAACACCGTTCTGGAAAGCCGGGTGCTGCGTCTGGTGACCAGTGGGGTGGACACTGCACTCAGCAGATCAGAGACCCTTGTAGACCAGTATCTCCCACTGACGGAAGAAGAACTAGGTAAGTTCGCCTAGAACAGTGGTTCTCAACCTGTGGGTCCCCAAATGTTGTTGGACTACAACTCCCATCATCCCTGAGCTCTGGCCTTGCTATCTAGGGGTGATGGGAGTTGTAGTCCAACAACATCTGGGGACCCACAGGTTGAGAAAGGCTGTCCTAGAATATGGGTAGGCAAACTAAGGCCCGGGGGTTGGATCCGGCCCAGTCGTCTTCTAAATCTGGCCCGCGGACAATCCAGGAATTTTTACATGAGTAGAATGTGTCCTTTTATTTAAAATGCATCTCTGGGTTATTTGTGGGGCATAGGAATTCGTTCAGTTTTCCCCAAAAAATATAGTCTGGCCCCCCACAAGGTCTGAGGGACAGTAGACCAGCCCCCTGCTGAGAAAAGTTTGCTGACCCGTGTCCTAGAAGGTCCAGTCCGCCAGGTTACATACCCTGTTATGAAGATCATGCTATTTTTCATAAATAAAAACGAGGGGGAAATACATTTGCCAAAGTTCATTGGTTATGAAGCCAATGAAATGTGATGCTATCGTGTATTACCGTATTTTTCGCTCTACAAGAAGCACCAGACCATAAGACGCACCTAGTTTTTGGAGGAGGAAAACAAGAAAGAAATATTCTGAATCCCAGAAGCCAGAACAGCAAGAGGGATCACTGCGCAGCGAAAGCAGCGATCCCTCTTGCTGTTCTGGCTTCTGGGATAGCTGCGCAGCCTGCATTCGCTCCATAAGACGCACACACATTTCCCCTTACTTTTTAGGAGGGAAAAAGTGAGTCTTATAGAGCAGAAAATACGGTATTTTTCAAGAACAAGGAAAACATAGTTTGTGGGTAGAACTGGGCCACTTGATGTTCATTTGACCATGCGGTTGGTTTACGACTGCAAACTTTGTAACATGGCGTAAGATCAGTCAGCCCAACACACTCAATCGTGGTGGCTCTCTAGGTTTGACAGAAGACTTCACATTCAAAGCTCTTCCCTGGGAAAGTCGCCAGCTCTCACCTTGAACGTTTCACCATCAGACCAAAAACACCTTGCAAAGTTGCCTTGGGAGAATTTGTCTCTCTTGGTTATAGGCAACAGACTCTCAAGAAGCGAGCGAGAAAGATAGGATGCGGTTGTTAACTTTCCTAATTGCAAGCTTGACGGCGTTAACTTGCCACGGTTACAGTTGGAATGGTTTGCTCTTTTGATTCTGCAGAGAAAGAAGCTACGAAAATGGAAGGATTTGAAGTTGGAGTTCAGAAGCCAAGTTACTACGTTAGATTAGGGTCTTTGTCTTCAAAGGTCCGATCCCGTGCCTACCAGCAGGCCTTAATCAAGGTTCGAGATGCTAAGCTCAGAAGCCAAGAGACAATCTCTCAACTTAACTCCACTGTCAGTCTGGTAAGTGAGTTCTGGGCTCTAACTTCAGATTTTCGCAAAGGGTTTCAGTCCACCTTTGGGACTCACATGTATCGGTGGATGGCAGTCTACTCTATCTTTTTAATAATATTTTAATCCTGTGTTCTTTACCTGTGAGTTGGCCTCGAGTTTTAAAGTTTGCAAGGCTAGCATTAAGGTAATACACAGCTCAGCGTTTTACTAGGCAGCCTTCATACATCCATGGACACAATAAGAATATTTTCTTAACATCAAATTGTTGAAACAATAGGTCTAAAAAACACTATAGTGGCATTTGATGGGCTCTTAGGGCAGGGTACTCTGAAGGGGAAAATGTTAGGCTTTATTTAAACAAATAAAGAATTCTTCAAAATGATATGTAGTGTGCCAGCAACTGCAGCAAAGGAAAGGAAAGGAATTGGTGAAAACAGAGGGTCTATTGGGCAAGAATACACAGTTGCATTTTGGGGCCCAAGTAGATATCTTTTATTCATACGAGATCCATATACAGTGGTACCTCGGGTTACATATGCTTCAGGTTACAGACTCCGCTAACCCAGAAATAGTTCTTCAGGTTAAGAACTTTCCTTCAGGATGAGAACAGAAATCGGGCTCCGGCAGTGCGGCGGCAGCAGGAGGCCCCATTAGCTAAAGTGGTGTTTCAGGTTAAGAACAGTTTCAGGTTAAGAACAGACCTCCAGAACGAATTAAGTACTTAACCCGAGGTACCACTGTAGCACTGTGAAATTCCAACTTCCTAATTCTTTTTCAGAGGGTTTGTTGGAGGGTTTAACAATCCCCGGTGGAGTTTTAAAAGGAGATATCAGAGCCGACCTTGTACAAACATGTTTGATAACTGAATGAATAAAAAAATTAAAAAATTGTCCAGTAGCACCTTTGAGACCAACTAAGTTTGCTACTGGACAGTTTTTTAGTCTATTTATTTCGACTGCCGTCAGACCAACACGGCTACCTACCTGAATCTTGTTTGATAACAGTTGGCAGAACAAAGATTGCTTTAGCTGCGAAAGCACTCCCAAGAATGATCTGAGTTTCCTGTATCCTGGGAGAAAGATTCGCAGAAATCAGTGGCTACTCCTGAGTAGACATGTGCAGGATTGCACCGTTGAAGAGTACTTCCCAAAAGTTGAATGTGCAAGTCTTTTGTATTCCAGATTGAATATGCCAGAAAGAATATGAATAGTGCCAACCAGAAACTCCAAGATGCCCAACAAAAGCTGTATAATTCCTGGGTAGAATGGAGGAAAAACACAGGCCAAAATGAGGAAGATGACTCCCGCAGTGCTGAGGTGGGTTGCTGAGTGAGCATTGGGCAGATGTGTGTCAGGTTAATACTGTATTTTTCTCTCTATACGAAACACCAGACCACAAGACGCACCTAGTTTTTGGAGGAGGGAAACAAGGAAAAAAAATATTCTGAATCTCAGGAGCCAGAACAGCAAGAGGGATCGCTGCGCAGTGAAAGCAATCCCTCTTGCTGTTCTGGCTTCTGGGATAGCTGTGCAGCCTGCATTCGCTCCATAAGACGCACACACATTTCCCCTTACTTTTTAGGAGGGAAAAAGTGAGTCTTATACAGCAAAAAATACGGTATTCTGCAGCCTTATAAATATGTTTGCAGGAAGAGGGCTCACTGTTTGGTTGTTTTTGTTTTAACTATTTACTTGTGTTTTTTTATTGTATTCAATTTTATTAATATTACCAGTTAAAGTAAAAAAAAGGAAATAAAATACATAAACCATTTTAAAAGGTAGAGGAAAACAACACTATGACAGCAAAATATAATTAAGATCACAGAACTATATAACACATGTGCAAATGACTGAACTTACAGTTTCTCTCAAATATACATGGATTCATGGGTTGGTATGGTTTCGATAGGGACACGGGTGGCGCTGTGGGTAAAACCTCAGCACCTAGGGCTTGCCGATTGCATGATCGGCGGTTCGAATCCCCACGGCGGGGTGAGCTGCTGTCTTTCGGTCCCAGCTCCTGCCCACCTAGCAGTTCGAAAGCACCCTTAAGTGCAAGTAGATAAATAGGTACCGCTTTATAGCGGGAAGGTAAACGGTGTTTCCGTGTGCTGCACTGGCGCCGGCTCGCCAGAGCAGCTTCGTCACGCTGTCCATGTGACCCGGAAGTGTCTCCGGACAGCGCTGGGCCCTGGCCTCTTAAGTGAGATGGGCGCACAACCCTAGAGTCGGACACGACTGGCCCGTACGGGCAGGGGTACCTTTACCTTTACATATGGTTTCGATAAATGCACTCCAAATATTTAATTTGTCCATACATAATGTTTGTCTGAAGGCGATCCATTCATGAGTTGCAATGCCATCTGTCCATTGATTGAAAGGCTATGTTTTTGTCCTCCTAATGTATTAGTATCATATATATTTTTGCAGATATAAAGGGCAAGGTTGCACCCAAAACAATTTCCTTGCCCAGTTGCTGCAGCAGTCTACAGCTGGCCATGCTGAAAGTTCTTTATCAAGGTTAAGAGTATTAACCTTTTGACCCAAATAATTACAGCAGTGATAAGGCTGCTGTCCAGGACTCAAGCGAAGGCTTAAACTTAGCTCTTGCTACTACTGGGTATTAGCTGCTTGTCTTGTTTCAGCCACAGTGGAAATACAGGAAGCTTGTAAAGAAAAGGGAAAAGATGTGAATGAGTAAGGTGGCTTCTCTCAGCACACTCTTTCCCACGCCTACAAAATCTTTGTAGCAAGCATGGGGGTAAAGCTATCTGGCAAATAGGATATAACTGAAGAACCACTTGACAGATCTGTTACTGGTGGGAGGCCAGGAGAGAGAAATGCTTTTCGCTTTCCAGGTCAAGGGGTCTGATTAGGTTGCAAGTCCCAGCCAAAGTTAGGATCCCTTGGATGCGGAGAAACATTGGTCAGTGCGTATGAGCATTCATTTGGGTCTTATGGCAGTGTCTCAGCCAGTGTGAGAAACTCAGATATATAAGTTTAAGTGCCAAATGGCTCCTTAAACCAGGGCTAGTCACCAAATCAGAATGCCTAGTAGCCCTTTTGGGGGCCAGGCGGTTCGAAAGCCGTATTTTTCAATTCCTGAAATTCATTCTGATTGGGCAGTGAAAATGTAACAAAATTATACAGGATGCATTGTGAAAACAGCCAAGATCCATGGTTCCCCAGGTATGCACCTCCAAATGGTGGAGACATCAGGCACCATCTTGGCACCTGGGCATCTTCACTTGGTCGTGAGTGGCCGATAGCCAGGTGCCAAATGGGCCTGGCAAATTTTGAGCACAGGTCCCAGCTTCATTCCATACTTCAGTTGTACCTTGGAAGTTGAATGGAATCTGTTCCAGAAGCCCGTTCGATTTACAAAACGTTCAGAAACCGAATCGCGGGTTCTGATTGGCTGCAGGAAGGTCCTGCAGCCAATTGGAAGTCACATCGGACATTCGGGTTCCAAAGAACATTTGCAAACCAGAACACTCACTTCTGGGTTTGCGACGTTTGGGAGCCAAAACGTCTGAGTACCAAGGCATTTGGGATCCACGGTATGACTGTACCCCCACATTGGAAGTTCAAGTTATTGTTGTCTAGGGTGGCGGCCCCGGCTGTAGAATACAGTCATACCTCAGGTTAAATATGCTTCAGGTTGAGCGCTTTCGGGTTGCGCTCCACGGTGACCCCGAAGTAATGGAACACGTTACTTCCAGGTTTCGCCGCTCGCGCATGCGCAGACAGTCAAAATGACATCACACGCATTCGCGTAAGCGGCGAATCGCGGCACGCGCAGATGCAGGTTGCGTTCACTTCAGGATGCGAATGGGGATCCGGAACAGATCTGGTTCATATCCAGAGGTATCACTGTATTGTGTTGGGTTGAAATAATGACAGACGAGTAGCAAGTGTCATGTGAGAGGCATCTCTCGAGCAAGTCCCGAGAAGACTCTTTTATTGAATATTACAACATTGCCACAGGTGCGCTCGTTGCTGATTGGTTGACACAAGTACAAAGCAAAGGTTACATATAGGCATTAATCACCAATAGATTAAAGGCTGGGAAAGGGAGCACAGAACTAGACAGGCATGAAACCTCCTAATTAAATTATAACTAGTGATTGATCGTAACAAGACTTGAAAGAACATAACAATCGCAGTCCGTAGATGTGGCCAACAATGTGTTAAGAACAGGTCAAGGTACACTGTTTCATGAACTCAATGGGAACTGATCAGAACGTTCTCAGACTCATGTGCAGAAGCAAACACTTCCCAGCAGTATTGGGGTTATTTTAAGCTAACAGAATAACATGGAGCCCGTTTCCAATGTCTATGTGTTTTGCTTTTGTTTCCAGTACATTGAATCACGCACACTAACGATTGCACGGAACCTGACCCAGCAGCTTCAAACCACCTGCGTCACCCTGGTGTCGAGTATACAGGGTTTGCCCCAGAATATCCAAGGCCAGGTTCACCATGTGGGGGAAATGGCGGGCGAGGTCTACCGGAACTTCCGCTCAGCGTCTTCCTTCCAGGAAGTGTCCGACAACCTCATCACCACCAGCAAAGGGCAGCTGAAGAAAATGAAGGAATCGCTGGACGACGTGATGGATTACCTGGTGAACAACACGCCCCTCAACTGGCTGGTAGGTCCCTTTTACCCGCAATTGGCTGGCTCTGAGAATACTGGGCACAGAGGTGACGGGGAGAAAAAGACCAGCCAGGAGGACAAACAGCCTGAACGCAACACAGAATAAATGGCGGCGTGACAAAACGTACACACACACACACGCCGCGTAGCTTGACTGACAAGGTGGCCGAGCTGTGGTAGCTGCAGTGTAACCTGCTGGGGGGCAGGGGGGAGAAATTTAATTCCTGCTGTGCTTTCTCTGACAAAAAAAAGCAAAAAAAGATTTCTGCGCTTCCAAGTTGAGTTCCCAGTGTTTGGGTTCGAAGTTGTGAAAGATGCAAAGTGCCTTAAAAGACTTCTGAGCCTCAGCAGATTGCATTGGAGAAAACCCCTTGTTTAGCTACCTATATATTACAAAGCTCCATCTTGTCTCTCAGTTAAAGTGGCCTTTAAAAGGAGCTTACTGCTATTCTGTTAATATACGCAGGGGCGGGGAAAAAACAAAGCAACCCCCTTTATTGAAAATCTGTAAAGCTTCTGGCAGCATAATTACATTTTCTTATTCAGCTTTCGTTTGAAAACTGCACACTGTACCCTTGTATACTTATCATTCCTTCCATTTGCCTTAAAGCAATTTGTTCTAGGACCTAAAAAAAGAGAAAAAGCCTTGATAAGCTTTTTCCACTCCTTGCGTGGAGTTGGACTAGACTTGCCAGAGTAACTTGTCTGTTGCGACAGCTCACCTTCGTCCTTCATTTCTAAATATGAGACGTTGTACTACTCAGTAACTCCACTTAAGCTACTATTGAGCACTGTGCGCTAAACGAGATTCATGCTGTTTGTACATGGGTGTTTTTAGCCTGTCTTTTTGTAGTGCCTTGCCTTGTAATTTCACATGTATGCTTAGTAATAAATGCTTCAGCAGCCGGAGTCTGGTGTCTCTTGGATTGTGTAAAGAGTATTGAGGATGAGAAACAAACGTTGTGACTCAATTACCGTTGAGCTGTGGGTCTGTTTAAAATGGGTTGAATGCAAATTGCTGAATCAGCACCAAGCATTACATGTAAACAGATGGTCCAGGTGTTGCTGCTGTATTTATTTCCTTCCTACGACTCCTCATCCAGCTCTCTGGATACTTGCAGTTTCTTAAGCTTCTACCATGCCAGCTTTTGCTTGTAGCTTGCTTTTCTGGGTCGGGGCTCTTGAATCGGTGGGTTGTGGCTTGAATCGGTAGGTTGTTATGATGTATACTATGCCAAAGGAGGCCAAACCACCTGTCTCTCGTAGCACAGACATTCCACGGTCTTGATGGCCCGTCAGATTTTACAAAAGGTCCTAGGAAGCTGAACCACAACAAACTGTAGAGAACACCTGCAAATGATCTGGAGATATTTCTGGTTCCTCCTGCTCTGCTTGTTCTTGCACTTGATGCTTAAACTCAAACAAAAATAAGTTTGCTCTGCTGTCCAGGTATCCTGCTGCGCTAACAGTTACATGACAAAGTACACACAGGTCAATATGTTAATACTTTTGTCCCCGCAGGGAAAACATTTAGCGCACGGGATGCCCTGAGACTTCCACCTGTGTAGAATCAGCACCGATGAGGACTTGAGCGTTCTGCCAACGTTGCTGGGGTAGAATTAAGCAGCAGGCCCACTCAAATCACAATTCATTGCCAATAATTCCCCTAGTCTAAAAGTGCCCTTTAAAAAAATGGCTTTAAAATTGAACCATGCCAACTGTCATGTGATCTATAATGCATGCTTTGTTGTGGTTTCTTTGAACACAGTTTTTGGTTGGTGTTGCCTAGTTGCATTGGCAGAAGAATGTGAACATTTTGTTGCACTGGCGGGTGGGTGGGTGGGATTCACCTAACTAGTCCTGTTAGCTGAAGCCCTGCTCAAGGACTTCTGCTTGTGCAATGGGGCTTCCCCTCCTCTCCAACCCCTATGCCCCTCTGCCCCCCCAGAATAGCATGCAAGGGGAGCAGAGGAGAGATTGTTTCATCTGGCAAACTGAAATGCTTGTGCAGATGGTGCCATCGACACAGCAGAGTGTTGAATTTCTCCCCAGTTGTTTATCCTGGTCCAACTGCCCTGGCTGCCGATTGGTTTCCAAGCCCAATTCAAAGTGCTGGTTTTGACCTATAAAGCCTTAAAAGGCTCAGGACCTCAAGGACCGCCTCTTGCCATATGAACCTACCCAGACCCTGAGATCATATTCTGAGGCCCTCCTTTGTGTGCCTCCTCCTCAAGAGGTTCGGAGGGTGGCAACAGGAGAACGGGGCCTTCTCTGCAGTGGCTCCCCGTCTGTGGAATGCTCTCCCCAGGGAGATTCGCCTGGTGCCTTCATTATATACCTTCAGGCGCCAGGCGAAAACTTCCCTCTTTAACCAGACCTTTGGCTGATTGACATACAATGCCCTTTTAAAATGTGTTGTGCAGGGAGCAGGAATAATTAGGTTGTTACTGCTTTTATTTTTATTATGTATTTTTGTGTTTTTTATATTGTGATTTTTTTGTCCTGAGCTGCCCTGAGACCTGCGGGTAAAGGGTGGTAAACAAATTTGAATAATAATAACCACCACCTTGGCTTACTAAGGACAAGCAACAATTCATGTATGGACTCGTTTTAGCCGTGCAATTAATCTGTGGTTTAAAGATCATGGATAGGCTGTGGGATCTCTCACACCCATGGATATTCTCCTTCCCTTCAGGCTGTGGAATTTTCCCTCTATACAATTCTAGTGTTGCATAAGCATTGTTCATCTGCATTAAAACCAATTGCATGTGCTTCTAATAATAATATTTTTTTATTTGTATCCCGCCCTCCCCGGCTGAGGCTGGGCTCAGGGCGGCTAACATCATAAAAACAACACAATAAGCATAAAAACAGACATCAATTAATTAATATACATCTTAAAATTAATTCAGACAAGTTAAAATCCAGGCAGGTGGCAATTAGGTAAGGTAAAGGACCCCTGACCGTTAAGTCCAGTCGCCGATGACTCTGGGGTTGCAGCGCTCATCTTGCTTTATTGGCCGAGGGAGCCAGTTTACAGCTTCTGGGTCATGTGGCCAGCATGACTAAGCCACTTCTGGTGAACCAGAGCAGCGCACGGAAACGCCGTTTACCTTCCCGCCGGAGCGGTACCTATTTATCTACTTGCACTTTGACGTGCTTTCGAACTGCTAGGTGGGCAGGAGCAGGGACCGAGCAACGGGAGCTCACCCTGTTGTGGGGATTCAAACCGCTGACCTTCTGATCGGCAAGTCCTAGGCTCTGTGGTTTAACCCACAGCACCACCTGCATCCCCAGGTGGCAATTATTATGGTGCAATTGAGAGTGGTTAATGATTGCCAGGACCAACTGTTTCCATTGAACATACAAGGACCTGTGAATGGGTTGGGGGTCTCCTTCAGGCTTGTTTTACACAAAGGAAAGTAAGCTCACATGCAATTTGACTGGGGCTGATGAGTCCCACAAAAACCTGGGAGGGTCCCACATTTTCTACCCCTGCTTTAAAGATATGACATGAAGATAATTATTAGTTTTCTGCACAGGTGAATAACATGTTACATAGCAACAGAAGAACCAGGGCACTTGCATTTTGCCGTTGCTTGGTACATATGTATATGTTCCACTAGCATTCAGGACAAACATAAGTACAATCCTATTCACGGCAATAGCTCAATCTTCTTTGCAAGCAGAACGTCACAAACTCAATGCCATGCAACTCCAGTGTTGGAAATTCGCCAGGCACATTTTGCACCTCTGGCTATTGGCCGCTTGTAACCAAATGAAGGTGCCTGACATCTCCACCATCTGGAGGTGCATGCCTGGGGATCTGGACTGTTTTCACACACTAGCAACACATCCTGTAGAATTCTACCCCTTATATTTTATCTGCAAAGTCAGGATGAATTTCAGGAAACCAAAATGCTGCATCTGTGCAGCCTGAGCAGGAGCCGAGAACGACGTTATAGTGAATTGTTGTCGCTTGTCTTCGCTTCTCCCGCCCCAATGCCCTGCTCACAGTTGCGAAGAATAGCACTACGTTATGAATGGCCCGTGTCACCATTAAGAAAAAGAGGTCGGAATAGGCCAATATATATATGTGGACTGTCCCTGAATCAAGTGACTTTTCTTCTTTTAAGTTCTCAAAACTCTTAACTTAGCTCAAGGTAGTCCTCTGAACTAGCCAGATGTTGAACTGAGAATCAGTCACAGTCAGTCCATCCTTTGAAAAACAAGACTTTAGCCCCGTCTTGCCCCAAAATAGCAACTAGACATTCTGTTTGGGAGACTGCAACCTTGGTTTTAAGAAACCCTTTGGTGCCTAGCATATATATCTGAGTTTCGAACACTCTGCAGCTCTAGGTAGGGCAATTGCCCGCCTGTGTTGACAAAATGGAACTAGATTTTTCTCCCTTGGTGTAAGATGAAGCCTCATGTTCCTACTTAGAGGTTTTGATGTTCAGTGGTGCTTATGCCCTGGAAAGTGTGTGTAGGATTGTAGCCTTATCTGCGTAAGGTGCTCAAAACAGGTTACGGAAGAGTAGGCAACTTGACCTCGAATCCAGTCTGCTGCTGAAATAGGTACAGCACGGCTAGGACAGAAAACTCCCTGCTGCCTTATTCTGAGAGCTTCAAAGCAAATGGTAGCAAGAAGACCAGCATAGCAGCAGACATAGTCAGCATAGTACTTTTGTGTCCACAGTGTTAAAATTAATAGGAAGCTGATCCTGCCTATGCTTACTCTGAAGTTCCACTAATTACAGTGGCGCTTACTCCCAAGGGATCACAGAGGCATTGCCACTTTAGGCCTGAATGAGCCCATTGACTTTAATTATTTTGAAACTAATTCATTCTGAATCGAATTATTTCTGGTTTGCATGAGTCAGTTTACCCTAACTATCCTGCGGGCGTAAACCACTGAGCCTCTTGGGCTTGCCGATCGTAAGGCTGGCGGTTCGAATCCTTGTGATGGGGTGAGCTCCCGTTGCTCTGTCCCAGCTGCTGCCCACCTAGCAGTTCGAAAGCACACCAGTGAAAGTAAATAAATAGGTACCACTGCAGCGGGAAGGTAAATGGCGTTTCTGTGTGCTATGGTTTCCGTCACGGTGTCCCATTGTGCCAGAAGCGGTTTAGTCCTGCTGGCCACATGACCCGGAAAGCTATCTGTGGACAAACGCCGGCTCCTTTGGCCTAAAAGTGAGATGAGAGCTGCACTCCCATGGTCAAATTTGACTGGACTTAACCGTCCAGGGGTCCTTTCCCTAACTGTTTCAGAGATGAAATCAAGCCATGTAGTCATGCTGTTGCTTTAGAATCAGAGATTTGGAGGAGAATCTGGTCTAAACTATGACAGTTGGTTAAAGTAAAGCGGGCATGCACTGAGGGAAACTGATTCACACGTACACTACAGTTTAACACATACCGGATCTCACTTCTGGTATCAGAGACCAGCTTAGGAGAAGACATACGGCAGGGATGTAAGCTGTGGGAGGAAGGAAAGATTTCTCTCCAGATTGTTGGTCTAGGGATAGGACTCGTGCTTTCAGTGACAAAGGCCTTGAGTGCAATTCCCAGACAAACTCACGCAACAGGAAGAAGAGGGTCGAGCCCTTAATTGCTAGCCATAACTAGAGTGTATGATTTGCATGCAGAATATCCCAGGTAAAAACCCTCAAATCTTAGAGCTGGCCGGGAAAGACTTCCTGTCTGAAATCCCCGAGTGGTATCCAAGTGAGTTTTACACAGAGTAGACCTGTTAAAATTAATGGGCCTGACTCAGAGAAAAATAAGAATATTTCATTTATACCCCGCCCATCTGGCTGGGTTGCCCAAGCCACTCTAGGCGGCTTCCAAGACATAAAAACATAATAAAACATCAAACATTAATAGGAACAATCTGATCCAATTTAAAAGTCACAATAACTTTAAAATAAACAACTTATATCAAACAAAGCAGCATCCAACAATCTATCAGAATCTAATTGTTGTTTAGTTGTTTAGTCGTGTCCAACTCTTCGTGACCCCATGGACCAGAGCACGCCAGGCACTCCTGTCTTCCACTGCCTCCTGCAGTTTGGTCAAACTCATGTTGGTAGCTTCGAGAACACTGTCCAACCATCTCGTCCTCTGTTGTCCCCTTCTCCTTGTGCCCTCCATCTTTCCCAACATCAGGGTCTTTTCCAGGGAGTCTTCTCTGCTCATAAGGTGGCCAAAGTCTTGGAGCCTCAGCTTCAGGATCTGTCCTTCCAGTGAACACTCAGGGCTGATTTCCTTCAGAATGGAGAGGTTTGATCTTCTTGCAGTCCATGGGACTCTCAAGAGTCTCCTCCAGCACCATAATTCAAAAGCATCCATTCTTCGGCGATCAGCCTTCTTTATGGTCCAGCTCTCACTTCCCTACATCACTACTGGGAAAACCATAGCTTGAACTATACAGACCTTTGTCGGTAAGGTGATGTCTCTGCTTTTTAAGATGCTGTCTAGGTTTGTCATCGCTTTTCTCCCAAGAAGCAGGTGTCAATAGTAAACAGTAAAATTAAGCATCAGCAAATAATAATTAAACAGTTCAACCACAATAAAGAATTACCAACCTATAATCAATAAAAGTAACAGCAAATCACAATGCATAAAACACCACAAAACTTACAAAACCATGTAAAAGGATCAAATTGAGAAACAAAGAAGCACAACTTATAAAACTATTTTTAAAAAATATCCCTGAACTCCTCTCTTTCCAGCTGCTGCTGCTGCTGCTGCTGCTGTTCTCAAAGTCATAGTCCGGGAAAGGCTAGGTTGGGAAAGGCAGGTGGAAAATACAATCATACATTACAATGGAGTTAAACACGAAAATGATAAAGAAAAGAGACAAAAAAGAAAAGCAAAAAAGTCACACACAAAAAGAATTGACAATAGCAAAAAAAAATCAGTTAGAAAAGCCAGTCATTTATACAGCATCATATCTTATCCGATAAAGTCTTCTGAGAAAAACTTCCAATCGTTTTCATTGTACTTTTCATATTGTCTTGATTTTATCGCACAGTTTATTTTATGACTTTTTCTATATATTCCTCTAAGATGTTTATTCCATTTGTTTATTATACACAAGTATCATTCAATTCTGCTAGGATATTATCATTTTTACAATGTAATCTTATATACTCCTTGAATAATTTCCATTCTCTGTATGTTTTTTGATTCGGGGCTCCCCTGACTTTTCCAGTCAGCTTTGCTAATTGAAAATACTCGATCATGAGTGTTTGCCAATCTATTATTGTTGGTGTTGTTTCACACTTCCAACTTCTGGCTATGAGTATTCTTGCAGCCGTGATTGAGTACATAAACAGTGCTCTTGTGTTTTGCTTGATTTCTATTGGCAATATTCAGATCTTGAATGTTTTCAAACACCAGCAACACACCCTGTACAATTCTATCCATTATATTTTATCTGCACAGTCAGCATGAATTTCAGGAACCAGAAAGTCATATTGAAAAATAGGACTTTCGAGCCGTCTGGCCCCAAAATGACAACTAGGCATTCTGTTTTGGCGACTGTAACTCTGGTTGAAGGAGCCATTTAGCACCTAGCTTACATAACTGAGTTTCTACCATTGGTTCCTACATTAAAATAACACAATTTGGATAAATGGTTGGTTTAAAATCTTTGGGTCTCCCTTTATTTCTCACTATGAAACCTACGCCAGAGAAAGAGGCATTTCCCCACATGAATTCTTTGTGAACTTTTTAAATGATAAGACAATATTATTTCATTTCACATGTGATACGCTATGTTTTTGTCAATATAGTACTGAAATGGGAGGAAATTTTGCTGGCCTGTTCTCCTCAGTTTGAGTCCTAGGTCTTTAACACTTTGGGAAATGTTGAAAATGTTGCCTTCAAATTTATTTGAGTTTCTTCCTCTGCAGGTTCCGGATTTTGCTATCACAGACTTGTCTTCAGAATCGGATGAGATACCAGATATCTTGGCTTTGGATGAAGAAGGGCAGCAAGATTATTCGCGTGCAAATGGTCCCATCACCACAGGTCAAAGAGCTGAATAAACACCGAGCACAAGAAACCAAAAACTAATACTTTTGATTGAATAAATATATGTTCATACCCATTTTTCCCCCTAACCTTATCCTCCTGCTTTCTGGAGTGGAGTTACTTAGCTCTTGGGGAGTATCACTTTTGCTTCATTTAGATCGATCAAAACTGTGACCTTGTGAAAAAAGATTATGGAACGCACATTAGCGTAACCTATTAGCATGGAGGAGTGGACTGTTTTTGTCCTCTGTGTCAGATAAATGTATTCAACTGGTCAACAATATCAATTTTAAGTCTATATCACAGTTTGGACAGCAGTTGCTTCTGAAACCACATCTCTGCTGCTTTGACATGGAATCCTGTCTGAAAGAAGATTTGCCGATTTCAATTTCAGTTCCTCTGTAAATACTTCTGTGTTTCTCCATCAACATCTTTACCTGCCAGGAAGAAAAAAATGCAGCCATTTCTCGTCTCTTTCTGTTTCGTTGTGATGTATCTGCATGACTCCATACCAAAGGTTTAAACAGGTGCCCCTTGAGTTCAAATGCAATGGATGAGCTCAGTGCTCCTTGCTTTTCTAAGATTATGATGCTCCAGCAAATTGCAACTCATGTTCTCAGTCAGGTGATAAACCTGTGCGTGGGTTGCGCCATTTTAGACTACGGGAGAAAGACCAAACGCTCTTCCATACAAAGTAAATCTTTGCATGTAGAAATCTTAGCACATCACAGAGAGGTTTGAACTAGGACCGTCCTTCCTGAGACCTAATTTTGTTTTTCTCTGGAAGAGCAGTCGTGTGAGCTCTCCACTTGCAGCCAGAAGTGGTACAGCCCAGGGACAGTAAGAATTAGGCTTTGCAGTAGGGGAACCTGTGTACCTTTCCCATATTTTGGACCACATCTCCCATCATCCCTTTCCATTGGCCAGGCTGGTTGAGGCCGATGGGAGTTGGGAGTCGCAGGTTTCGCCATCACTGCTTCAGAACATCTGGAGTTTAACCAGGACAATACTCTAGAGCAGTGGTTGCCAAACTTGGCCCTTCAGCTGTTTTTGGACTACAATTCCCATCATCTCTAGCTAACAGGAGCCATGGTCAGGGATGATGGGAATTATAGTCCCAAAACAGCTGGAGGGCCAAGTTTGGCCGCCACTGCTCTAGATGCAAACTGGGAAACTTCTGACAGGGTTCAAAAAAGGAAAGACGTGTAGTGAAAAATGGGGCAGAAACTACGAACGAGATGGAGAAAGCTAGCCCTGAAGCGATGTTCCTGCGCAATCTACAGTTGTTTTAGCAGGGTTTGTATAGTTCCAGTGGTTTGCCATCAAACAGATCCGCCATTTCTTGACGCAAATCGGAAGAGTCAGAGGAAGCTCAAAACAAACTAGAAATGCAGAATCAGACGTACTTAACGAAATGCTACAGTTGAAAGACTACGCCGTGTTTTGGTTCAGACAACCTTTAATATCGCTGGCAGTTTTGGGTTTCCCCCCGTTTTTTAATTATGGGATTATGAGGATTTCCTATGGTGCTAATTTTTATAGGTTAGGTCCACAGATCTGAATTAAAGAGATAATTTGGCGCTCTCTTTAGCATGAAGTGGACAACCTCTCCCCCCACTCTTCAGTTATGCATAAGAGATAACATGGAAGTTTTAAGCACTAGTCACTGAAATGCCTTGGAAATAAAGTTTAAAACTGTATAATCTGATGGCTGCTGATGTTTTGCTTTTCCTTTTTATTGCTTTTTATATGACCTCCAAACCATTAGAAATTCATGATTATTTGAAGTTGTTGTAGCTGCAACTGGAAAAAACCAGCCTTTTCTGAGATACAGGGTTATCACATTTTGATGGGATCATAAGAATATGATTTCTTATGCTGTCTTACGTCTGTGACTAAGTTGAGTTTTTTAAAAAGGCACACAAGATCACCACTGATCCCACAGTCAGATGTCTTCCATAAAAAATAAAATGTGTATCTACTACTTTTAGTTACGCTGAAGATACTTTTTAAAAACACACACACCAAAGAAGTAATTGTTGCTTCTGTAAGGGTGTGACTGAGTTGGCAAATACTGTTCAAATGTCATTATTAACAAGTTAACCACGCCTTGAAGTCCATTAACTCCTCTCAGAAAACAAAGTGATAACGCAACATGCTTCTTTTAAGAACTAAATAACCATTATCCTAGAAATATTTTTGCATCCTAGCTCTGTCACAAGACTTTTGGGTGCCTGGAAAAGTATCTAAATAAAATACACGCCCCTTCCCAAATAATAAAATAATTGACTGCTTACTGCTCTATAATGCCTACCCTCCAACATTCCTCAGATGAAAATAGGGACGTTGCTCACTCCCACGCCCAACTGATCCTCCTTGATCTCCCATTTTGTCCCCCTCGCTCCCCACAGGGCCTTTTCAGTGATGGCTCCGACCTGGTGGAATGCTCTGTCCCATGAGACTAGGGCCCTTCAGGATTTAACCTCCTTCTGTCAGGCCTGTAAGACAGAGCTATTCCACCTGGCCTTTAATTTGAATTCAGCCTCATTTTTTATTTTCCTTCTCTTCCCTCCCCTTTTATGAAGATTACCCGCTCTGAGACCCCACAGCTAATTCTCCCCTGGTCTCCTTGCTGGCCCAAGTAGGATTAATTCAGCCAGCTAGCCCTGGTGATCATCTAATGTTTATTGGATGGATTTCCCCCCTAAACTGAGTTTTTATTTTATTGTTATTCACGTGTCTTATACCGTATTTTATGCTGTTTTTTTGTAGCATCAATTAAGTGTTTTAAATTTGTTGTTAGCTGCCCTGAGCCCGGTTTTCTGAACCGAGAAGGGTGGGGTATAAATATATTATTATTATTATTATTATTATTATTATTATTATTATTATTATTTCCACCACCAGTACCCCAATGGGACACAGCACATATCCCCTCCATCCTGAGAAAGCCAGCGTGGATGAAGAAATGGTGTAGTGGTTAAGAGCGGTGGACTCGTAATCTGGTGAACCGGGTTCGCTTCCCTGCTCCTCCACATGCAGCTGCTGGGTGACCTTGGGCTAGTCACACTTCTTTGAAGTCTCTCAGCCTCACTCACCTCACAGAGTGTTTGTTGTGGGGGAGGAAGGGAAAGGAGATTGCTAGCCGCTTTGAGACTCCTTAGGGTAGTGATAAAGCGGGATACCAAATCCAAACTCTTTTTCTTAATCCTGATTTGATTTTATTCTTTGGTAAATCTAATAGAAAATTATTTACAGATAACAGTTCCTAAAGCAATTCAAATGTTGTCCTTAACCAGTGCTGGATGTACATATAAGCTAAACAAGCTCTAGCTTAGGGCCCCATTCTCTTGGGCCCCCCCAAAAAATTTAAAGGTAAAAGACCTGTGGATGTACATTTCCAAAATATAAGATGAAAAACAAATAAAATAAAACCTACATACAGCAATGGTGTTTTGTGTTGTGTAGGCTCCTATGATGTAAGTCATGGGCCCCACCTGCTAGTCTGCTCCCTAAAATATCACTGGTTTGCTCATTTCTACATATAGGGTACCCACATTCTGCATGTGCAAATGGCTCAAGATACCTATGAGGTCCATAAATCACTATAGCATATATTCAACACATAAAAAACAGCGAGAATTTGTTGTTGGCAAAGGACAGCTGGACAAAGGGTCTCATTACCTTCACTAGCTGAGGGCCTCATCAAACCTAATTCCGGCCCTGTCCTTAACACTTTCTCAATAGTGTTTTTATGCATACTTTACACAGGGGCTCTGTCAACCGACCTCCGTCGAAATGCCACAGCATTGAGTCTACTGGCAAGGAATAAGTTGCACCGGACACCTTACCCTCCCAAAGCCACCAAACCAGCATTCAGAGTAGGATGTAGCCCATTGAATGTGCTGACATGGTGCTGGTGTTGCAAAATGACACCGTGAGCCTGGAGCTGCAATGTGTGTTGCGTCTGTGGTCATTTAGCAGCTGGTTATGCGGGGGAAAGCAAAGAAGGGCACCTTCACCCCAGTGTGGTTCCGCTTTATCAAATACACATCAGAGCCTGGCCAGCCAATCTGCTGGCCGGGGGGGGGGAGGCCAGGGCCGTTTCAACCGAGGAGCGAGCCGGAGGACTTCCTCTTTGGCTCGCTTCCTCAATCACCCTCCCTCCCTCCCTATTTGCAGGTTTGGCACTGGCCTTGCTACGGACTTCGGTTGGTGGCCTTGGTTGTCCAAGGGACCTGGTAGGAATTTTTCCACCTGGCGAATTGGAACTGGCCTCTTGGTTTTCGCCTAAGGTAAAGGGTAAAGGGACCCTTGACAATTAGGTCCAGTCGTGACCGACTCTGGGGTTGCGGCGCTCATCTCGCTTTATTGGCCGAGGGAGCCGGCGTACAGCTTCCGGGTCATGTGGCCAGCATGACTAAGCCGCTTCTGGCAAACCAGAGCAGCGCACGGAAACGCCGTTTACCTTCCCGCCGGAGCGGTACCTATTTCTCTACTTGCCCTTTGACGTGCTTTTGCACTGCTAGGTTGGCAGGAGCAGGGACCAAGCAACGGGAGCTCACCCTGTCGCGGGGATTCGAATCGCCGACCTTCTGATCGGCAAGTCCTAGACTCTGTGGTTTAACCCACAGCGCCACCCGTGTCCCTCATGGCTTTCGCCTACCTCGTAGCAATCGTCACAACTTTGTTAGGGTTGTGGTTAGGCATCGTTTGACCTTGTGTGGAGGAGGGGAGGTGTGGCCATCACCTGCCCCTCCAAGCTTAAGGGTATTCCGTTAAAGGAATCCGGGGGTGTTAATCTTGTCCGAAGCCCGGCTAGGGGGGGGCTAAGGCCTTGACATGACTCCGACGGGAATACCAGGAGGAGCTTGAGTTGGTACGCATTGACAGGGCTCCCCCTACCCTTACCGGACTTCCTGCGCAGCGGGCAGGAGTCAGATATAGTTGGGTCCAATCAATGCCTAAGCCAAAAGCGCTCCCATTCTGTAATTCAATAAAGTTGTGGCCAAATTTGCCCAATAACATAAACCTAATATCTGTGTCCTTGTGTGAGTTATTTCCCAACGAAGGGGTGACTGCGGGGTCTCGACACGCAAGGCAGAGCGAGCAAGAGAAAACTCTAGCTGCTCTTGGTTCCTCTCATTTGTTCTCTCTCTCTGGGTACTGTGCAAGGAGGGATGGCCCCACAGTGCCACCTAGAGAAATTGCAAGTAGCCACCTCCGCCCCCTTCCCTCTGTCTAGGGCAGGGTAGTGTTGTTTGTGGTCACGGAATACCAAGTAGCCAGCTCTTCCTCACCTGGCGCCACTGTGGGGAATTTGGCCACATGGAAAGAAAAGAACAGGACACCTTAGAACTTGTTTTAAGAAGTTTAACATTCGCTGAAAACAAAATACCTGAATCCAAAATGGAAAGCCATTACAGTGAACAAAACCCAACAACAACTTTCATTTTTGAGTCCTCTTGCTTTCATAAACCAGAAGCAAAGTTTGGCAAGGGAGCAGCTGCAGGACTGGAGAAAGACAGATGCTCTTCGTCCCAAGGATGGTTCCTCACTCTAAATCAAGCCGTGGCAACACAGGAAGAATAAGGTTTCCAAAGGCAGAGTCTTGGGTTATGAAGTACCCTGAGGAATGTGCATGAGCATGCTGCGAAAGGAACGTAAGTGTTTCAAAATGAGACCTTTTCAATGGAAGCCAAGTCTCTCCACCGTCATGCAAGCATGAGTGCGTGCTTAAGAACATCAGATTTGGAAGGAATATCTGTTCTTTGCCACATTTCAGTCCTGCTAGTAGTTCAGTTGCTAGTAGTTCAGTTCCAGGTGTGGGGAACCCCCGGCCCTCCATATTGCCGAACTACAACGTCCGTCCTCACATCTAGCTCATTATTCCCAAGGTTTTGCCCGCAGTGTTTAAAACAGGGCTAAAAGGTGAGATAATACAGAACATAACATGACCAAAGCCACTTCCCAAATCAGAAGACACTCTCAGAATTTTAAACTTTGTCATCACTATGCAAATCTTAAGCTTTTGTGATGCATGTTAGCTTTTGTCCCCAACGTCTGAGATGGGTGGGGGGTTCTTAGGAGCTATAGTCTCCGAGGCTATAACAAAACAAAAAGGCCCAGGGAAACTTGCAATACGGCCCGTTTGGATATGCTTTGGTCAGGACAACTCACCTGTAGAGCAGCCTTCTGCTGTGCAGCGATGTGCTGTAGTTCAGCATGATCACGAAAGTCCTTGTTAAGGGAAGATCTGGCGAGAGAGATGCTGCGAGCAATGATAAGAAATTGAGATGTCACACAAAGGCAGGGAAGGCAGCCATCAGCACAGTATCAAGGTAGAGGCTTGTCATGGCCAGGGTGGGTGTTTCAGAGTCAAGAAGTTCCATGTCGTTACTTTAAATACAAGACTTGGGATTTTGGGCAAATCTGACATGCAAAGTGAATAATTTGCACATGCCAGACAGCGTTGGAAACTCAGATATATAAGCTAGGCACCAAATGACTCCTTCAACCAAGGTTACAGTCGCCCAACAGAATGCCTAGCTGCTATTTTGGGGCAAGACAGCTCTAACGTCTTATTTTCCAAATGATGGACTGACTGTGATTGAGTCTCAGTTAAAGATCTGGCCTGTTCAGATGAAAATCTTGAGCTAGGTTAAGAGTTTTGGGAACTTAAAGAAGAAAGGTCACTTGATCAAGGGACAGTCCACATAATATATGTTGGCCTATTCCTGCCTCTTTTTCTTAATGGTGAAACGGGCCATTCACAACAGTGGGAGAAGTGAAGACAAGCTACAACAATTCACTACAGTGGTCCCTCCGGATACGAATTAAATTCGTTCTGGGGGTCCGTACTTAACCTGAAAAGTCCATAACTGGAGGTGAAACTTCTGTGCATGTGCGTGGCACGCAGAGCGCTTCTGCGCATGCGGCGAAACCCGGAAGTATACACTTCAGGGTTGCTGCGTTCGCAACCTGAAAGTTACATATCCAGAGCGGTATGTAACTCTAGGGTCCACTGTATAATGTTCTTGGCCCCTGCTCAGGCTGCACCGAAAATGTGGCAGCTAGACTGGTGACTGGGGGCGGCCGCCAAGACTACATAACACCGGTCTTGAAAGACCTACATTGGCTCCCAGTACGTTTCCGAGCACAATTCAAAGTGTTGGTGTTGACCTTTAAAGTCCTAAACGGCCTTGGCCCAGTATACCTGAAGGAGCGTCTCCACCCCCATTGTTCTGCCCGGACACTGAGGTCCAGCGCCGAGGGCCTTCTGGCAGTTCCCTCATTGTGAGAAGCAAAGCTACAGGGAACCAGGCAGAGGGCCTTCTCGGTAGTGGCGCTGTGGCCCTGTGGAACGCCCTCCCATCAGATGTCAAAGCGATAAACAACTACCTGACATTCAGAAGACATCTTAGTCTTCTGGGGAGTTTTTAATGTGTGACATTTTAGTGTATTTTTGGTCTCTGTGGAAGCCGCCCAGAGTGTCTGGGGAAACCCAGCCAGATGGGCGGAGTACAAATAAATTATTATTATTATTATTATTATTATTATTATTATTATTATTATTATTATTTTGGCTCCAGAAATTCATTCTGATTGTGCAGATAAAATATAATGGATAGAAATCTACAGGATGGGGTATTAGTGTGTGAAAAGAGTCCAGATCCAAGGATCCCCAGGCAGGCACCTCCAGATTGCAGAGATGTCAGGAGTCATCCTGGAACCCGGGCATTTGCACTGGGCTGCATGTGGCCACAGTCAGGTGCAAAATGCGCCTGGCTAATTTTGAACGCTGGTGCCAGAAGGACATTTCTGCTCAGGAACATTCACTCCAGCAATGGCAGGTGAAATCAAATAGGGAGGAAACCCAAGTGTAAGTCAAAAGGAAGTCAACCGGAAGGCATGCAGTAGAAGAAAAAGGGACCCCAGCACATTTTGCTCTCTCACCGGCGCCCCCCAATAACTTGCCTAAGTGATACCTGAATAAAACAGCGCTACTAACCAGGGGTCCATAGTCTTCATGATGGGGAGTTCATATGTTTGGTAGAGTGGCTGCAGAACTCTGTATGCAGGAAAAGAGTTTCCCATTGAGATTGCGCTGAGACAACGTCTCTTCGTAGTCAACAAGTTACAGTATGCGAAAATACTACTACTACTACTCCACCATGAGCAATAAATCAAGTTCTACGCTAAACACATGGAAGAGGATTTTGTTTTGTTTTTTCAATTCAGGGGCAGCTTTACATTTCAGCAGATTCATAGAAATCTCAAATCTTAATATGAAAACAATGATAAGGTTCAACACAGGGGAAGCGGAATTTTGGTGGAGAAGTGGGTGGAAATACAAAACATTAAAAAGTTAACTTTTTTTTAAAAAAAAAAGGTGAACTGAAATTTTCCCTCTCCAGAGGGAATGAGCAAAGATGGAAACTCTCTTGCAGCTGGCTGCTTGGAAAAATTGGCACAGAACTCTGATGGTTATGAACTGTTTCCATTAGAAGCATGTGTTGCTGATAGGTCTATTCACCTTCTTGGTGGGCGGCGTTGCGGCTGGGTATCCGGGCCCTGGTAGCGACCCGGCTAGGGGGCGGGAGATTGTCGCCCCCTCCACGCCAGCCCCAGCTGTATCAGCCCTCCTGGCCAATCTATGCTGATGGGGGGCATGGCCAAAGGGTAACTGAAATCGCGGCGCGGCCAGGGGTTTCTTTCTCTTGCCTCCACGCCAGAACTGCTTGGACCTGCAAGGACCCTTGTTTAATGGAGGATACTCCTGGATAAGGGTATCCTGCTAAAAGGATCTGGAGTTGTGGATTCTGTCCAAAGTGTGGGCATGGGCTAGGGCAGGGGTCAGCAGACATTTTCAGCAGGGGGCCGGTCCACTGTCCCTCAGACCTTGTGGGGGGCTGGACTATATTTTGGGGAAAAAATATGAACAAATTCCTATGCCCCACAAATAACCCAGAGATGCATTTAAAATAAAAGGACACATTCTACTCATGTAAAAACATGCTGATTCCCAGACCATCCATGGGCCGGATTTAGAAGGCGATTGCACCGGATCCGGCCCCTGGATCTTAATTTGCCTACCCATGGGCTAGGGCCATGCCACTAACCCAACGGGGACCCCTCGGACTGACCTTATTTGATGTAAGTCATAGGGCTCCCCCTTCTGGTGGTTTACCCTTAGTTAGACTCCCTGCAAGGGACGCGGGTGGCGCTGTGGGTTAAACCACAGAGCCTAGGACTTGCCGATCAGAAGGTGGGCGGTTCGAATCCCCGCGACGGGGTGAGCTACTGTTGCTCGGTCCCTGCTCCTGCCAACCTAGCAGTTCAAAAGCATGTCAAAATGTAAGTAGATAAATAGGTACCGCTCCGGCAGGAAGGTAAACAGCGGTTCTGTGTGCTGCTCTGGTTTGTTAGAAGGGGCTTAGTCATGCTGGCCACATGACCTGGAAGCTGTACGCAGGCTCCCTTGGCCAGTAAAGCGAGATGAGCGCTGCAACCCCAGAGTCAGCCACGACTGGACCTAACAGTCAGGGGTCCCTTTACCTTTACCTTTAGACTCCCTGCAGGTGGGCGGGCGTCAAGATATACAGTGGTACCTCGGGTTAAGTACTTAATTCGTTCCGGAGGTCCGTACTTAACCTGAAACTGTTCTTAACCTGAAGCACCACTTTAGGTAATGGGGCCTCCTGCTGCTGCCACGCCCCCGGAGCATGATTTCTGTTCTCATCCTGAAGCAAAGTTCTTAAGCTGTAGCACTATTTCTAGGTTAGCAGAGTCTGTAACCTGAAGCGTATGTAACCTGAAGCATATGAAACCCGAGGTACCACTGTAGCCTGGTTTCACCCAACGTCCAAGCCAATAAAGTTGTGGCCTGTTTTAGCCCATAATCCCAAACACTTGTGTTGGTGTGTTTATTAATCAATGGGGAACTACAGGGCACAGGGCCTTGGCATGCAAGAGAAAGCGTCCCTTGGCTTTCCCCTTTGATCAGAGAACACAACTGAAACAAAAAGGCAGGTCTCTAAACTTACTGTACCTGGCTCCAGGGTGATTTGTGGAAGACTGGTTTTGCATCAGCAGCTTCCTCTTCTCCTTATCTAGCTCTGCCAAAATCGCAACCCTGTTTTTATTCTGAAACCCTGGCAGGAGTGAGAAGAATGGAAAAGTCTGTGCACTACTTCAAGCTCTCCAAAGTGAATGATAAAGAGTACAGTGGTACCTTGGTTCTCAAACAGAATGCGTTCTGGGAGTCTGTTCGACTCCTGGAACCGTTCAAAAATTAAGGTGTGGCTTCCGATTGACTACAGGGGTGTCCTGCAGCCAATCGGAAGTTGTGCCGGACGTTGGACTTCCGGAAATCGTTCAAAAACCGGAACACTCACTTCTGGGTTTTGATCGTTCAGGAGCCGATTTGTTTGGGAGCCAAGGTACCACTGTATTAGAGATTGTACTGAAAGGGCTGCTGCCGTGTTGTTTTTATTGTAATTATTTGTATACAAATATAAAATAGATTTTATATCTGCATATAGCTTTAAATCTAACAATGTTTAATTGGTTTTTATTATTATTATCGCTTTCCCTATGTTTTTAGCAGTTCTTATGTTTATTTATAAGCTGCTTGTAGTCCTGTCTGGGGAGAAGGGGGCGGGCATAAAACTGTATATAAATTTCCTCCGGCTCTTTTTGCTGGCCCATGTAGGACCAGTGTGGATAGTTGGCCCCAGTAAATATTTGACATTTTCTCCCCTTATGGCTTTGATCTATAGGCTAGCACTTAAAACGAGGCTGCATTTTAAGCTGTATTCTAACTTATATTTTAATCAGCTTTTTGCTTGGTTTTTGTTTTTTTAAAAAAAGTTTTTACTGTATTTATATTCGGTGTTAGCTGCCCTGAGCCCGGTCTTGGCCGGGTACAAATAATAAATAAATAAATAAATAATAAGAGTGTAGCTTGTCTCCTGCCTGTCAAGACAAACAATATTTGCTGGTTGTGGTTTCCTGGCTAGTCTGAGCCATTCCTTTGAAATGGTAAGCACCCACTGACACACAGAGAATGCTCCTCTGACAGGTCTGTTTTGCAACAAATACAGTCGTACTGTTGTTCTCTAATTTAATCCGTTCTGGGAATCCATCCGACATCCCAAAATGGTTCGAAAACCAAGGCATGGCTTCTGATTGGCTGCAGGAACTTCCTGCAGCCAATCGGAAGCCGCATTAGGACGTTCGGCCTCTCAAAAAAATTGCCAACTGGAACACTCACTGCGACGTTTGGAAGCTGATTTGTTCGACCACTAAGGCGTTCGACTACCAAGGTACCACTGTATTCGATTTGAAGGATTTGCAAGTGAAAGAACTATTGGGAAAGGTTTTCCAAGATGAGAGGAGGTAAGACTTTGGGATTGTTCTGTGTACTCAAATGAAGTCTCAGGGAATATTTCCTAAATTTTGAAGGGTGAAGGGTTTTTGCGGAGTGTGTGCACCTTAAAATTTTATTATAACGTAACCATGCAGATAGAGGTGAAGATTACCAGACGTAACATTTACCTTGCCCAGGAGGATTTGATGCCATCTTGCTAGTTTCCGCCTTAATTGGCTACAACGTAGTTATGGGATGAGCTGCCGAAAAGAATATAAATGGACACGTGAACATAAAAGGCTCACTACTAATACAATTGTACATTAATATTCAGTTTGCAGGATGCAATAGCAACACATTTTGCAAAATGCTTGTGAAAACGCTGAGTAGCAGGTATGCTATACGCAAAGATGGTGTGAACTGGGGCCACCTACTGGGTACATGTGACCCCCTTATTGGAACAACTACACTTGGTTTGGATTGGTTTTCCAGGGACAGTCCCGGATTTACAGAAGCCATCCTGCTTTCTGATCCTGGAATGTCCTGCAAAACTGTTGTAAGGTAAAGGGACCCCTGACCATTAGGTCCAGTCGTGGCCGACTCTGGGGTTGCGGCGCTCATCTCGCTTTATTGGCCGAGGGAGCTGGCATACAGCTTCTGGGTCGTGGCCAGCATGACTAAGCCGCTTCTGGCAAACCAGAGCAGTGCACGGAAACGCCGTTTACCTTCCCGTTGGAGTGGTACCTATTTATCTACTTGCACTTTGACGTGCTTTCGAACTGCTAGGCTGGCAGGAGCAGGGACCGAGCAACGGGAGCTCACCCCGTCGCGGGGATTCGAACCGCCGACCTTCTGATCGGCAAGTCCTAGGCTCTGTGGTTTAACCCACAGCGCCACTCGCGTCCCCTGCAAAACTGTAGGACATCCCTATTTTCCTCAGGGAAATACTGGAGGGTATGGAGCTATTCATGTCATCGGGAAGCAGCCCAAGTTTTTAAAATGTTCAATGTTTTATTATGTTTTTAAATATGTTGAAAGCCGCCCAGAGTGGCTGGGGCAGCTCAGTCGGATGGACGAGGTATAAGTAATAAAAGTATTGATTACGGAATAGGACATCCCTCTTTTCATTGGAGAAACGTTGGAGGGAATTTTGTTCCATGGTTCATTTTTCGGACTACAACTCCCATCAGCACCAGCAACTGATGGAAGAGGCTGTAGTGCAAGCTGTCTTGCAGGGTGCCTGGACTTGGGAATCCGCGAAGGGGATTCTTACAGTTAGCATTGTGGTTGCTGCTTTCGGCTCACCTCCAGCAGATGGGTGGAGTCCCTAAGTGAAAGCATAAAAATAAACAGCTCCAAGCACCTGGCGATGGACACAGTCCCCATTCACCCACATCCTCCTTGCCGGTGGACTGCTCCCTGTTTCTCTCACGCCACCCCCTTTAGCTGCCCAGATGGCCTCTGCCGCCCCCCCCAGCTGTCCAGGTAGACTCTCCCAAACCTCCTTTGGATTTACAGATAGACTCTGCCGCCCCCTCTTTGGCTGTTCAGATGGACTGCCCCAAACCTCCTTTGGCTGTTCAGATGATCTCTCCCGCCCCCATTGGCTGTCTAGATGGACTCTCCCAAACCTCCTTTGGCTCTAGAGATCAGACTCTGCTGCTCCCCCTTTGGCTGTCCAGATGGATTCTCCCGCCCCCCCTTTGGCTGTTCACGTGGGCTCTCCCAAACCGCCTTTGGATCTACAGATAAGACTCTGCAGCTCCCCCTTTGGCTGTTCAGATGGACTGCCCCAAACCTCCTTTGGCTGTTCAGATGATCTCTCCCGCCCCCCATTGGCTGTCTAGATGGACTCTCCCAAACCTCCTTTGGCTCTAGAGATAAGACTCTGCTGCTTCCCCTTTGGCTGTCCAGATGGATTCTCCCGCCCCCCCCTTTGGCTGTTCACGTGGGCTCTCCCAAACCTCCTTCGGATCTACAGATAAGACTCTGCAGTTCCCCCTTTGGCTGTACAAATGGACTCTCCCGCCCCACTTTGGTTGGACGAATGCAATCTCCCGCCCCTCCCCCCATTGGCTGTCCAGATGGACTTTCCCGCCCCCCCTTTGGTTGGACGAATGGACTCTCCCGCCCCCCCATTGGCTGCCCAGATGGACTCTTCTTCTCCCCGTTTTAGGGGCTCTTTCTTCCCCGCTCACCTGCTCCCGCCTTCATTGTCACGCGCGCCGCGTTAACGAGGCGGGGCCAGGAAACAAGCCCCGCCTTCGCTTCCCTGACCACCCTTGACTCAGAAAAGGGAAGAGTGACACGCGGCGTCCAGCTTCCGGGATGAGCTGGAGCTTCCGCTTAGCGAAGGCTTAGCCAGCTGGGTCTCCACTGGTGGGGAGTTCCAAAGGCGCCGCCCAAGGAAGCGGGTATTCTGCGGCGGCGCCTGCGAAAAGTATTAGTTTTCCAAGTGTCTCTTCAGCAGTCAGCGTCTAAAAAAACCCCCCACCTTGTTATTCTCCCCCCCCTAATATTCTTTACTGGTTTTCATTTGCACACTCCACATACACATATTTCAAATTTACACCTGCTCCCCAGAGCCGACTTCCCTCCTTCCCTCTTCTGGCCTTTTACATCACATCTTACTTTTTCACATTGTCTTCATCCCTTTTGTATATTATTGTTCTTTTGTATTTGTCCATCGAGTGTCTATTGTCAAATAAATCCTCCTGTATATACAGTTCTTATTGTCTGCCTATATTCAATTACAACTACCATTGGTTACATTGATCGCATTGTACATTTTACGTTTTGTTATTTTCTTTATCCAGAAATTTTCTTTGTATTTCACATTATGAGGTTTATTTCAGTTCTACTGGTTTCACTATTCCACCTTATCCTTCCTATGTATGACATAATTTCCCCCCATTCTTTTTGAAATGTTTCATCGCCCTGTTGTCGAATTTCCCCCGTTAATCTAGCTATTTCTGCATATTCCATTACCTTCTGTCGCCATTCTTCTACCGTTGGTGCTTGCTGTTGTTTCCAAACCAACCTTATTATTCTCATGCTATATCTCATGATCCTTGTGGATGCCCTGAGCTGAGATTCCTGCCTTGCAGTGGGTGGGACTAGATGGCCCGTGGGGTCCCTTCCAGCTGCAGGATCCGGCGACTCTAAACCGCAGGCTGTGGCTTAAAACATCCTTGCAACTGGAACAGAATATTGCGGGGGTGGGGTGGGGACTCAACCCCTAGGAGTTGGGCTCCTGTGCATAGCTGTCAACCTCCCCGTTTTTTGCGGGGAATTCCCTTATTCCAGCGCCGTTTCCCGCTGCTATCCTGGATTGTTAGATATCCCGTAGACTGTCCCCGGGACAGGTGAGGCTGCTGATCCCTTATTTTTGAGGCTGCTGATCCCTTATTTTCAAATCTGAAAGTTGACAGCTATGCTCCTGTGCTGGCCACGTAGTCCTTGCAAGGATGAAGGATGACCACGCAAGAAGCCACAGAGCAGGATTCAATTACATTGAAAGCAGGGCCGGATTTTGGTTGGATGAGGCCCTCAGCTACTGAAGGTAATCTTTCTATGTCCAGCTGTCCTTTGTGCACAACAAATTGCCACTGTTTGTGTTGAATATATGCTACATGGTGTTGTAAACAAAAATTGCCCTTTTCCCTTATGGGGTATCCAAGAGCCCATAGAGTGTCCTTACATAGGTTCCCTGTTGGTAGGAGAAAATAACAGAGGCCAACCAGAGAATATTGAGAAGCAAAGCAAAGCTAGTAAGCTTGATCTTTATTGATCTGTTGCAACAGGGTGCTCACCTCACCCGCAGGAGAGAGGAGGGACCCAGAAAAATGGCATGCAAGGCCTTATAAAGACTTTTGAAATTGCCACCCTGTAGATCAAGACCACCCCCAGAAACATCATACATACATCACAGAAGGGGTGTAACCTAAGACCACCACTCAGATACATCACACCTACATCACAGAAAAGGCGGTCTAAAACAGAACATTTGAATGTTGTTTTTTTCTCCTGTCCTTATTTATCTCCTGTCTGGCAGGTTACTTGATTGGATTGCCTGGGGAGCCTGGCCATTCTTTTGTAGTGATAAATACTTACCGTATTTTTTGCTCTATAAGACTCACTTTTTCCCTCCTAAAAAGTAGGGAGAAATGTGTGTGCGTCTTATGGAGCGAATGCAGGCTGCGCAGCTATCCCAGAAGCCAGAACAGCAAGAGGGATTTCTGCTTTCACTGCGCAGCAATCCCTCTTGCTGTTCTGGCTTCTGAGATTCAGAATATTTTTTTTCTTGTTTTCCTCCTCCAAAAACTAGGTGCGTCTTGTGGTCTGGTGCGTCTTATAGAGCGAATAATACGGTAGTTCCTGGGCCAGGTCACAGGCTCACACCCTATTCAAACACAGACATACCCTTAAGACAGGATTTGTGAAGGAAAAGACAGTGGGGAGGCTTTTCCAGTTTGACCTTTCAGAGAAAACATTTGGTCAGTTTAGGAATCAAAATGGCTTCAGGTCGGTCTTCCTGTGCTGATCTATGTACGTGCGGTTATGAACATTACCATATATCTAAGACCTCAAAATTCCTATCACAATGGTCATTTATGGACCTCATAGGCATCTAAAGCCATTTGACATAACAAAATACGTATTTTATCAAAGTAATTGCTGAACTGAAATCTATTAAAAAGAAGTACCGTATATTACTAGTGAAATACAATTAAGAAGAAGTATATTACTAGTGAAATAATTATTAATCTCTAACTTAAATTGATTTTTATTCATAACTAACTTAATAATGCAAACACATTGGCATTTAGCAAGAACAAAAGTTCCTTTAGAAACACAATTTACACTCATAACCTAGTCTCTTGAAACTTGCTATAACATGAAATAATAATAGGTGTAAATATATGATGCAAACTACTAATAATTATAAATAACAGAACGTAGGCACCCTATATATAGAAAGGAGCAAACCAGGGATATTTGAGGGAGCAGGCTAGCAGGCGGGGCCCAGGACTTACAAAACACTGTTGCTGTATGTAGGATTTATTTTATTTGTTTTTCATCTTATATTTTGGAATTGTACATGCAGGTTTTTTCCCCTTTAAATTTTTTGGGAGCCCCCAAGAGAGTGGGGCCCTAAGCTAGAGCTTCTTTAGCTTATACATAAATCCAGCACCGATTGAAAGCCCGTGGGGAATTTTCCCCCCTCCGTTGCTAAGGAGCAGTTTTCGCTTTCCGCCTGCGGAAGAGCCTCGCGCAGCAGGCAGACACTTAACTAGTAGCCCCCTCTACCCTTTTCGTAGCTCTACGCCAGCGTGCCTCGGTTGAGAGTCGGGTACAGTATATGTCTCCGGCAAGCGGTGCATGCTGGGAACTCGCATGCCGGTCCCCCCCCCCCCAATTGGCTGGAGCCGCGCATGTTTCTCTTTGATTGGCTGGCGCGCGCCTCGCCGCCCCTCCCCGTTTTCTTTTTTGGCGGTTTGAGCCTCAATGGCGGCGCGTGTGGTGGGCGAGGCGGCGGCTGAGGCTGAAAAAGAAGGGCGCCTCTGAGAGGAGCTGAAGGGCTTGGCGAACGAAGGCGGAACCCTTGAGGAAGAGCAGAGCGCTGACGCGGAGGATATACCTGCACGTGAGGAAAGGAAGACACGGGTCAGCCCCGGTTCGCCTCGCGGCCATGAGCGCGCAGCAGCTCTCGCCTCCTCCCGCCTGGGAGAAAGAGCACCTCTGGCTCTACCTTCTGGCGCTGGGCTTCGACCCGGAAAAAGCCGCCGCCGGGAGGGTCTCCACGCATCTCGGCCTGGGCGTGTGAGTGGGCCTTTTTTTTCTTTTTTCTTTTAAACTGACCTTTGTTTAATGCTGCGTTTCCCAAATTTGGGTTTCCGGCTGTTTTTTGGACTACAACTCCCATTGTCCTCAGCCTTCCTTGGAGGTTTCTTAAGCAGAGGTTGGGGGCCCCACTTTCTTGGCCCCCCCCCCAAATTTCACTACAGTATTAATATACTTTTTCTTAATTGCATTTCAGTTCAACAGTGGTATTTCAGTTCCACAGTTACTTTGATAAAATACATATTTTGTGATGTGCAAATGGCTTTAGGTACCTATTAGGTCCATAAATTACCATATAGCACATATTCTTATATATCTATATATCTATATCTATCTATCTATCTATCTATCTATATATATAAATATTATTGGCTTTTTAACATATCATTTTCAACAATTATTAAACATACTTTTATATCTTATACAATTTTTTTGACTTCCATCAATCACTTCTGAAAATTTTCCAATCTTTTCCACTTAATTTACATTTCTTACTTTCACTATTACATAAATATAACTAATACCTCTCTTCTTTCTCTTCTTTGCAATATTTCATATGTTCCTCCTTACAAAACTTCTTGTAGTCCTACTAGCGTAATTTGTTGATTACAGTTGCTCTTCAAATAATTTGTAAATTTATTTCAATCTGAATTTCTGGTCCCACAGGTTTCGAATAATTCTTCCTGTCATTTTATCCAATTCTGCGTAGTCCACTAATTTTGTCTGCCATTCTTCTTTCGTTGGTATTTCTTCTTGCTTCCATTTCTGGGCCAACAATATTCTTGCCGCTGTTGTTGCATATAAAAACAATTTAATATTCTGTCTATTAATGTCCTTGACCATATAGCATATATTCAGTGCAAGAAACAGCAACAATTTGTTGTTGACAAAGCACAGCTGGACATATAAATGGCCGCATTACCTTCAGGAGCTGAGGGTGTCATTAAACCTAAATCCAGCCCTGTCTGCCAAGAACGCTTTAGCTGAGATTCCTGCATTGCAGGGGGGTTGGGCTGGATGACCTTAGGGGTCCCTTCCCACTCTACAATTCTCTGACTCCGTGATGGGAATTATACAGTAGTTTGAAAGCAGCTGGAGACCCACTGGTTTAATGGGTGTACATCTCACACAAGTTCCTAGAAGCAACAGCGCTGGTGGGGGTTAAAATGCTATGGGGGTTTATTCGAGTATATTGTTTATGGTAGTGGTTTTTTGAAAAAGATACGGTACCGTCTTAAAAATCAAGTACTCGTGTGCCTTAAGCACACCTCTGGCGGGCAAATGTTGGTAGATGAAGTATTCCCATCACTGCACCTCTCTCCCTTAAAATTAAAAAAGAATGTCCACGTTCATGCAGATTGTATTTACCGACACTAAAATGGATCATGGGAATTAATAGTGCAGGACTGTGGCCTTGTAGCACTCCTGTAAGTTTTAAATGTGCTATTATAAGAAGGGAAATAAAGCATGGTTGGATGTTAATCCCATTTCTTGCTCCAAAAAACAACAACCTTCTTCTCTATAAATCTTGTTATTTTGTGAGCTGCTATCAGTGCATTGAAGGGCCCTCTAAGGGAGGAAAGGAGGCAGTCCTGGTGGGTGCTGAGGTTTGTGCATGGGGCAATTGTTTCCTTTACAAGGACATTTCTGGTTTTCATATTTTTTTAATTTTTTTAGGAACATGTTTGATAAACCGAACAAAGATGCATTTAGTATCGTTGTGCACTTCCTGTTTTCCAACGTAGACCAGTCTCGTTGTAATGAGATTTTCAGGTGAGTGTCATTTCTCTTTAACTTCATTTAAAGGATGCTTTATTACTCAATGGCTTTTTCTTATAGACAAAATTATGAACGGGTCCACAACTTCTGGATGGCTTTACAAGCCAAACTAAAAATTGTGGCCACCAGAATGTAGTTGGTCTCTGCCAGGCAGCGCCTTTTCACCCTTTCCTGCAGAAAAGGGTAACAGGGTGTTTGCCAGTTTGATAGCTGTGTGGCCAAGGGCTCAGCAACTATGCAGCCCACAATTGCTAGTAGCAGCCTTCCTCTGGGGAGAAATTGTACATTGCTATCCCTTTGTGGGACTGCCGTATTGCTCCCCATTAAAAGAAAATAGTGTAATATCCAGCCCACAAGTAGTAGAGGTCTAGTCTTGCTGCAGAGGAGATAACCATAATGTTTGTTTCTACTCCTCCTCTGCCCACCAAAAGGATGCATATTGTGCACAAGGCAGGGGGAAGAATTCTTGTGGATGTGATTAATAGAGTTAGAGGAATGTGTAGGTACTACTTGTTAATTTAACATCCTTTCCTCCATTTCTTCACATCATTTTTTGAGATTTTAAGCTTACTGCTGCTGCTCTCTCTGTGTGTAGCCTTTGTTTGAGAGGAAAAACTAGCTAACAAGGGACTTGCTGCACATTTTCTGGAGATTATTTAGTTGCAACTCTTGCAAGATCTTCTTTGTGGTGTTGAGGTCCCAGGGTGCTGGAAACTGATAGCAATGAGCAATAGAACTCTTTTCCAACTGATGTCATGAATAATATCTTTGTAACAATATAGTATTCAGTGTTTGGAATATACGATTACACAATTTATTACTTATAAAACATAGCAGTGCATTTAACAGTGCAATCTTGCAAATGTCTATTCAGAAGTAAGGGCTTCTATGTTAAATAATACTTGCACTCAGGAAAGTATATAAAAGCAAGAGATCAGTTCACTAAAATAAATTATTCTGAAAGGTCAGATACCTGCTGGGATAAGACTAAGTCATGTGCCAGAATTTTCTGTTCTGACAAGTGAATTAGGTGATAAAAAGCTTTCAAGCTTTACTAATTGTCATGGTTAGCTCAGTTTCAAAAGGTGCAGATGGAGGAAGCCAGTCGCTTGGTAAGATGATATGTGTTCAGTTATTTATGCTAATGCCAATCTGTTGTAGCAAGCAGGAATTCTAGCTTAAACAAGGCTGTGGGCATTCAGAATAGAACTTGATCTCTTTTTATCTGCTTTTTTTTTTGCAGTCATTAAGTTCTAACTATCCACAAAAGCAATGGATAGTGATTTATTTCCAAACGAAACATGTAGATAGGATTTTGGAGACAAAATGACTGGCTGGGTGGGAAAACAAAAAACCTGAGAAAGTGAGGGAGGAAAGGCTGTGAAATAAATCTCTAGTTAAAAACAGAATTTAAAAAACCCAAGCTATATCAATTTAAGATATATGTTTTTTCCAGATAATATATTTATTGATAAATTCAGGTAATATTATTGTGCTATCATAGTGGAACTAGACTGCACAGCTAGCTAGTAGAAACTAATGCCTGGCCGTTAAGCCAGCTATATTTTGTCAACCCCCGCTTAACTATGTGACAAAAGCTGAAGAGAAAGCAGGCCAAATAGACTTCCTAAGGCAGGGAATTTATCAGTCTACGTGCTGCCACAGCACCCTAGGAGAGGTGCTTGTCTCCTAGCTATTTGTCATTCATCACTGATGGGACCTGGAGATCTTAAGATTAGGCAGATTTATATTGGAGACGATGCTCCTTTTGGTATTTTGGGCCCAAGTCATGTAGTGAGAGACTTGTATGTCAGCTTGTGTTTGGAAGTGAACTGGAAGCCTGTGCAGCAGTTGGAAAGTAGTCAGCGCATGTTCTCTTGGGTGAACACACACCAAAACCCTTTGTTTACATATTCCACAACAGCTGAAGCTTCCAAAAATTCTTCAGAGGTTGCCCATTTGGAACACATTGCTGTAATTGTAACATGCCTCTTTTGTCTCCATAACTTGCCTATTACTTAGCACAGGGGTAGTCAACAAGGTGCATTCCAGAAGTTTTTGGACTCCACCTCCCATCAGCTTGGCCAGGGGTTGGGGATGATTTAGTACTATCAATGCCAGCCTGAAAATTGACTACAACTGTTGTCTATGCAAACTCTATCCTAGGTGGGATACTTAGGTCTTTGTTAATGCAAATGTGTTTAGAGAACACTGAGCCTTTTGTATTGCTATCTTTTGTGAGAAATATATCTGATTCATTGAACGTTTGTTGAAATTGACTTCTTTCCCTTCCCTGGAAAGATTTTGTTTTCCTCCAACAGATAAAAAGACAGACTCTGAATTCAGGAAACATAGTTACGAATGGCTAAGAAGAATTTCAGTAAGTATCGGTAAGAATGAAAAAGGGGTTCACATATTTGCCCCATAAATATTGGTGGTCTATGAGAATTCCTTTCAGACTTTGTGTTCTGACTCTTTAGGTGTTGAGAGGGAGAGTTCTCTCATGCCCTATTCTCTGCCTCCACCATTTCACCTTTTTCACGCTTTCATCATCTTGCAACAACTCAAGTAGTTCAAGTTGTCAGCAAATGATAGAAACTGTTTGAAAGGAGAGCCAGAAAGGAGTGTGGATGAAGATTCCTCCCTCCAGTACTTGCTCCTTTGGGGAGGTTTCCTTGCCAGCCCCAAAAGTAGCTGGTCAGTTTAAATTGTTGCTGTCCAGGATCAGAACATTGGTACCTCTCTTTAGTTTTTAAACAAGGCATTTAAATATGGCTTTGCAATCCTATGGTTGCAGCACGTGGGATTGAATTTGAAACACCCAGTGCCGACATAAAAGTACATTTGATGAAGTCATGCTGGGTGGGATTCAGCACAGCAGAAGCTATTCCTTCATTTGTTTGGAATATGAATAAACAGGCAGCCCTGTTCAGGGAAGTTTTTAACGTTTGATGCTTTATTGTGTTTTTGGGAGCCCCCAGATGGGCTGAATAATAATAATAGTAACAAAATACCATAGTGATATCCAACCATAATAAAAAACGAAAAGATAACAAATAAAAACAGATAAAACTATTATCAGAGAAAAAAATGGGATGTTTTCCATGGGAAAACATTTGGGAAAGCGTGTAAAAATAAAAGTTGTTAGCCTGTGACAAAATGTGTCCAATTTCAGAGCCTGTCTTAACTTCTACAAAAATCCAGTTGTGATGCTACATGGGTCGCTGTAACTAAGCTGTTCCTGTCCAGGAATGGCCATTGTTAGCACAGCAATGATGTCTGGGAATCCCTGCTCGTCCCAGAACAGCTGCTGACGGGGGAGGCAGGGATGGCACTCTGGTTGTTACTTTAACTGGTTTACAAACGGCAACAACAACATGCAATCGCCAACATAGATCCTGGGGGGGCCTCCACCATTCTTACTTGGCTGATCCCCAAAGTAACCATGGGGGCCGGTCGGAGTGATGGAAGGGCTGCTCTCGTTCCACAGGTGCCTCCTTTGAACACTGGGCCGCTTTGAGGGTCTGGACTTCACGGCCCTCTTCCTCTCCTGGCTGGGATTTCTGCATTTCAGAGGTTTGGACTAGATTACCCTTTGGGGTCCCTTCCAACTCTACAAAGCACTCCTAATTACTGAGATCACTACTGTCACTTCCAGTGGCAGTGATGAATCAAGGAGTACTTCTAGACTGTATGCCTGTTCCTTCAGAAAGTACAGCCTCATTCAGACCAGTGATGGGGTGGGCTACCTCTGTTCTGTCCAGTGCCACATTCCCTGGGGTAGAGAAGTAATCTGTGGACCTTGCATGCTGAGTGGTGGTGGGGCACCTCCCTCCCCCTCTTCTTTTCCCCCTCTCTCTCGGCAGAGGAAGGAAGGTGTATTGTGAGCTGTGGCTCAGGCACAATATTATTTATTAATTTATAAACCACTTAAATGTCATAATGGCTTCTAAGCAGCACACAGCTATAAAATCGATACATACTTAGATCCACAATAACAAATCCATTGGGGCACTCAACATCCTTAATTAAAACCTACAGTAAAACAATTAAAAATCATAACAAAGGAATACAATCAGAAGTTCGGTATTGGTACAAGCCTCAGGAAATGGTGAAGCAAAGTATGCTGATTTGTCAAAGCTACTTGGTATTGTTTTATTTGCTGATTGTATTTGTGCTACAAACAGGTAGTAGCTAAAGCTTAAATCTAAGAGAGAGAGAGTTGTAGGCTGCAGTTCACTTCCTCCGTTCACTTTTTTATCCTTTTAATTCCCCAGGACGAATGTGGAAACAGCTTTCCTCCAGTTGTCGCATCTTTATTCCTTTCTCCCGGTGGGTCTAAGTTCATTCATCTAATGTACTGCTTCGCAAGATATGTCATAATGCAACATGTTAAAGTAGATTCTGCAGGTAAGCAATCATTTCTTGGGAGGCTTTCTATTCCAAACTAGCTTTTTTTATATGCACACCACGTGGGAAATAAATTGTAGGACATGTAGTTGATACTGGGTTCAAGGGATCAAAAAACAGAATGAAGGGGGGCCCATGCACAAAAGGCTTGAGAAACTTGCTTCTTCCATTGTAGGTGCTGACATATCCTATCCAGAAGCAGTGAACTCAAGACCTCCCGACTTGAACATTGCAGTTGCAAAATATCATGTAGCACAAAACAGATTTTTACACGGTCTGCAAAAGGAAGACACTTTGATTCAAGAATTGCAGAAAAAAGCATTGTAAGTAGAGTTTCTATAACATGTAAGTTGTGGCAGTTTGAGTGATCCAAACAACCGTATAGCTGAGATTGAGTTTTCGTTTCTGTGCTGCCTTCCAGCCAAAAGACGCCCTCACAAAGGGTAGCACACAAATACACAATTCAAATAAAAAAATAAGTATGAAACTTACAAAAATGTAAGACAAAATCTTAGCACTTCAAAAAAGACTAGAAGCCAAATAAATGCATGATCCTGCCAAGAGACATAGGGCAGTCTCTACAAAGATGTCAGGGAGAATAGGAGTAAATCCCTAGGGAGCAGGCCTGTGTAGCTAAAAAAGGCTTCTTGATACAAACAAACAAACAAACCAACTAAAACTTTTAGGGAGCTGCCATCTTAGAATTGCATATTACTAAAAAAGTAAACACATGAACTATGTGAAGCACATATTGGGGGTTTGGGGCTTAAGGAAAAAATGCTGTTTTCTCTTCATCAGCTGCTTTTGGGAGTATTGTACATTTAAGAATCTTTACCTGTAGCTATTGGCTTTTACTTCTTTGTTTGCAGGCATTTTAGTAAGCGAATTAGAGATTTAAAATTTGAAAATGCAGATCTGGACAAGCAACTCCAAAAGTAAGTGTACCCTCTTAGCTTGCTTTCATTTGAAAGTTTCAGTTTAGAGTTTTTTTGCCCTGGTTGTGGTGTTAACACATTTTCATTACAACATAATACCTGGCAGATATGAGAAGTGGGAGAAGGAAGCATTTTGTGTTGACTTGTATGTGATACGCTCTTGTCATGCCTAATGCTCTCAATGGCTACTGATTAGCTGTTAGCAAAAGACACCAGAATATGTGAGTCAGCTTTTGCTGTAGCACAAATTATACCATTGGCTCACACTTTTTGTGTTTTTCACTTTCTGGCTAGAATGGAGAAAGGCCTTAATCCAAGTCAGAACAACACGGCAGAGAGAGTTGAGAAGGTGAGGATATTTGATCATGTAATTCCAACTATCACCATCTGGTGCCCTGTCTCCCAGGACTGTCATTTTACGCGCATGCATATTTCTGCTTTCTCAAAGTATCTCATTTTCTCTCTCGTTTCCACCCCCGCTTTCTTTTACTTCCAAAGGTTCGCTGTTTATGGACACAGATAACGGAAACACTTACACGTCTACAAAAAGAAATAGAAGTTGTAGATTCAGTTGTCAAAGGTCATATTGACCAGTACGTATTAGATGGCACAAGTGTCGCTATTAATGTTCCGAGGCCTCTACTTGAAAAAGTTGAAAAGGATATGCACCAAGTAAGTTTCTATGCATCTTTGTTTTTGCGCCACTGTTTCTGTAGAATTGTTTTTTTTCTCTTGTCTGGTGTTGTTTCGTTTAGTTGTTTGAAATTCATTGTCCCCTAGTTACTGTGATTAGCAACTTTGTTAAGACAAAATGCAGGGAAAGATCTGCAGTATAGTGAAGATGTAATCAAACTTAAATCAAAGAGCTCTGTTCTAAGAGTTGTACTTCTTGCAAGATCATTCCACCCCTACACTGAGTTGGGCTTACGTGAGCCAGGCTCTCCTTGCAGCTGACCGATCATTGGGTTGGACGAGGTTCCATGCATATATCGGCACCCTTCATCTGTAATAAGCAGGGATGACTAACCCACGGGTCGCATACTACCCCCAAGAGATTCCCCCCCCCCATTTAAATTGTTTGCCATGTAAATTTTTAATTTAAGAGAAGTTTACTGATTGCTCCCAAGCATACACTAGCATGATGCCAAAAGTCTTTTGGTGCCCCTTTCTCAGTAGTCTCTTGAAAAATCACAATGAAAAATCGGTGATGCCTTCTTCTTTTATCCTTCAGCCACTCCCCATTTGACTTCCAGGCCCATGGCATAAAGAAACAATCTACAGCCCTGAATCTCAAGCCGCAGGCACTCAGTTATCTCTTAAATCACGGTCTTCACTCCATTTGTCTTGCATGGCTCACTATCCCATTATATTTTGCTCACTTTTCGAAAGAGGAATGGGGTGTTACGACGATGTATTTCTGTATTAATCAGTTCCTGCCCTTGTTTGCAACGTTTTGCAGTTTCATGTAGGGAATGTCTATGAAGAAGGAAAACTAAACGTTTTAACGGTTGTCCACTTACTCAACAAAGCTTTGGAAATACTGATGCATGAGCGCTGGCGCATTGACAAGAATGCACTAAAATTGGATCTTCAGTACATGGAAGGAAAGACCAAATACCAGAATGTTAATTTACAGTGTCTTAAGTCACTGAGGTGAGTTCAGAAGTCTGTGGCTTGCATATCCTACATGCACAGCCGCTTTTCACATACTTGTGGCATGAATAAACTGACTTACTGGCCTGGCTTAGATGTAAGGGTCTGGTAAACCATGATTTCCTGGATCTGGAGCAAACTATGCCCCATCTTCTGTTATCGACCTTAAGTCAATACTTCTATGGTTTATTAAGTCAATTTTCTCATGATATCTGAACCAGGGAACTGCTTTAAGTAATCCCTAAAACCAGGAACATTCCTGTTTTTTTACGATTTGCTTAAATCAGAGTTTTCTGGTTTGGATGCCATGAGGAAAGTGTGGTTTAACAAGCGCTGGAAGTATTCAGAAATGGAATAGAAAAGAGTGGGAAGCATACAAGCACATTATTTGTTTCTGGACTAGTTGATGGATCTGAACTTGGAGTACAAAATTCCTTTCTCCCTGTATGTCTTGGTGTCCAGATTCTATTTTAAACAGAGGACCTGTACTCTTTACCCTTCTGATTTTATTAACTTGCAGTTAGCTCATTTCAATTGCCTTTTGGTGAGTATTCTTGCTTTTCAGGTCTATACTAGTAGTCTAGTAACTGTTAACTTTTTAAGACACAAACTTACTTTTGTCAGTATCAAATAGCTTCAGATTTTTGTAAATGAAACTTGTATATTGTGGTCTTGCAGTTTCTTTCTGCTTACTCTAATTATGGTTCACAACTAGACTTTAGCTAAGGCACAGCTGCTGTGTAATTTATAGCAGATACATTCACTTGATATAACTCATTTGTTCATGAAATCTCAGTTTGCTTGAATAAAACACTTTGTAGTAACTATGATGGTTATTCTTCAATTCTTACAGGCAAAAATTAAAACGTGAAGATTGTGTATCAATAAAGCAGTCTATTTCTAAAAAACAGCAGGAATGGGATTTGAAGTGGGAAAATTGCCTTGGCCAGTCACCTTTTCATTTAATTAAAAATCCAGATCCTGTAAGTATCCTTTCAGGGAGAGTAAAAGGCTTGTGTTGATTTTAAAAAATGTATTGTTATTGTTATACCAATTGTTTAACTTGACCAACACACTTTTTGGTAGTGACGCTGGTAAAATCCTCAAGTATTTTGCAATGGTTAATTCTCTTGATTTGAACCTTCTTAAAGAGCCAAACTTATGACCCCTTACTATTGTAAGGTTGTAAGTATAATGTTTTTAGAATGTTGCACTATTTTAGTGTTGTTAGCCGCCCTGAGCCCGGCTTCAGCTGGGGAGGGCGGGATATAAATAAAACTTATTATTATTATTATTATTATTATTATTACTATTATTATTATTAAGTTTTCAAATGTTTATTGAAATGGTAAAACTTAAGGGCAGCCTTTTAGATTTTGAAAAGAGGCTGTGTGGTTTTAAAATTTTGTAGGAATTTTAAGTTTTCTGGAATATTGACGATATATTACTCAGAGCTAAAAAATATTGTTTAACATAACTTTTTGAATGTCTTTCTTTTTAAGGCACTTGACTTATTACCAGCCATGTCTCCCCTTTCTTTTTCTCCTGCTACCGAGGAAGCTTATAAAAGCAGTGTCTTCTGCCAGTACCCTGCATCAATTCCAGGTAAATCTCAAGAGCAGCTTTATCAATCCTGCCCTGAGATCCATAGCCTCAGAGCATGGGTAAGGGCTTTCGATGGCAACAGTCACAGACATGTCTGTCTTCCTCTTTGCATATTTATACATTTAAAATTATCATCATTAGCCATATTTTTTTAATCATCTTGCTAACATGGGCACAATATTTGAGGCATGTAGTATTAGTCATTAGGGCAGGAATCCCAAACTTGGCCCTCCAGATGTTTTGGGACTACAACTCCCATCATCCCTAGCTAACAGGACCAGCGGTCAGGGGTGATGGGATTTGTAGTCCCAAAACATCTGGAGGGCCGAGTTTGGGGATGCCTGCATTAGGGTATTCTAATCTAGTAAATATAACAAATTTGCACTTCTCGAAAAGCCATGATTCTCTTTGTAAAAATGTATTTTTAGATTCTACCAAGAAGAAGAGTTTTCAGAAAACAGAACTTGAGCTTCCTGGCAAAGCATCAAGATGTCAAGGTAGTTCAGATGGGGTAATTGCAGAGAGGTATGGCTTTAATATGTCCTTATGCATCAAAGGGCTGTGTGTGTGTGTTGAATGTGACACAAGTCTGAAAATTGGAGGAGCAGGTATTATACAGGGATGAAGTACTGCTACACATCTCACCTCTTGTTTATAGTTCTGTGACCATCTCATGGAAATGCAATGCGAATCAGTCTTTTCCTTCTGATGCAAATCTAAATTTGAGCTCTAAGGCTATATGGCTTCACTTACCTGCCGTCTCTTACGTTTCCTTAGTCCCAGGAGGCGCCCAGGTCCAATATGGGGGCAGAGGAGGAACAGCAGAGCTGAATTAATTTATGCTTGGTTTCTCTTGTAATGGGAAGCTACCCTCAAGTGAGGAGGACCCCACTTGCGCTGCTGCTGCTCCTGTCAGGTTTGGGAAGCATCTCTGAAGAATGTTGTCCGTCCCCCCATTTCCCCCCCCCCCATAAGACATGCATGCTGCTCCCTGAAGTTCTTAGGGTTGAAATATCATTTGAGCTACACGTGCAACTGATTCTGCACAGGTCAATATTGACCCAGCTATATATGAGGCATACCTTCCAGCTCTTGTAGCCCTTCCTATAAAGGACTATAAATAGTTTATCCAAATAGGGGGAAATACTGTATTTTCCCGTGTATAAGACTTAAGTTATTTTCTTAAAATAATTGTGCTACAAACTTGGGGTCGTCTTATACATGGATAGTGGAGAGGTGGGACGGGCGATTGGTGGCTGCTGCAAACAGGATATTGCCTGCGGCATTTTTGTGGGTGATTGGTGGGTGCTGCAAGGTCCGCTGGCTACTGGCTTCTGCGGCAATTGGTGCTTGCTTTCGGCGAGTGTGCAGACAGTTGGCTGTTGAGTTCCTGCGGGTGGGCGATTTTTGGCAAAACCGCCACCCCAAATGCTCAACAAGTCTGGGCAATCCCCCCCCAAAAGATCAACAACTCTGGCCAATCTCCCCCCAAAAAAGCTCAGCAACTCTGGACAATCTCCCCCCATTTTCTCTATTTGAAGAGGGGGCGTCTTATACATGGGAAAATACAGTACTTACCATATGTAAAACACTGATTTTGCTTGAAGTTCTCTGTGTGGATTGCTACCAGTTCGTAAACTGGTCTTCATCAATTTGTGATTGTGTGGCATGGTGTGCAGTTGCGATTTGTGTGCAAGCTGTCTTTAAAAGCATTCTATGAAGCATATATTTCCAGGCACTGAATTCTTTGTGTGTGCATATATTGTTGTTCATGAGATTCACCTTTATACTTCTGGGAGGCTGATACTCAAATAGAGATAAAGCTTTGCTCTAGTTGGCACTAGCTCTCCCTATAATAAAACTGCCTTTTGATGACCGGGACGAATTGAGGGAAATCGTAACGGACAGATACGGGGCATACAGCTTTTGACTGAATGAAGTGCAGAGCATCAACAGTATGCATTTAGTAATATTTTCACCTCTCCTCACCCCCCCGCCCCCAGGATGGTCGTGCCCTCTTCCAGTCTCGCCACAGCGTCTGAAAATGAAACATGGGTATCTTCGGAAAAGGTAACCTAACTGTTCTTGAAAAGCTGAAGTGTCTACAAGGAGTTACAGAGCTTGGAGTAAAGTCATAATTTGGCCTGGTTCTGTCTTTCCCAGCTTGTGGATGGGAGTGATTTCTGCTTTTGGTTGGAGGAGAAGGGAGACAATATAGGCACCAAGAAGTAGTGCTACTCTGGGTGTGAGGCAGCACATAGACTATTTTGTGAGTGTTCCCTGCCTTCCACATGGTGTTGATCGGCTTCAAAAAACGTTATTACTTCATAGAGAGGCCATTGCCTTGAAGAAGCTGAACCTTATCCTAAGATTATTTTACTGGTTTTGACCTTTTAAAGGCCTTGAGACCATATATGCCTGCCAGTAGACATGCATGAGAGAGAGGGCCTTTTCAGTGGTGCTCCTGTGCCTAAGGAATTATTTATTCTATGGCCTAATAGATTTATAAATATTTCTAAGCCATTCATTGGGTTTTTAAATAGTTGTCTTGATTTTCATTATTTATTTTATTTTATTTTATGTTGTGTACTGTTTTTAGTTCTTTATTAGATTTCTTACCACCCGTCCCAGGGCAGGTTACAACAATAAAATACGTGAAATTTATTAAACAAATGAAACAATTATAATGGGGAAACACAAAAGTGTCAAAACAATTAAAAACATTTCCATATATAAAATAATTCCATATAATAACAACTAACAATAATTGCCAACTTGGGAGCTATCTTGTGAGGTTATCTACCCTGAAAGAGGGCCTAAAATCTTTAAAATTAAATGTTTAAAATGTGTATATGGTGCAAATGTGGCTTGGTTGCTGCGACATCATAAAATCTTTTACCTTAAAGAAGACCAGCTACACCAAGCTTTTCTGTAGTGACAGCCCAAAACCTGCTTCTCCCTTCTGAATAGGGGAATCCATATAATTCGGGAAACTGCAGCATTGTCTGTTGCAGTTAAATCTGCCATGGTGGTTATGTTGTCAAGAACGACAGTCTGCATCTAAAACCGGTCCTTGAGCATTTGTGCAAATAATTGCATCATTTCAGGGATCGGTTACTGAAACACCCAAGGCAGCAGATCACTCTAGTTATCAACTCTTAAGATATAAAGGAAGAAGTTCAAGACCTGCAAAAACAGCAAAGAAAAAACAAGCTGATACATTCAAAACGCCATCTTCCGTTAAACGAGAAGATCCTCTGAAGAAGGCACAAGAGCAACTGGCGGAACAGGTGAGAGACGTCCTTGAATGTGATTCAGCCAGAAAATTGCCACAAGGCAAGCAGCTCTGCTTAGCTCCGGCATAGGCAAACTCTGGCCCTCCAGATGTTTGGGACTACCATTCCCATCATCCCTAGCTAACAGGACCAGTGGTCAGGGATGATGGGAATTGTAGTCCTAAACACCTGGAGGGCCAGAGTTTGCCTATGCCTGGCTTAGCTGGATTCAGTATTGGAAGGTCTGAGGTGGGAGAGGGACTTCCTTCTTCCCTTTGGCCGTGGATAAGCAGAACAAAGCAAAAGCAGTCTCTTAACCATTTAAAGAGATTTTAATGATCACAGCTCAAGAACATCTCGGAGGAAAGGTGTTCCCAATTAAGGTTTCCACCCACTTCCCTGCCCCCCCAGTCCCATCACTTCCATCTTGCAACCACCGTGCTTTTTGTGTAGCCACCTTATCTGCTCTACGTGACCTTGGACTGATAGGCTGGACACTTTCCAGTGAGAGAGAGAGTCTGTTAGCGCGCTCTCTCTCTCTCTCTCTCTCTCTCTCCCAGTTCTTCTTCACTTTGCTGTTCACCCTCCCAGTTCTTGCCAACTATGCCCCTCTGCAAACCACTGTTTCAAATCTATACTGCTCTACTGCTCCTGGGCAGCTTCAGGATCCTGGTCAGAGGAGGGGGAGGCTCCCACCATTCCTCATCAGAGGTGCAGACCTCAGCCTGGTCTCTTGACACCTAGGAAAGAGTTGGGAAATCTGCTTGCATCTTGAGCAGCTGCTTTAAAAGCTGTTTCATTGGCAGGTGTCTAATGAACTAGTTTTTCTGTCGAAGTTTTACTAATGCTACTCTAAAGCTCAATGTTAATAGTCCCATAGTTTGTCAAAGCTGGATTCAGAGTCCCATGAGTAGAACCCGGTCCTGTGGAAACCTGTGTTACTTGTATGTTTTTTTGTGTGTATTTTTTTGCAGATGGCAGATGTAGTAGTATCTAATTCTCCCCAGAGCACTCGAGGAGGAGGACAGGATTTGGAGGACCTGTTTGGCACCTTAATCTCAGATCCCTTCTTAACAAAGAAACAGATTCCACGGACCCCAGAAAATCTGAGTGAGTATCTCTAATATTCCACCCTTTAATTACCTATGGCAGAGGATTCTGCAATGCCAGTTGGTACAAAGTTAAGGTTTTGAGGGAATGTAATTCCTTTGTCTGATGCAGGAATTTTACAAGAAGTCGCGTTCTCTCTTGAACAGGTAGAATAGACACCACAATTAAAGGCATCAGAGAAATCGTTCAATATTTTGGGCAGTCAGTGATGCTTCTGTGCTAGATGGCAACGTTTTCCTCTAGGACTCAAGTGTTGAAGGCAATGGCAGCTGATACCTTTTGACACACAGGTTCTTGCAGATGCAGCCTCATCCTTTCCGCCTCTGTCCATTTTTCTTTAAAGGGTCAGGAAGAAGGAAGCAGAAATTGTCCTGGTTGGCTCCCTGGACTAGGAGGCTCCCTTTTTGGTGCTGACTGACTCATTGAGAGGCCAGTAAATTGTTCCCTCTCGTCACTCCAGCTGTTCTTGGGGGGAAAGTGTGATGTCCTCTATGTTGGCCTGTATGAATAACCTGCCAAATTGTAATTACATGTGGGAAAGGAGGAGAACAATGATTGGTCAGAGTTCAGTTACGAGCCAGATTAGCAGAAATGCTAATAGTTCCCAAAGGGGGTGATTCTTTCCAACTTTTAACTTTATTCTTCTGCAGCCTAATTCATTTATTGTACAAGACACGCACAGACTATGGTATTACCTTCACTCCCTGAGAATCCATTTTTTGTTTATGAAGAGTAAGTTTCTTTTCCTTATGGCAACAAAACAGGCATTTCCATTCTGTGGGCGATGCCTGGTGAAATACGCCTGGAGGAGGGAAGCCTTTTCACTGATCAGAGGTTGATGCTTCAGCCTATTGTCTTGCTGTTCACATGACTAGCAGAGCAGTTCAAGCTAAGAAAATCTGTTCGGATCATACAGAACCTGATTTTTAAACGCAGATCAGTCACAGTCTGGCAGTACAAATAGTTTTGCTTCCCTGAACTTTGACATTATATCCACCATTCTTCTAAGGACCTTATACTTAAGTAACTGATGACATTGCATGTGGAAGGAAGCGAGGGAATCCAAACGGTCTGGGCCCAGTATCCCGGAAGGAGCGTCTCCACCCCCATCGTTCAGCTTGGCCACTGAGGTCCAGCGCCAAGAGCCTTCTGGCGGTTCTCTCCCTGTGAAAAGTGAGGTTACAGGGAACCAGGCAGAGGGCCTTCTCGGTAGTGGCGCCCGCCCTGTGGAACGCCCTCCCATCAAATGTCAAGGAAATACAGTGGTACCTCGGGTTACAGACGCTTCAGGTTACATATGCTTCAGGTTACTGACCCCGCTAACCCAGAAGTAGTACCTCGGGTTAAGAACTTTGCTTCAGGATGAGAACAGAAATCGTGCTCCAGCGGTGCGGCGTCAGCAGGAGGCCCCATTAGCTAAAGTGGTGCTTCAGGTTAAGAACAGTTTCAGGTTAAGAATGGACCTCTGGAACGAATTAAGTACTTAACCCGAGGTACCACTGTAAACAACTATCTGACTTTTAGAAGACATCTGAAGGCAGTCCTGTTTAGGGAAGCTTTTAGTGTTTGATGTTTTATCGTGTTTTTAATATCCTGTTGGAAGCCTCCCAGAGTGGCTGGGGAGGCCTGGCCAGATGAGTGGGGTATAAGTAATATTTATATTTATATTTATATTTATATTTATATTTATATTAGCTGTCCTAGCTAGTTTTGAAGGTAACATGCTAACTGTGCAATAGAAACACATTGGATAGGAGTATGGTCTCCAGTGCAGTGCTACATTTCACTTATTCTTGATTGAATTTTAGTTGCTGAAATTAGAAGCTCCTGGAAAAAAGCTATCCAGGATGAAGAAGCCTCAAGTGTGGAAAGGAATCATACCGAAGCAATAAAAGACATGCCGGAGGACCGAGTCCCTGTGTCTCGAAACCAAGTAGATTCAAGTATGGCATGCTTTATGTCTTCATGCATGTCTGATACAGCAGAATCTCCATTTCTGGATGCGCGGTCTCCATTTTGTTTCCAGCAGGTGGTTACCGGTTGTAGCGAATTGCTGACCTGTCAAGCAGCTGCTGGGCCAATGGGTGAGATGTTTTGGAAGCAAGGGTTAACATGCGCTGTTCCAGGCAAATGTGAAACAAAAAGTCCAGAACCTGGCCTCAAGACTGAACGTGCAAGTGAGCTGGAGGATGGTCCATGGAATGGCATTGCGGCAGAGACTTTGCCTCCTTATGTGAGCCAGAATTCTTCTATGAGTACAACTGTGTCATGGGATGGTCTTCCGATAGGAAGCTGCTCTGATAGCCAGGAAGTTATCCAACTGGGCATACTTCAAGAAACCCTTCCCGAGGAAGGGGCACTCTTAAGCCTTAATAATAGTTGTAAAGATTTTGAACTGGATGAAGTAAGAGAAGACAGCAACACTTTGCCGGACTGCGTGGCAGGAAGTGCGTGCAAACTGGATTTGCAATCTATTCGAAGGCGCTTGGAAACGTTGAAAAAATCTGCGCTCGAAAACTCGCTGCCTTCTAAAAAACAAATCCCAAGGTGCAGGTCTGAGTTTAGTCTCTCTCCGGCGAGCTTGGAAGCTTGCAATGTTCTTACCCCTTCGGGGAAACCATATGCATCAGATGCAGAACTTGCCGGGAAACCATCGCACACGACTCTACTTGAAAGAAAGATCCTTCTCTCCCCCCTGGGTTCGCTTCCTTCAACGCCACAGAGAGAGCAGTCAGGCTCACAGGATAGGGGAGACCTGTTAAACGGTTAGTACCTGTTGGATCTTGCAGATGAAAATGTGTTTTATTGCCGTGTTGGGTTGGGTTGGCATTCCTCTGTTTTCAGTGTATGATTTTGGCCACAGTCCTCTTGTTTGCCTACAGGGGAAGCAGTGGTTAGAGCATCTGCTTTGTACGTAGAAGGGGCAGGTTTCTCCCTAATCATCCACAGTTAGGGGTGTCCACACCCGCTCTCTGAAACTCTGAAGAGCTGATGTCAGTCAATGTAGACTCGATAAAAAGCAGCTTCCTATGTTCCCAAGCCCCAGTGAACATGATGGGACTTCTGAAGCAGGCATAGGATTGCTGTGATGGAACACTTTCTAATACTGAGTGGGGCGGAAGCTAAGGAATGCCAGCAAACTGCTAGCACAGTTCTGTAAGGGATAAAATAGCTTGCATTTCTGCTGTGCTCAGATTTGCATTTTCTAGCGCAAGCAGTCATGCCATAGTAGGTACACAAGGGAGCAAGTAGCTGTGTGAAACGGCTTATGAACATGAGACGGGAGCCAAAGAAGCATGCCACTAATTCTGCACATCCAAGGTAGTGTCTAGTTTTGGGGTTTTTTGCCCCACCATTTCCTATGTAGCAAACAGCTTTTTAAACTTTGGGGACTTCCCAGACCAGTTTGTGTTAGAGCAAGAAAGTCTGCTGTCTGTTTTTTATTTCTTTGTTTAATTCTCATTTGTTCCCACTTGCACAACAAGTTCTCTGGATATAGTTTTATTTAACAAAATCCACGTGCTGATTTTTTAAAACAATCTTGTATTCAGAGATCTTGCATGCGTCGTTTGTGCAAGGAAAATGATTTCTCATTTTCTGCCCTTAACATGTGAAACATATTCTCTCAGTTTTGACCATCTTATTCTTAATATTATCTAAATTCTAATAGCCAAAGTGACCATAAAAATCTTCTTTTGCTACTTGGAAGCTTAAAAAGTTTTAACCGAGGTTGCTTTGTAATTGATTTCTACCCCATACATAACAGGGTACATCCTTGGAAGACTTTATGCCTAAAGGACTATTATTTCTAGGCAAGTTTAAAAAAAATAATTGAAAAGTTTTTGAATGGCATATGTGTTTCTTTTTCAGAAATGTAGCATGGAACTGGATGTAAAAGAATCTTCATCTGCAAAGATCTGTAAAGATGAAAACATTCCTTGGTTATATAACAATGCACTAACTTCAGAAACTTAAACATTTCACTTTTACCTAAAGTATTTTTTTTTTTTGTAAACCTCATGCTTTCATTGAGATTTTGGTGTTAAACAATGCAAACTCTGACTTAGTTTGTTGCATAGTCCCCATTATGGTGCTCTTCTGTTTTTACTGATTAAGAGATCCTGAAAAATTGAGGCCATTTGAGACTTTCACAAGCATGGAGTGTTAAGAGACTGAACCAACAAACATTATCTGTGTTTGTTACCTTTACATATCATAACTGCATTCTAATCAGATTTTGACAGATCATTTTGCTCTAACCCTTTTCAGCACATGTTCTTAATGAAATGCTCTTGTAAATAATTGGCTAAACCAATTGCCCATTCTTATGTCAACTCTTCCTCCTGTGTGTGAATCTACAGAGGTTTAAGAATAGTCCTCATTACGCAGATGTTTTCATCTTTCTCTTCTGTGTTTTCTCTTAATATTTGCTGTTGCAAGATCCTCCCCCTAAAATAGGTTATGTGCTGTGTATTTAAGAACTAATCTAAAAAACGGAGAGCTTGCTTTGTTAGAACACATTTGCCCAGACATAGCTTGGTCATGTAGACAATGAACTGAATTCTAGTAACTAACGTATTGTCTTAAAACTTTCACTTGTCTTAAAATATTTATTAAAATGAAATAAAAGTTTCACTTTTTGTAAAGCATAATAAACCTCTCTCAATAAAATCTTCTGAATTAAGGGTTTCCCTCCTTCAGCTCTTTGGAAGAATGAAGTAAATTTATTTAAGGCTATGAAAGAGGCCCAACTTGTGTTTTATGCCTGTTCACTTATTTTAGGCTGGATTCAGCTAATGGGTCCTGCCAGCGAAAGCCCAGGTAAGGCCTTCTGCTAGCATAACAGGTCTTTTCAAACTTCTGCAGCCCCCCTCCCCCATTGGTTCTGAGTGGTCCAAAATGCTTTCGCTGGTGGAATAGTCATCTTAGCGCCACATTGAATTCCTCCTAAACATCCCTCCAGCTTTATGGCGGATGGTCTGTTCATGTGACTACTGTGGCTTCTGAGCTGGGAAAGTATTTTTCCAGCAGCAATTTTCTATACTTCATGAACCATTATTATTAATTTCATTTCTATACCACTTTATATTTTTAAGAATCTCAAAGTGGTTTGCAGCATATTAAAACATCAATAAAACAATCTGAAGAAAGTCAAATAGAAAACTAAAACATTATCTTAAAGATTTCAAAATAAAATATTACAAAGGAGGTCAACTACAGAATACATATTTAACACAAAGTTAACAAAATCTTAAGCATTTAAAAACAACACATTCCTAAGTGAAGTCAAATGCACATTTAAAACACCATAATTAACAAGAGAATAAAACTGCGCTTAGGAGCCTCTCTGATCACAGAAGGGGCTTTTGCCCCTAGCATTTAGTAAATTTCCCTCTTGCATGCTGTATTGCAGCATTTGGGTTATGCAGGTCAGGGGAAGTGGACCTGCCAGAATTTTCTCATTTGGAAAACCCAAATAGTGTCATAGTGAAGTCTTCAAGGTGGAATCTACACACATATAGAAAACGCTTTGAAAATGCTTTTTTTTTAAAAGACGTTTTGGAAAAATACTTTTACTTTTGCTTAGCTCACTCTTGCCATCTAGTGTCACATTTGTATATTGCACTTTACAACACATTTAAAAAGTTTTATTTGCAGCTGTGTAGCTGAATCCCAAGTCAGATTTGCTACTTTTTCATATAGCGTGTAAATGTAGAAAAGCCCCTATAAAAGAAACTGCCAGCAAGGGAAGATGTCTTCTTTCATACGTTTCAGCTGCACAGCTTGCTCCCTTGCCTCAAAATATTTTGTTGGGACTTGGTACCTGATAGGATGACACCAAGGATGCTGGCCAAGTAATCCTGATACAATGTGGAGTGCCATTTAATTTCTGTCTCTGTACTAGATTTAAGGATATTTTGTAAGCCACTGTGATACTCTTGGGTCTATAAAGCAGGATATACATATTCTCCCTAATACAAAAAGTCTTGTGGCCTGTCTCAGTAACATTTTTATTACAGGAAGTGTTCTAATATCAAACATGTGTACGGATCTGTTTTCAGTATTAGTGGGCAGCGTGTGGGTTTTGCTCCACTCCACGTTCACAGGTAGTTTTGACAATGTTGCAGGAAATATGCCCCAAATGCCCACAGGAACAGAAATAAGAAAACAATAGCCATTTAATATTAATGTGTTACTGTGCCTTTGGCATTGATACATTAAGGTTTTCAAAGGACTGATGCGAAGCTCCACATGGAAGGGTAACAGTTCTCAAATAAAAGTATTGTCAAGTAATATTTGCAGTTGTATTAACTAAATTTTGTTTTCCTTTTATAAATATTGAAATGGGGGCCCTTCAGCTTGCATCTCTAAAGCAGCCCTGCTCCAGTTGCCCACAACTGGAGTAGTTTAGTGATTCCCAGATTTAAAATGGAGCTGGCTATAAATTAAGCTATGAATTCCTCCTCTGTTTTGTGGTGGGGGCTGTGCTAAGTCCTGCTTTTGGCAGTTTTGCTGCTGCAAGATCCAGGTCTACCTTGGTGACTTCACAAAGGATCTCCAAGTGACCACCCCAAGAGGATATTATGAGTCCCCTGTCCTTTGCAGAGCAGGCCTGGATTTAGTAGAGGCTTGAACAGCAGCAAGTTTAGGGGGAAAGAGAATTTGTGCTGCTCTAGGAAAGCTGACTAGCTGAGATGTGCAGAATACTTTATTCCTTTGTGACCTGCTGCAGTGAGATGAGGAAGAGCTAGCCTGCAGGTTGCACCCCAGAAGAAACAGGACTGCAGCAGCCATGGCTTCTCGAGCGGTTTCACGTCTCTCCCAGCCATGCATTTGCGAGATTTGCGACTGTGGGTATGTATATGCCATGTGCTGGCTTGCGCAATCATAGATCAAGATACACACCTCCATCCCCATTCACGGTTAAGTGGCTTTCGCAGAGCTGTTACGGACAGACAGAATCTCTCCTCGCTGTGTTGTGGTCCATGGTCCCGTGGCCAAGGATGTATACGAGTTGATTTTCAGAACGGCCACGTGACTTTTAATGCCTTTACATAGTTCCATCCTTATTTCAGACAGTGTGATATATCAGTATATCATTATGTTTAGCTGGTGATATGCTGCGATGTTGAAAACCATCTATTGCCCAGCCCTACTGGGTGGCTGGTAGTAGCTGGCCTGACCTAGAAGTTTTGGGGGAAGTGTTGCTGGTAGGGATCTGGGTGGTCATTCTTTGCAATCGGTAGTTTCTTCTGCTTGGTATGAATTTGCATTGCAAAACACATCAGGTCTTGGTTTTGCCCATTTTGTTCCAATGTGAATTGACTTGGAACATCCAAAACATGTTTGCATCCATAAACCACCTTGCTTAGGGCAGCTGTTGGTCGTCTAGTAGGGCTTTTCTGAACTGCATCAGGTATACTTTCCTGCAATGGTAACCATCTCTATATGTTTTCTGGATATGCATTAGGACAGTATGTGTATAAACCAGTAGTGCAGCTTGATCACCGGGAACCTCAGATTTCGTGATTGCAGTGGAAAACCTTTAACTATGAAGTGCCCATGGCAACTTTCTGATATCACTGGCTCTAAGCCCATGTGTTTTCATGGCTGTCCAGTCATTGGTTTCAACCTTGCAGTACTCCTTTTTTAATTCTACACCTCTGATGCAGTCCAGACATTGCATAAAGTCAGCATACTGACATTGGGTGACAGTTTTCTTGAGCCTCTGTGGGTCGTGACCTGGATGCTCCTGCCTGTGCGAGAGGTTGCTTCAATCTCTACATCTGGAGCAATGTGTGTGGGCCCACAGCTGGGGAACTCGATGTGTTTGGTGGATTTGGCACAGAGCAGAAACACACACATCGCCCACTGTTAGTACATCTGTGTCTCCTTTATTTTGGGTACATTAACACTTTTCCTAGCTTTCCACATCTGTTGCTGTTTTTCCATGGCACTGACAGTGGTTTCAGATATATTTACAAAAGGAGTCGCGCTGGTGCTGAATTTGGTCCGCGTTTGCCTTAATCTCTCATTTATGGATACACTGGCTGCTCAGCTGTCTCTTTCCAAAGTGTCTACATTTCAGTGGTTAGCGCCACGGACGCCATGCAGAGATGTCTGTGAGAAGCTGGTTTTTCAGCACAGCCAGCAGCAAAATAATGTTATTCCACAATTATTTGTATTTGCGGTGTGAAACTCTGTTTGCTTGACACAATTCAGCACAGTCCATCCTTTCCAGCTTGAAACAGGATTAAGTGTTGACAGTCTCCTCCAACCCATAATAAGAAAAGAATGAAGGGATTGAGTCTATAGATGAGGACAATAACTCACTGGAAGACCCAGAAGTGGGAACTTGTTTAAGAAGTATCTTTAAATGTTGGAATCTAGACTCACAATATCGTGCTGTAGTAGATATATATAGATTTGTGTGGTGGTGAGTTCTCATATTCCTAGCAGATTTATCTGAATTCTTAACATTCCACCGCACTTGTGTGATCAAGGATCTGAACCCAGGGTAGATCAGAGCAGGCTTGATTCTCAATGTCTGGGGTTAGATGAGTCAGTAAACAGATGTACCCCACAGACTTCCCCACCTCTTAGGAATGAAAAGATAAAGGTAAAGGACCCATGGACGGTTAAGTCCAGTCAATGGTGACTATGGGATTGTGGTGCTCAACTCGCTTTCAGGCCGAGGGAGCCACCGTTTGTCCACAGACAGCTTCCCGGGACATGTGGCCAGCAGGACTAAACCGCTTCTGGCGCAACGGGACACCATGATGGAAACCAGAGCGCATGGAAATGCCGTTTACCTTCACGCCACGGCGGTACCTATTTACCTGCCTGCACTGGTATGCTTTCGAACTGCTAGGTTGGCAGGAGCTGGGACAGAGCAATAGGAGCTCACTCCATTGCAGGGATTCAAACCGCCGACCTTCTGATCGACAAGCCCAAGAGGCTTAGTGGTTTAGAGCATGGCACTACCCGCTCCCTTAATGAAAAAGCAAAGTATAGCATTTGGGGGACACAGCTACAGTCGAGACAGAACCCAGACACTAAGTGACTTAGCCTTCACTGACAAGGATCATGCAGTGTGTCTCTTTGACCGCAGCGTACAGAGGTGTTCTGCCCCCTCAGAAGTCCTTGGAGTATCTGTGGAGACTTCCTATGCAAGGAAAAGAGGAAAGGGAGCTGCTAGATGCAGGCTCTACGTGTTTCAAATTAGTATGTTCAGAGGTACATTTTAAACAACCAATCTTGCTATTCGGTCTCTGGTGATTCTGCTGTAAAGTAGCTTGGACTGTTTGGCAGCAGAGTTGCTGGAGACTAAAGATTAAGGCTGGTTGTTTTTACGATGTTCTTCAGGAACATGCTTAATTTGAAATGTCTTAGATCCAACGAAGTGAACTTTGCACTGAATGTTTCTGCTTTTTACCAGTATTGGTGCTTTCCCGTGTCTACATCTGGCCCGTCGTTTAAAGCCATTTTGTTTGTAATATGTGTTGTAAGGACGTGCGAGGATGGCCAAACACTTCTGTTTGGGGAATCTGAAGTGCTGGAAAACCTTGTCTTCTGACGAGTTTATTGCCCTCAATAATTCTCTTAAGATAGTGGTTGGTAGTACTGAAACAGCTTGAAAGGTAAAGCAATCTGTACTTCTGCCCTTGATAAATACGAATATTCAGATGATGCATAACTTGGGCAAAAGGTGCAAATCCACTCAGAATTTGAAAACTAGCAAAGCTGTGTAAGATCGAGCTACATCCATTCTTCTATAGTCTCTCTCTCTTTTAAGACGCAACCTCTGTGAACTTGGCATGTATTATTATTATGATGTACAGGTGGTAACCATTTTGCCTGCATTCAGTTGACGTGTGACAGCCGATGCACAGGTCCTTTTGGACCCGGAGGAGGGGGCGGCTTATGCATACTCTACTGTTGTGCATGGGGGCCAGGAATGGAAGCCCTGTGCAAAATGCTCACCCCCCTGTAAGCGCGCGCGCACACACACACACACACACACACACACAGAATTCCTCGTGAAACACCTAAACCAAGGAAACTTACAACAGCAAAAAGGCCAGCGAACGCCCCCCTCCAAACAAACCCACCTATAAAACGCACAAACCATAGCTGCTAAAACAATTTAGCAATCCAAACCGGCAAAGGAGAACTTTGTGCAAAGACTGAAGCACCCAAGTCAGTGCAGTCTGTTCCCTCCAACCCAGACAGCCTATTCAGCAGGATACCATGGTTGATGGAGTCAAAAGGATTGAAGAAAACTGACAGTGTGTCACACACACCCATCTGTGTCTCAGCAGAGGTGATCCCACAGGGCAACAAAATCAGTTTCCGTTCCGCAACCAGGCCTCAAGCCCACTGAAGCGGATCTAGTAAATCAGTGTTGTCCGCAGAGAGTCATGAGCTGAGCAACCACCCACTCAAACATCTTGCCAAGGAAGGGATTTTCTTTTGAATCCGACATATAGTTATTAACACCTCCTTGATCCAGCCTATGTTACTTTAGGAACAGTGCAGTCATTGCATCCTTTAAAGACTCTGGATCCAACGCCTCTTTTGATGAGGAATTTACAACCACCTTGACATAACAATGTGGAACTTCTGTCTCGTTTGTCCTTTCAGATGCCTGATGGCTTGCTGATGTTTCCTAGCGCATATCATTATTTGTGACCTTGCCCGCTGCAGGGTATAACATAAGGGGAATGCTGTATCTATCAGCAGGAAGCTATTTAGTCTGGGCTGTGGAGCCATGCTAGGGATATCCATCAGGACCCTCTGCGGGGCTGGAGAGTGATCCAACTGCCTGTGTGTCAACAGGGTGGCTATTTATTATTTTGCTCCAAAGAATAGAGCTGTGTGTATTTTGCTGGCTTGCTTTGTGCTTTGACCAAGAGATTTGAACACATGGGAAGCAGTTTCTCTTCTCAAAAGTTTTTTAAATGCATGTAATGTTCCTTCATCCTTCACGGCGAGGTGAAAATATGTAGACATGGATAAAAGTACCTAGTGTGAAATATTTACATTTTAAGAGGGCATTCAACACCTGCTGCCCTCACCTGAGTATACAAGCTCCGGAAGCCGTTCAAATAACTGCAGCAGGAGAAGAACAGAGCCACCGAGGTGCATTATTTTGAATATTGACTTTAATGGAAGGCACACTTCAGCCATTGTATGTTTGCGAAACAGGCGTGCATCTGTTCAACAGGTTACCGTAGAGGCGGTGAACTTGCTGCCCTCCAAATGTCGCTGGACTCCAGCTCCCATCATCCCTGGCTATCTGAAGCCGGGCTGACTGAGGTTGTTGAACTCCAACTCAGCATCAGTATCTGGGAGAAGCACAGATTCCCCATCCCTAGGTTACAGTGATTTAGGCTGGAACTAAAGGTTTCCCTTCGCTGACCAAAGGAACTTCTGCCAAGAAGACTTACTGTATCCACAGAAGAGGACCTTTCGGATCTGAATACGAGTCTTCCCATGAGTAGTTGTTGTTGTGCACCTAATGTTGTGCATCTAAAATCAACATTGATGTTCCAGTTGGCATCTGATTTTTTTTTCTGAATGGTATCTAACAACAACGCTGGTAGGTTCTGGGCTATGGGATCTGATAATGGCAACTAGCAGATTGAGGTTGAATCCTGACAAGACAGAAGTACCATTTTGGGGGGACGGGGCGGGCACGTGTGGGAGACTCCCTGGTCCTGAATGGGTTTACTATGCCCCCGAAGCCTTGGGTAGGCTTGCCATACATCTGGAATTTCCTGGACATACCCAGAATACTGCTGTCAGAAGCAGTGCCCCGGCAGAAATTGGCATATCCGAACTTATGGCAACCCATGTCGGTAGTGTTTTTGCCTATTTTCCTTTTAAAAAAGATAAAAAACGGCAATTTTGTTTTGCTTAGGAAATCAGAAAAAAAATATTTGCCCAATCTGGGCTAATCCAAAGTTGGGCTTAATGTTCCACTATAGCCAGAGAATTGGGGCGAAATTTATGGGTAGCAAATTTTGGACAGATTGGTTCAAAATATGCCACTCTTGAGGCTCAACCTTGTGCAAAGATTATTGTTGTACTCAGATTATTGTTGTAGCAACAGCAGCCAAGTAGCACCAAGATGGAGCTGGGGGTTTGCATTGGGAGTGGTTCAAGATGATGCCGCCATATTGTAGTCTAGTAAGCTTCTTGGATGCCCTTTATCCCCCACTGCTAAGAGGAGAGGAGGGCAGGGCATAGTCAGGGCCACTGATCGGTGGTCCTGTTCCTGCGGAAGTTCTCTGTCGCTGTCAATGAGGTTCTCCTCTGCATCTTTTTCCCTCTGAATTCCACAGGGTGGCAACATAGACCTTAGAATGCCAGAATGTGGAGGTTGCTGTTAGCTGTGAGTGCTTTTGCCTCTATTCACTTGCCTTTGCTCTGCGTTCTTTAAACCTGCTCCATGCTTTTGGGAAGCAGGTAGCAGAGAGAGAGAAAGAGAGAGAGGTACTTTAATAATAATAATAATAATAATAGTAATAAATTTTATTTATATCCCGCCCTCCCCAGCCGAAGCTGGGCTCAGGGCGGCTAACAACAATAAAACAGTACAAAAGTACAGCACAAACAACACTCTAAAATCATTCATTATAAAATTAATTAATTAATTTACATTTGAAGGTGCTGATAACTGCCCACCTTCATTCCCAACTAGTATTTTATTATTATTATTATTATTATTATTATTATTATTATTATTATTTTTATTTGGCAAACACCACAATTCTATACAAAATAAAAAAATTCCATCCAGTAGCACCTTAGAGACCAACTAAGTTTATTATTGGTATGAGCTTCCGTGTGCATGCACACTTCTTCAGATACACCACACTTCTATGATTCTATGTAATGTAAGGTTAGGGAGAGAATAGGTGGGGAAGTATTAGGTCTTTACTCAGTCAAATAACTAGTCCCTGCAAATGTGCTCTCCCTCCCTGCTGCTAGTTTTGAAATACAGTGGTACCTCAGTTTTCGAGCATCTCGGAAGCCGAACGCTAAAAACCCGGACGTAATTGCTTCCGTTTTCAAACGTGCCTCAGAAGTTGAACAGCATCTGCTGCGTTTTTTCATTTTTTCTCCATTGACTTTGCTGATCGCCCTTTGCGCCTCAGTTGTTGAACGTTTCAGAAGTTGAACGGTCTTCCGGAATGGATTATGTTCGACAACTGAGGTACCACTGTATCTTGCCCCTGTATGAACCTGCCTGGAGCCTGAGATCATCACCCTTTGCTGTGTGCCTTCTCCAAGGGAGGTCCAGAGAGTGGCAACAGGACTCTACACACTGTTGTGTGGTGAGCCAACCTGGTCATCTGTTTGATGCCAGACAAAGGCGTTTTTTGTCTCCTCTGCATTTGGGGAATAGCGCCCATGATATTGTATTGGTTAGCCTGTTTTAAATGGGTTCAAACCGTTTTATTATTGCAGTTTTTACTTGGTTGTAAGTCACTTGTGACTCACTTATCCCCTTAAACTTTGCTGCTCCTGAGCAACTTCTGTTGTGAAAGGAGCAACCTCTCCCTGGCGATTACTCTCACATTTGCCTTCCCCAAATAGGGCTGTGCAATATATTGATATACTATCCAAAACCGCTTTGAAGTCCATATTGTGATACTGGTTTCATAATTTTTTTACCTGGCAATATATTGCGAATCATGATGTGTGTGCTATGCAAAAATCACAATGTAGGAAAAATCGTGGAAGCCAGCCAGTGCCCTTACATAGCTCCATCCTTATTTCAGACATTGTGATACATCGGTATATCGCGATGTTTAGCTGGTGATCTATTGCGATGTTGGAAACCACCATATATTGCCGAGCCAAACCACAATGGGGGGGGGGCATCTTGGCTACACTGAGCTCCGTAGAGCAAACCCCAGAGCTTTTCATCAGTGGGTTGAATCCAGACTTAGCCACATTCAGAGCAGACCCATTGAAATCAGTGGGACTTATTAGCAATGAACCATGCAGTCCTCACCGTGTCTATGCAAACTTTAATCCTGTTGAATTCCACAGAACCTACTCCCAGGTACTATGTGTTGAGATTTCAGCCTCAGCCTAGGATCCAACCTAGAAGGCCAACTACAGTGGTTGGCATTCATACGGACGTTGCTGTAGTCCACTTACCAGTGCTGTTTTCCCACCGGATGAGCTATGGAGGCACAGCTGTTGCTGGGGTTGAAGTACTGCCCTTTCAGTAGCAAGAGTGCTAATACCCCAGCATTCCTTGTGTGCAGCAAGAGGTTGCTTTCATCATCAATCGTGCTTGTTGGCTCAGAATGCTTTGTGGATAATTTCCCAGCATGCTTCACAAAAGGATAGCTTATTACCAAGGCAATGGCCCACAGCATGCTGGGACACATTTTATGATGTGCATGAATGTGCTGGCTAGGATAGGAAATGATTCTGATGGAATACCACCAGTGGCAGGCTAAAAGCATGGCTCTCATAAAATAACAAAATACAGTGGTGCCCCGCAAGACGAATGCCTCGCAAGACGAAAAACTCGCTAGACGAAAGAGTTTTCCGTTTTTTGAGTCGTTCCGCAAGACGAATTTCCCTATGGGCTTGCTTCGCAAGACGAAACGTCTTGTGAGTTCTTGCGAGTTTGTTTCCTTTTTCTTAAAGCCGCTAAGCCGTTAATAGCTGCTAAGCCGTTAATAGCCGCTAAGCCGCTAATAGCCGTGCTTCGCAAGACGAAAAAACCGCAAGACGAAGAGACTCGCGGAACGGATTAATTTCGTCTTGCGAGGCACCACTGTACAGCCAAACCTCCGTTGTTGAACTTGTTATGTACTGAAGTTCTCACCCTGGGCCAGCAGGGGGATATTGTAGATAGTTCAGGTCCACATATGCAAATAAGGGATCCAGAGTGACGTTCAGTGATTGGATAGTTACAGAAAATGGTTACTGTTGCATTCTAGTGGAGCTCTATAGAAGCAGGCTGGCTGAACCCTTCAGTACAGTTCTGTTCTGGCCTGTGAATAAACAAGAGCTGTGTGAAGAATTGCTGTGTTGTCTGATATCTTCACCCACAACTTAACAGAACTTAATCCTTTTCGGAAGCCCATTTAGCTTCCGAAATGTTTGACAACCGAGGCACAGCTTCTGATTGGCTGCAGGATCTTCCTGCACTCAAGCGGAAGCTGCGTCGGACGTTCGGCTTCTGAAAAATGTTCAAAAACCGGAACACTTCCAGGTTTTTGGCATTCGGGAGCCGAAATGTACGGTAACGGAGGCGTTCAGGAGCCGAGCTTTGACTGTATAACCTAGCCTTCTCTTCTAGCAAGTAGTGTTGCACACAATGACGTGAGATCGGTTCTGCCTATGTGAAAAAGCCACGTCCATATATTTTTATTTATCGTGCCCTGTCTCTCAGCCCTTGTTTTCTTTCTCTTGGTTGCGTAGCAGAGTTGGAAGTTTCGTTGTTTGTGAATGAAACATGACATGTGAGAATTTCCTCTTCTGTTTTGCTTGCACCATCATATCATTTGAGATTCACATGAGCGCAGATATATTTTAAAAAATAAAATAGAGAGAAATAACTAAATAACTCCTAATGCAGCAAACGCCACGAAGTAACTGTGAATCTGATCCAGAACTCAAACGATCAGATGATTTGAACAGGTCCCATTGTAAAATCTGCCCCATCCCTAATCCTCTTAAGTCGCTGTGGGTGTATATCTCTTTCTTCATCAGCTTCAGTGAATGGCAGCTTTTTGTGGGCAGGGGGCTTGTAAAATAAGTCTTGCCTTCTGCCAGCTGAGAACCGACGGCTGACTTTTGGATTAGGAAAGCTGTTTTAGGCCTCAGAAATTCTCTGATCTCTGACATCCTTCCTTCAGGAAGCTTCTTTCTTAGATTGGGTTTCACCAAAGGAGGAAATATTATGTTCTACCCATTTAATTGGTATTTAGGATCTTAATTACCACACCTGTTTGCATTTAACTGCCTTTTGCAATAAGCTTGCACGATACCCAGTTTGGAAGGAAAACCCTCCTACTTCTCATCTGAAGATGTGCTGGGGTAGCTTTTCCTATAATCACTTCTTTGTCATCCTAATTTTCTGTTAATGGACTGCAATATGTGCTAGGCGACAAACCATTCTTTATCTGGTGCTGCTATGGTCCCAGGTTGCCATCTGTGCTGCTGAATTATTATATTTTTTAAATTTATAAACACTCGATACACTCCTATCCAAACACTCCTATCCAAATTTTGGACTTTATACTGGCAAACAGCTGGATGCTGATGAAAGTTTTGCATTCTGTATTGCGTTTTACAGTTCAGTGTTCAATTGGATCTGGATTATGGTGTTGCTAAAAGGGGAGTTAATCCTCCCCCATGTCATTTTCCTTTAAAAAAATAAATCAATCAATTTTATTAACAGTTTTCAACCTAATATACCATCAAATTCCAACTAAACTAAAAAGAAAATAGAATACAGTATATCAACCAGAAAGGAAACTAAAGAGAAAAAGAAGATAAAACACATTAATAATCCTCATATAATCCTCATAATACACAAAATTATAAATATATCTATGTTGCCCTCGGTCACCCTTATATCTCGATCTTCACAAGAGAGTGGGGGGGGGGGTGCTTCCATTTTGCTATCTGCTAATTGTGTATATAACCGTTATTCAAAGTATTTAACATATATACTCCTGGTCCCAGCCCCTTCTGCCATTTTCCTGGTGCAAATTAAGAAAAACACCTTGGGGCAAACAGCAGCTTCAGGAAGATTTACACAAAGAAAACTGGGGAGGCTTAATCCCTTCACCAGAGGCCCGGATATAATTCTCTACTCTGCCTTTAAAGGAGCCACAGGTCCAATTGTGGACTAGCAAGGTTGCAACTCGTTGAGCCGATTGGTGCACCTAACCGGTGGCTTTCACATGCACCATTTTGCCTAAACCAGAAAACCAGGAAGGAGGACAAAGTCATTGACTTGAAAAAGCAAGTTAATTCTGCTTTGCAGGGCTGCCCCGAGCGTGTTTAGGATTACAGCCTTCAAAAGACAAAGGGAAGTTTTTAAGCGAATGTCATGACAGGCCATCTGCCTTGAGAAATGTAATGATCTCATGGCGGACCCTTTGCTGACCCTGCGAGCTGACAGTAAAGAAGCTGACCTTGTAATGACTCTGCCTCGCTGCAGCTTATAAAGAGGAGACATTCACGAGAGTCTTTAACAACATGCTCCAATGTCTGTCCTCTTCTCAGACTATTGACCTCATTCGGAATTAATAAAATGCTCCCAGTGGCTGATAAATCACAGCTGACTCTTATCGCAGCAGCCAGTTCAGAGCACAGATTTGTGCATTTTTAAAACTTTGGTTTTGCTTTCCTCAAAAATAAACTGTACGCATATATACCCGCACTAGAGAACACCAAAGTTTTATTTTGGAAAACAGTGTAGCTCCAGGGTTGCACCCGGTTTTGCCTTGCTCAAGAGCTTTTGATGCAACAGATGCAGCTGCTACCATAAGAGAAAGGGGGAAGATGTTCAGCGGTTCCCTCTTTGGCCCCTTGAACCCCTGAAAATACGACGATTCACCTTGGAAGGGCTGAATAGCTTCTCCTCTGAACATTCAGAGGGATGGTTCAGAGGAATTTCTTTGGAGGAGCCCTGAGGTCTCTGGGGCGGAAACTCTGGCGTATAAAGTATTGCAGCGCAGTCTATAGAGTCGCCATAGCTATAAATTAGTAGCAAAGTGGTTGGGGGAACAAAAGGAATTGGGGAGGACAGAATGTACTGCTCTTTTTGCGGACAAACCAGACCCATAAGATCATGTTTTATCTAGCTGGTTTTCTAATTGTGGTTTTTGTGGAATGAGCTGGATCCCACATGACTTGAGTGACAGCGTGGCTTAGTATAACGAAAGTCAATGGAGAATTGTCAGATAGCAGGGGACTGTCAACTCTGTTGTTAAAGTGTTGAGTTAGATTATGAACGGGCAGGAGCCTGTCTTTTCTGTGATATTATTTGCTGTTACTAATAATAAGAGTAAACTTAAAAATAATAATCGTATCGTAAAAGTTATTCAATTTATATAGGCTGTTGCGATGAACAATGCTCTTGGTTTTAAAACTATTTTGAGTGGTGTCTCACATTTTATTGTACTGTTGTATGGACAGATGATGGCCTTTGGCTAAGCAATAAAGATCTGGATTTTGCTTTTTGTCCACCCTCAGCCCCTTATAAAACTGCGTGTCCAGATTGTAATGTTAAGTGGTTATTCTGATGGATGAAATACTACTACTACTACTACTACTACTACTACTAATATATGTTTGAGCTGCTGCTTTCCTACTGCACAAGGTCTGATCATGTGATAAAAAGCATATTAAAAGTCTTTAAAAAAATAAATAAATATATGAATCTGTTATTGTCAGTCAGCCTAATCACATACCCTGTTTTACACGTCAGCGTGGGACAGGCTGTTACAGAGCCATAGCTGTCAACCTTCCCTTATTTAGCAGGAAACTCCTTTATTACAACTCCGTTTCCCGCTGCTATCCCGGATTGTTGATATCCCGTAAATTTCTCGGATTTCAAAGGAAGCAGCTCCTCTCCCTCCCTGCCGGCCAGGGAGGCTCCTCAACTGCGTTGCTCGGCTGTGTTGCTCACCAATAAGGAGTCTGAGAATGACTGGGGGGTGGAGCTTGCATGCCTTGTGCCGATCAGATTGGCCGCGTTGCCTGGGGACTCGCCTTTGCTTCAGCGCTTCCCAGTGGAGAGGTGACGGTGTGGTTTTCCTTGCTGCTGTATCCCTTTGCGGGGTTGCTGCGCTGTGGGAACCACCGCTTGAGGCTTCGTTTGGCTGCTGGCTGGGCTTTCTGCATTTGGGCCTTTTCGCTTGGAGGGGCTCTACTCTGTGTGTGTGTGTGTGTGTGTGAGAGAGAGAGAGAGAGAGAGAGAGAGTGAAGGTGTCACTTAAGCTGATAGTAGGAATGCTGTAGCTTTACACACTTACCTTCACGCAATGTGTAATTAACTTGGGGCTTTTTTTTACCGCAGGATGTGGTGAGGTCAGTACTTTAGATTTACAAGGGGATCTGAGAGATGAATGGGAGATACGGTTTGTCCATATTAATGGACAGCTAAATAGAAACTTAACCCCAAAAGTTAGGACCAAGATTCAAATCCTGACTGGGTAACTTTGCTCACTAGTAACACTGAACCATGAGGACAAGATGGTTGGACATTGTTCTTGAAGCTACCAGCATGAGTTTGACCAAACTGTGGGAGGCAGTGGAAGACGGGAGTGCCTGGGACAGGTGAGGCTGCTGATCCCTTATTTTGGCTGCTGATCCCTTATTTTCGAGGCTGCTGATCCCTTATTTTCAAATCTGAAAGTTGACAGCTATGTACAGAGCTAATGCACATAGCATACAGCAATGGCTCCAGAGCCTTTGGTTGCGTATGCACCATGCATTTAAAGAACATGACTCTCCTCAAATAATCTTGGGGACTGTAATTTACCCCTCGCAGCACTACAATTGCCAGCAGCCTTAACTGCTTAAGAATCCCCGGGATTCTTTGGGTTAAAACATGGGTAGGCAAACTAAGGCCTGGGGGCCGGATCTGGCCCAATTGCCTTCTAAATCTGGCCCGCGGATGGTCAGTGTGTTTTTACACGAGTAGAATGTGTCCTTTTATTTAAAATGCATCTCTGGGTTATTTGTGGGTCATAGGAATTTGTTCATCCCCCCCCCATATAGTCCAGCCCCCTACAAGGTCTGAGAGACAGTGGACCAACCCCCTGCAGAAAACGTTTGCTGACCCCTGGGTTAAAATGTGCTTTAAGTGTATGCTACATATGCAGGCTTGGCCAATATGTCACAGATAATGATCCTTGGTGTAAAAAGAGATATTTGGCACGTCCTTAAGAGTGGCTTTTCTTTTCACCAATGAATGGCATCTGTGTGTGTGTGTGTTGTACTGGTTGCATGTGCAAGATGCCAGCTTTCATGGCCAACTTGGGTTTATTGGTGCATGCAACTGCTGGTCTATGTTTTAGCATTTGGGAAGCGTTCGTGGAATCAGGTTTATCATCCAGAGCGCTATGTTACAACCATGGCATTCGGAAAATGCTTCTGAGCTCTGCAGGAGTTCCTGCTAACCCTGTAGAGGTTTTGGATTAAAGTCATAAGCGTAGAGACTTCAAACTTTTGCTTTCCCCAAAGGAGGAGTTGCTTTTCACTGCACCTTTAAGTTTTATTTCAAAACCACTCACTGTCTAAAAGCAACGGGCTGACATTTCCATATGCCTTTATCTGCAATGTGTTTTCATTTTCTTAATACTATTACCACATCTAATATTCCTGTGTGATACATTGTGATGTGTTGCACATGTATGCTTTTGCTTCCTTACATTATCTCTGTAAGCTATCCTGCATACATATATCTTATAAAAATAATCCTATAATGTTGAGATATTGCAGGCACTCGGTATTTGTAGTGTCCGGAAACAATTGAAGATGTTCTTGTTTCGACAAGCTTTTCCAGCTGGATGAAGAATTGTTAGGTCTCTCTGCCTAGGGTGTTTCCCTTTCTTGCTTCTAGTTGTTTTATTGTACGGTTGTAAACTGCCTTGAAATTTATATGCAAGGATATTCAAAAAATAAGAAGAAGAATGTAGACCGCTGTTTGCATGCCCAGGCGCAGTCCCCCCCCCCTTACCCCGGGAGCCAGACCTCAAGGGCAAAGGAGTAGACCCAACAACATATTTTGGGATTAAAATGGCCCCAACTTTATTAAATGTCAGATGTAGGAAACCTTGGCATAGGCATTGGGCATGTATCCTTCTCAGCCCCAGTTGGGGGTCTGAGGCATGGCAGGGTCAAATAAGAATATGGGACCACCGCAAAATGTGCGTTTACACAGCTGGTCCCCTCCTGTGATGCTGGGGGGAGCTCTGTGGCCCATTTGCCGTGTGCTTGTGGACAGAAACTCCCCTTAAGACCCCTCCAATGGGGAACCCTGCTATCGCCGCCGGCATGGAAGGGATGAGTCACCCCTTCACCCCTTCTGCAGTTGTTAGACTAAAGCAAGGGTTGGCAAGGTTTACCTTGCCTAAGCCGGTTCCCTCCAGCGGAGATCCTGTGATTTCCTGTGTCTGCACAGATGTGATTTCCGGCGTCTGTGCAGACGCGATTTCCGGTGCTGTGGAAGCGAGTCCGCACCCCGCGCTGTGCCAGTTTAGCACAGGACGCGGGGACTCGCCAAGTGGGCGACTCAGTTCGGAGGCGGCTTGTGGGCCAGTTAAATGACCCCCGTGGGCTGCTTGTGCCCCATGGGTCTTAGTTTGCCTACCCCTGGACTAAAGGATTCCGCCCAAGACCTAAAACCCCACCCGAGACCGCGGAATCGCAGTCTCGCCACCAAGACTACCTACAGCTGAATTCACTCTTCAAGGCTCTGCTTCACGTCTCTCAACTGACGCTCATTCCCTGTAGGTGTAAGATGCACTCGGTCAGTTCTGAAAAGGTCCAGTTTGTCAGATTTAATTTCTGCATGTTTTATCATTCGGCCACCAAGATGCAGGGTCGCATTGCGTATAGCCCTGTTGATTTTTACTAGGGCGTAGCTGAGGCGAGAAGGCTTGAAAGCCCCTCTCCATTTCAAATGCAGAAGGAGCTCAGACTAGAAGATGGTGGTATCAGGGGGAAATTGTCCTAATTGTTTCAATATCTGCAATTGCTGCCATGATTAGATGCTCTTTTGGGTGACCAGGTCATTCTCGCCCAGGTGAATCAGCAAGGCGTCTGGGGGTCCGTGAGAAGTGTTTTCGCGTTGCAACTTTGGCAGGAGGGCATCCCAATGCACCCGTTGTTGGCCCAACCAGAATAAGTGGACTCTGAGGTGGATGCTCAGATACTCACCCCAACGATTCACAGCTGTGTGGACGCCTGCCCAGTGCATGACACTGTGGCCAAGGATCCATATGTGCTTGCTGGGGGTATCACCAGTGTTGAAGCAATGATTCTTCAACATCAACTTCGTTGGACTGGTCATGTTGTGCAGATGCCTGATTCTCATCTTCCAAAGCAACTACTCTATTCCGAACTTAAAAATGGAAAGCGTAATGCTGGTGGTCAACAAAAGAGGTTTAAAAACTGTCTCAAGGCAAATCTAAAAAATTGTAGTGTAAACACTGACAACTGGAAAACACTGACCTGCGAGCGCTACAAGTGGAGAACAGCTTTTACCAAAGGTGTCATGGGCTTTGAAGACACTCAAACTCAGGACGCAAGGGAGAAACGTGCTAAGAGGAAGGCATGCTTGGCAAATCCACACTGTGATCCACTCCCGCCCGGAAACCAATGTCCCCACTGTGGAAGGATGTGTGGATCCAGAATTGGCCTCCACAGTCACTTATGGACTCATTCTTAAAACCGTGTTTATGGAAGACAATCTTACTCAGCTACGAGTGATCACCGAAGAAAGAAGAAGAAGACCTGTGAAAGGAAGAGTTACAGGGACTCATCAGTGATTGCCAACCGGGGCAAATGTACACCTTAGAATGCAATTGGCCCATGGCCTTGATGTGGTCAGGGAACATGCCCCAGGCATTGCAGCCCCAATGTGGAATGAGTGCCCTGAGAAGCGGCTGGGATTGCCTCCGCAAACCAAAGTAACCTTTCTCAATACGGCAGTGAACTGATGCCTGGACAGAGGGCGGGCGTTAGCATGAATACGGAGGTGGCCACCAAGGACCCTCAAGAACCTACGGGTGTTGCAGACTGGGCAAGAGCCATTGTGTGGCCAGGGGGCCAGAGTCCAGCTGGTGTCCCTACATAACCAATTGGTTTCAGAGGAACGTATTTCGAGTTTCAAAGACCCCTCTTGAAATTTAACATTCTTGATCCACAAGCCTGCATGGGACAATGATGCCGCACTCCCAGTGCACTCGCCGATGTGCAGAGCCCCAAAAAAGGCCAGTGAATATGCGGCTCAGAATAATTTAACCTCTGAGGTGGACCAACGTACACTGCACAACTTGTCCCAAATCAACCGCAAGGTCTTAAAGGTAATAGGCTTTCTGCTGTCTGGCAATGCTGGGTCCCTGCAACACCATACCGTGATTAGTTTTTTTACATGGGAAGTATTACAGGGGTCTGGCAGCCAAAAACATTGGCTAAAATAGGAGATAGCCGCCCTGTAAGGGCTTGTGGTCTTTCCGCTTGAGGAAGACCAGGTATTTTAGAACATCAGATTTAGCAGTGGAATGCCTTTGAAAGGAACAAGGCTCTAAATCCTTCAAAAGATGACCACACTCTTGAATAGGCCAGCGGTGTGGTGGAGCTCGGTAGAGGCATTGGCTGGCTTCACAGTTTCCCCCACATTGTGATTTTTGCATCTCACACACACACACACACACACACACTGATTTGTGATATATTGCCACGTCAGAAATTATGAAACTGAAATCACGATACGGATTTCAAACCAGTTTGGGACGATAGACTGATATATCACCCAGACCTGGTGGGGATGCTGCCATCTTGTGTTTTGCCTCGGGCAGCAAAATGTCTCAGGCCAGTCTGTCAGCCAACTTTCATGCTGTGTAGGGTTGGTTGGAGCGCTCTCTTTGGCTGAGGTGTGAACTGAGTAAGGGTCCACCAATACTCAAACCATTTCTTTCAGTGCACTTCTTCAAAACCTGGCAGTGGGGTGCTGCACAGCTCTGCAGCAGAGCGCATATGGTTCACCCACAAGTTCTCTAATATTGGTCCCAGTGGCGTAGCGGCAATTGCTGGTGCCCAGGGTGGAGGTGCATGTGCTGGGCAAGGGGTGCCCGCCCAAGCCCTCACCACTGAAACAGGCAGAGTGACCTCACCAGAGCAAAGTGGGGCCACGCTGAGGCACCTGCCCGCTCACTCAGGGGGAAGCCCACCTGGCCAATGTTGCATGTGAGCATGTTACAGTTTCCCAAGTGTCTCTACGTGAATAAGGGTGGGGAGAAATTCAGTTCCGTTCACAATTAGAATCATAGAGTTGGAAGAGACCACAAGGGCCATCGAGTCCAACCCCCTGCCAAGCAGGAAACACCATCAGAGCACTCCTGACATATGGTTGTCAAGCCTCTGCTTAAAGACCTCCAAAGAAGGAGACTCCACCACACTCCTTGGCAGCAAATTCCACTGTCGAACAGCTCTTACTGTCAGGAAAATTAAAGGCATTTCCCTATCTGTGCTTCCCAAAACAAAAACCCAGCCATTCTGCAAAGCCCACACTTCTCCATATTTCGCAGTGCAATTCTCCAAATGATAGTTACAAAAATGCACATATGTTTATATGAGGAGACAGTCACACTAAGATGCCAGTGAATATTCACGAGGATTTTTTTTTTAAAAAAAATGCAAACTGATGTAGAAATGTGGAGAACTGTATTTAAGGTGGTGGTGTGGGGGATGAGAAACTGAAAGAAATCAAAATTGACAGATTCACCCATTCCCATACACAAATCATAATCTGGTAATTGTGTGACGTCATGCAATTTATATGAGACTTTTGAGCACTTTCCTCCAAGGACATGATCCCTGTGTCTTGAAAATCTGAATTACCGGGCCTGGATAGCTCTGTTGGTTAGAGCGTGGCGCTATTAATTTCAAGGTTGCAGGTTCGATCCCTGTATGGGTCAGCTGCATATTCCTGCATCCATGGGGTTGGGATCCCTTCCAACACTACGATTCTATGAATATTCAGTAGCCCTCATTTTTTTTGCTGTATTAGTGCCCCATTCAGGAATTTGGGTCTCTGGTAACATCGTTTCCTGGCTGCGGCCTCAGGAGAGCAAGACAACACTTCCATGGTGCTTGGTTCATGTGTGCTCTTGAGGCTCATTCCCCAATTTCGTGTCACAAAGGCCCTTGTTTCATGAAGAGGGTGAACCTTTGAGATGCTGTCAGATCCCTTTCTAACAGCACTCCATCTAGTCACACCAGCTGACAACTTGGGGGCTAGGACTTTGGCCAAGCGCATAGAAATCCACCCAATTCACTTCTAATTACCAGGGGTGATTTTAACAATGCAAAGTCGAGGTCATAAAGTAAGCAGGATAGCACTCATCACTATCAATGAAAGATCTTTCTTCCGCACCGCCTGCACATGGATCATAAAGAACCTCTGCAGCTCTAGGTGTTACAGAAAAGCCTATTTCAGCTTGGCGGGCCATGTGTTTTCAGCCAGCCAAATCACTGTAGACTCCGAAGATGAGCTAGCAATATTGCTTCAAGGCAGCCAATGCAACACAGCAACACCTTTAACTGCAGAAGGTGCTTTATAATACTTTAGCAAAGATATGGATTGAAGATTTTCCATGGTGTAGGTTGATATCAATAATATTCTCCTCCATAGCCCATGAGTGTTTGTTGACATATATATTCTACCATGCAGTGCAAAGAGTTCCTGTATAAACACAGAGCATCCCCCAAAATCCTCTGCCATGTCAAGGGGGTGGGGCAGGAGGCAGTAAGATAATTCTATTGAAATGGCCAGGCCAGAAGTACGGTTGGGCAATACCTGGTTTCCAGCGTTGTGATATATCACCAGCTAAGCACCGCGATGGGACGCGGGTGGCGCTGTGGGTTAAACCACAGAGCCTAGGACTTGCCGATCAGAAGGTCGGCGGTTCGAATCCCCGCGACGGGGTGAGCTTCCGTTGCTCGGTCCCTGCTCCTGCCAACCTAGCAGTTCGAAAGCACGTTAAAGTGCAAGTAGATAAATAGGTACCACTCCAGCAGGAAGGTAAACGGCATTTCTGTGTGCTGCTCTGGTTCACCAGAAGCGGCTTAGTCATGCTGGCCACATGACCCGGAAGCTGTACACTGGCTCCCTCGGCCAATAAAGTGAGATGAGCACCACAACCCCAGAGTCGGTCACGACTGGACCTAATGGTCAGGGGTCCCTTTACCTAAGCACCATGATACACTGATATATCAGAGCTTTCCAAGCTTTTCATGTTGGTGACACACTTTTTAGACATGCATCATTTCACAACACGGTAATTTAGTTTTACTAGCAAACCAAAGGTTAAACTAACCCCTTTCCGACCCTGAGAGGAGCACGGGGAGTGTTCATGTGACACACCTATACACTGCAGTTGACACACTTAACGTGTCACGACACACAGTTTGGGAAGCTGTGTGATATATCACAATGTCTGAAATAAGGATGGAACTCTGTAGAGGCAATGGCTGGCTTAATGGTTTTCCCCACATTGCAATTTTTGCATAACACACACACACCATGATTCGTGATATATTGCTGGGTCAAAAATTATGAAGCTGATATCACAATATGGACTTCAAACTGATTTTGGATGATATTTTGATATCTTACTTATCTCTAGCCAGAAGCAATCTAGAAACCTGGAGAGATGTGCTTCTGCCAACCTGACTGCATGGCTACTTTGCCCATATTGTCAAAGTGGCTTAGATGAGGGTCTCCATGTGGAAAGGATTTCCCTGGCATGAAGATCATTTATATTGGGGATGGGGAACAAATTTTGTTGTTCTTCGAGGTCTGCATTCCAGTGGTGAGTGGGAGCAGAAGGGGATGGATGGGGCAAAGGCTATGATGCTAAACTTTGCTCACTCAACTCCCTTCCAACCATGCTAACCTGTATCTGGTCTAGCAAAAAGTGTTATCTCACATCATGGGACGTTCTAGCCAGGCCAAAGCAATCCAGGAGGCTGTGGAGCAGGACCCGCAAAGGGTGTGACTTGGGGGAGTCCTGAGGGCAGAAGGAGAGGCCCGAGGTTCCTCACTGGATATACATATGGGAAACACAATAGTGTGGAAAAATAAGATTGGTATAACTGACTTGGGAATTGGGGCTGGGGGTATTCATCCTACCTCACGATGACCTTCATAATGAGAGCCAGAGAAGTGCAGTGGCTAAAGTGCTTGGTTGGACTGGAGAGGGTTGGGTTCAAATCTTGCCAAGTCAGGAAGCTCTCTGGGCTGGCTTGGGCCGGTTTCTCTCTCTCTCTCTCTCTCTCTCTCTCTCTCTCTCTCTCTCTCTCTCTGTGTGTGTATGTGTGTGTGTGTGTGTGTGTGTGTGTGTGTGTGTGTGTGCCTAGCCTATCTCACAAGATTGTTTGGAATGATGAAGTAGATAAGTCATACATACATCACCCAGACCTCTTGAGAGTAAGGTTTTGGAGGCCCGTATAATACATCTCTGCAAATAAATATTTTCTTTGTGGCGCGGTGGGTTAAACCACAGAGCCTAGGACTTGCCGATCAGAAGGTCGGTGGTTCGAATCCCCGCGACAGGGTGAGCTCCCATTGCTCGGTCCCTGCTGCTGCCCACCTAGCGGTTCGAAAGCATATCAAAGTGCAAGTAGATAATTAGGTACTGCTCCAGCGGGAAGGTAAACGGCGTTTCCGTGTGCTGCTCTGGTTCGCCAGAAACGGCTTAGTCATGCTGGCCGCATGACCCGGAAGCTGTACGCTGGCTCCCTCGGCCAATAAAGCAAGATGAGCGCCGCAACCCCAGAGTCGTCTGTGACTGGACCTCATGGTCCCTTTACCTTACTATAATACATCTCTGCAAATAAATATTTTCTTCATATCCCACCCAATAACAAAGGTCATGATGATGCAACCAAAAGAGAAGGGGCAGCATAAGAGATAGCTAGGTAGAATCCAACTCTTGCTAAGTTTTTCCACAACCCCCAGTCATTTGCTGGCAGTGTGCTGAGCACATTGCAGCGCCCCCTCCTTTTACCAAACAAGCCGCTCCACACAGAAAAAGAGCTGAAATATTCCTTGCCCCCCCCCCAAACGCATGAGTAGCTCACTGGACGCAACTCTTATTTTCTCCTCAGTAAATTCAGGTTGTTTTTGTAACAGCTGCAAAGAGAAAAAGGGGGATAAGATACTTCAATTATTTTTAAGTGGTTAATTTCTCTTCAGATGACAAAAAGGATCAGGCCAACTTGAACAAAGTCGCTGAGATATAGAACAATGCCAGAAATTTGCTGTACTTAAAAGAAAAATGCATTTGGCTTGAATATTTCTCTTTGCCTGACTCGGGAAAGGAAGTTTGTTTAGGTCAGCGAGAAGAATGTTTGAGCTGCTTCAGAGCTTGCCCTGGGGATTCACGGCTAGTGCTTTATGATTTGCACCGCTATTTAACGACCTTTTAATGATCTGCATGAACTTGGAATTGCACTTGTGTGCAGATGATGTCATGCACCAGGCTGCTTTGACAATGTAAGTCACAAGTACAAAAATGTGTGGCTTTCTGATCAACTAGATGCCAGTTCTGTGGGCAGTTGGTACTAAAGACCTGCTGCCATAAATAGAGTATATTTTCTAACATTAAATTACAATAGAGGGTCTCTGCGATGGTCTGATTTAGGGCTGATTTAATAGTGGTAATAACTTTGTATGTTTTACTCCAGTTCTGTACAATGAGATTGCCACTATTTCTGCTGGCCCAGCCATTGTGACTTCAATGGGGCCATAGCTAAGAGGTAGAGGTCCATTTGACCATATGCATTGGTTCTAAATTTCACTTCCAGGTGTTGAAAATAGATCCCAACCACTATTTTCCACTCTCCACTCCCTTAACTGATAAGTTTGGAACTGAAGATTCTGAATCCAGAATTTGGAATTTCTAACAATTGGGAAATAGATGGCCAGAGTGGTGCATGCTCTGGTTATCTCCCACTTGGACTACTGCAATGCGCTCTACGTGGGGCTACCTTTGAAGGTGACCCAGAAACTACAACTAATCCAGAACGCGGCAGCTGGACTGGTGACTGGGAGCGGCCGCCGAGACCATATAACACCGATCTTGAAAGACCTACACTGGCTTCCAGTACATTTCCGAGCACAATTCAAAGTGTTGGTGCTGACCTTGAAAGCCCTAAACGGCCTCAGTCCAGTATATCTGAAGGAGCGTCTCCACCCCCATTGTTCTACCCGGACACTAAGGTCCAGCACCGAGGGCCTTCTGGCGGTTCCCTCACTGCGAGAAGCCAAGTTACAGGGAACCAGGCAGAGGGCCTTCTCAGTAGTGGCGCCTCCCTGTGGCACACCCTCCCACCAGATGTCAAAGAGAACAACAACTACTAGACTTTTAGAAGACATCTGAAGGCAGCCCTGTTTAGGGAAGCTTTTAATGTTTGATGTATTACAGTATTTTAATATTTTTTTGGAAGCCGCCCAGAGTAGCCGGGAAAGCCTAGCCAGATGGGTGGGGTATAAATAATAAATAATAAATTATTATTATTATTATTATTGGACTCTGAGGGTGATTTTTGTGAATCAAGATAAACCCAGAAGTATGGATGAATCAAACTCTCTGTTTGGGTTTCTTTGAGTTTCTTGTTTCTCCCGTCTTAACTTCAGTTCAACACATTCCCTCATCAGTTTGCATTCTTGAAAAACCTCAAAGACTTGTCACCATTTTAGCGTGCATTTCTTCTAGAAAATTTTGTATGTACTTTTGCCCAATATACATGTTTTTGGAAGCAATTTAACCAAATGTTTGGGTTATGTACTCTGTGGTCTGTGTTTGCCTGAGCTTGAGTCTGGACTAAGGATTCTGAACCCCTGTGTTCTGATTCGATACATGATATCCAATCACAGAGCATTTCAGGATTTGGGCCTCTGCCATTGGCCCTTAAAACTCTGAGTCATGATTCGCAGCTTGGGAGTTTAGACAGCCAATCACGTTGGGAGTGGGAGTGGCCCAGTCCTTCAGAAATGTATATAAGCAGTTGCTTTGCCCCTGTTGTCCAGTTCTGGTAGTTCAGTAAAGGTTATTGCTGTTACCGCTGTGTCTTGTCTCATGGGAACCCACCTACACTTCAGTTTGTGTATTGCTTTCAATATGCATTTCATGTGTATGCTTTTTGGGGTGCATACTTTCTCCTTATACACTTGTTTTTGTACACAAGTTTTCAACTCACGAGAAGCGCAAACTATTTATTTATTTTTTATTAGCAAAAACATATAAATACATAGTTAACAAATACATACATTAATAACCTATATGAAAAGAGGAAAGGGGGAAAAATACACGTCAACGTAAAAAAGAAGAAGAAAAGAATAGAAAGAAAAGGAAAGAAAAAACAAAAGCAAAAAAGATACAAATTGACAAAACTTAACTATAACAGAATGATAACTTAAACATTCTCAATACCTATCACCTGATAGATTCTATTTAATATGATTCTACCCTGTGTTGGTATTTCTTATATGTTGTGAACCTTCGGTGTGGGTTGAATCTCTTTACTTATTTTTTATTGTAGACTTCCTTCTGCCTCATTACAGTTTCAGTTCACATTAACCTACTCTTTCCCCCTGTCTTCATTGCTTTATCCTCATCTTGGAGAAGTGCAAATTTTAACTGATACCAGCATTCTGGTTTGCGTATTGTTTCAGGAACTGTGAATTGGGTAATGCAAATCAAACTGAATTCCAACCCTGTCCCTGCTCAAGAGGCCTGGGACCAGAACCTTCTCTCAACTAGGAATGTTCCAGATTGTTCCCATTAAATCACCTGTAGGCATTCCAGCATTTCTTGGATTTCGGCAGAGGGAGAGGGAGGTCAACTGAATTTTAATACAGGAAAGGCAGACTTATCTCTGAATGCAACTGTCAATATTCCCTGAGGGGATTTACAGTATTCATTTGCAGTTTTGCCTAAGGTTCCCACATTTTAAGCAGCAGCAACATTGCCTTACTTCACAGGTGAGGTATAAATTAATTTCAAAACGGAAAAGCATTCACATTTAAACTTGGCAGGAAACCATACTTCTGTGACTCTGAGCCCGGCTTTGGCTGGGGAAGGTGGGATATAAATAAGTTTATTATTATTATTATTATTATTATTATTATTATTATTATTTTATTATAGGAAGGCTTGCCGTCCTTCTTCTTCCCCCTGTACAGTGGTACCTCGGGTTACATACGCTTCAGGTTACATACGCTTCAGGTTCCAGACTCCGCTAACCCAGAAATAGTGCTTCAGGTTAAGAATTTTGCTTCAGGATGAGAACAGAAATCGTACTCCGGCGGTGTGGCAGCAGCAGGAGGCCCCATTAGCTAAAGTGGTGCTTCAGGTTAAGAACAGTTTCAGGTTAAGAACAGACCTCCGGAACGAATTAAGTACTTAACCTGAGGTACCACTGTAAAGTGTTTTAGGGCTAGCTCTGGTGAACCTGTGCCATGGGAAAGGATCTCTGCACATGCTCCAAGGATCTCTTCTTTATTAATATGTCACATGTCTCAGTCCTCAGCACTGTCCCTGAAAGCAGTCTGCAGAGCTGAGTTGAGACAAAGAAAGTTCTCGTTTTGTACGCCGACTAATTCCTAACCTTTGTGCTTCCTCCAGGCGCCATCGTTGCCCTCATGTAACCAGACCCTTCGAAATGAACGAGAAGCCGTGTCTCCTCACTGAGTATACAGAGAAATACCCACTTTATCCCAACTTTGAACCCAGAGAATCCTGCAAACCCGTCATAGAGTACAATAAGCAGCCAGTACCAATGGAGGGCATTTCTACTATGAGGTAACAAATTGGCAAGTGTTGGGTAACTGTGAGCCAAGAAACAGACATACCTGGGGAAAGATGTGTGTTGCAGTCCCGTGGGGGGGGTGAAGTTCTGATTTTCGGGACTTGAGGAGGGAAATGATGAAGGGTTTGTTATCCTGCTGAATGGAGAGAGCAGAGAGGGCAGAATGGATGTTGCTCTATCACCAATACCTCTTGGCAACACCCTGGTTAGGTTTGGACAGTCATATTTTGGCCTCATAAACTGAGACAGGGAAGATCAGTCCAATGTTTATTATGGTGAGCGGACCATCAAAGGAGAACAGAGCATAAAAAAATATTAAATCACAGCCATTGCAGAACAAGGCTTGACAGGTGGCAAGGGGACACCTAGCTACTTTGCCACGAATTCAAATATCCAGGGCCTGATAAGCTGCGCCCAAGGGGTACTAAAGGAGCTCACAGATGTCATCTCAGAGCCTCTGCCTAAAAACTGAGAATTCTTGCAGAACAGGAGGTTTTTGAACTGTCCCTAGCTAAGATACTCAAGAATGTATGGATGCAGCCTTATCTATGGGGCTTCATTAGACTTGGAAGAAGAGGCTATGGGGTGGAGAAGGAAGCATAGTTTGTTTTTGTTTTTTTAAATAATTTTTATTAAGTTTTCCATTTAAAAATCTAATCATATCGCATTAAGTAATCCGAATTATACCAATACATATCATAAAATCATAAAATCCAAATATTTTGCCGAATTTTTAAAATTTTTGTTGGGGGTACCCATGTTTTGAGCTCAGTAAGGGTCCAATCATCTCATATTTCTGCTGCTTTGATGTTCACAAGTCAAGGGAGTACAGTTTGTAAACAGCAGCAATAATAGCAGCAGCAGCAGCAACAGCAATGTCCTGCTAAGCACAATGCTTGTGAGTTTCTTTTTCTTTAAACAATTGGCCTTTAACAGCTGCCAAGTTAGGACCCACTACAGATTCCCAGCTTGATTACCACCATACAGATATATCAGGGGGGAAATAAAAAGTGTATCCTCAAGTGCATGTTTGGGCTAGATATGGGACTTGGGTGTAAAAAAATTGAAGACTATTATCATTTATGATGATTAAGTTTATTACCTGCCTTTCACCAGCAGGTCCCAGGCAGGTCACAATAACCTAATATTCAACATTAGGAACAGTTAAAACAAATCACAGTTGTGGGAACAGGGCGAGTTGGCTTGTCAACCCAGATCCCCTGCCAGCTTCCAGGGGCATCCAAATATAATGTCCAAGAACATTATCTAAGGACAGGTGCAATATAGACACATGTTTTTCCTCGGTTCTAGATATTAACACAAGTGAGCCATGCCGGCGTTCTTGTTTACAGGAGAGATTACGTCCCTCATGAAGTGTCGCCTATAAAGTTGAGGCCGCCCGAACAATATTTCAAGAGTAATGCAGCTATGGACCTGTTGTCTACGTATAAGCAAGACTACAACCCTTACCCCATTAATCGAGTGCGTCCTTGCATGCCTCAGGAACGGAAATATTCTTCCGATGACAAGATGACCACAGTACCAACGTACAAAGGTAAGTGTCAAAGGAGCTATTTTATAAGGCGGTCTGCTTCTTTGCAACGTCTTGGACATGCCATGGACACAATCCTGCTCCCCACCTACGCATGCCGATTGTGCATGCATGTCCCTCTGTCCCGTCTTCCCCGGCCCTTCGAGTGTGTGGATTCATCCCCTCAACGACGTTAGCGTCCCAAACCGAAGTGCTTAAACTACCTGCAGATGAACCATATGAAAACCTTAGGTAATGATTTGCAGAGCCTTTGCCGGGGTTCCGAGAGCCGTAATGAAATGCAGCCCGGCTACATTTGGTTGCAATTTACAACTTTTTATCACAATTCTCTGCAAATGGAAATCCCCAGCTAATAATTGGTTCCATGGTCTTGGGTATATTGTGCTGATTCATTGTTTATAGGGCACATTTCATCGATTTGGAGGACTGGAACAAAGTGGCGCTTTCTAGTATTCAGGCAGTTATATCCCCTTAGCCAGAGTCAGACCAATTAAACTGCACTCACAAAGTTCCTGTGAGTTGGGGTCTCCATTCACTTAAATGGCGGATGGGAGGCAGCTGCTTCCATCAGTAGAATGGGGAAGGAGGCAGTTCCTTCTCCCCACGGCAGCTCCTGCCCACCCTAAGTTAACTCCGGAGGATTTGGAACAGTGCCGGATTTATGTATAAGCTAAACAAGCTCTAGCTTAGGGCCCCACTCTCTTGGGGGCCCCCAAAAAATTTAAAGGAAAAAAACTTGGATTATATTTCCAAAATATAAGATAAAAAAGTAATAAAATAAAACCTACATCCAGCAACAGTGTTTTGTGTTGTGTAGGCTCCTATGATGTAAGTCAGGCATAGGCAAATTCGGCCCTCCAGATGTTTTGGGACTACAACTCCCATCATCTCTAGCTAAAAGAACCAGTGGTCAGGGATGATGGGAGTTGTAGTCCCAAAACATCTGGAGGGCCGAGTTTGCCTATGCCTGATGTAAGTAATGGGCCCCACCTGCTAGCCTGCTCCCTAAAATATCACTGGTTTGCTCATTTCTATGTAGATTTCTATATATTTCTATATACCTTGGTTCTCAAACTTAATCCATTCCGGAAGTCCGTTCCAAAACCAAAGCGTTCCAAAACCAAGGCACGCTTTCCCATAGAAAGTAATGCAAAACAGATTAATCCATTCCAGACTTTAAAAAACTACCCCTCAAAACAGCAATTTCTTCTTAAATGTGATTCACTATTAATATACTTCTTCTTTCTTCTTAATTGTATTTCAGTTCAACAATTACTTTGATGAAAATACATATTTTGTTATGTGCAAATGGCTTTAGATACCTATTAGGTCCATAAATTACTATATAGCATATATTCAACACAAAAAACAGCGACCATTTGTTGTTGACAAAGGACAGCTGGACATATAGAGGGCCCCATTCCTTTCAGTAGCTGAGGGCCTCATCAAACCTAAATCTGGCCCTGCTTTGGAACAATGTGGGAGGGGTGCACTGGGGCAGAGGACAATTGCCCCCAATTGCCTCCCTCCCCTTTCTGCTGATGGAAGCCTCTGATACAACCCACTTTCCCCATTTCATAGAATCATACAATTATAGAGTTGGAAGGGAATTTGTGGTGCAGGGATCAGACCCACCAATGCAGATCCATGTTACCCTGTTATCTTTCAAGGTCAGGTATGGGACAATCCCTTCCATTCATTATATGGAGATAGAATATAATTGAGACAGAAATGAGAGTGAGAGGGGAAAATGCAGTTTTTGCATTTATCTACATACACCCCAGCCAGACAGTGTGGCAGAAAATGATGCTATCAGGTCACAACGAATGCCTTGCAGCTTTGCAGCATCACCCTGTGTATTGTTCCAGTCTTCTCATTATCTCCCAGATACACTCCTGATCTCGCCATAGGTAGATAATTTAATTTTAGAGTCATTTTGTTTGGCCATGCTGAGGTCTGCCTGAGCCTTTTTTTAAACATGTGGTGCGCATCCTTGATTCCCTCCCCTGTTTCCTAATTTTTTCAAGATGGTGATACATGGGAAGCCATTAATACCCACCAGAGAAGAAGGAGAGTTTCAATGAAATTGTAACATATTTTGATGGTGGATAGTAGCGCTGTTGGCTCCAACAAAGTAAAATATATTCATAATACCTAGGAGAGCTCCAAATGTGTGGAGTTCATTTTAACACACACACACACACACGTGTGCAATGGAAGACATATGGAAACGTTTGCCATCTTCCAAATATTGTACAAAACTCCCATATCAGCAAACATCCTAGGCCAGATTATCACAAGTCATGGCAAACTCTGGAAATACTTCCGTATGTCTTCAACGGCCTACAAACAGTGTTTTTGAAAGGTAATCCTTATAAATTTGCTCCATGGTTGCGTAGAGACTGCGTTAAGAAGCAGCCGTAAAAAAAACCAAGGGATGTTCTCACTTAGTCGTTGCTCCATTTCCCCATGGTTCCTTTCAATACGTGTACATGGCTTCTTCCCAAAGTAACCTTAATCCTTTATTGCGTGCAGTAGCTATTAAACTGTGGCTGTCCGCGGAGATCCCTTGCAAGCACCTCAGTCCTCCTTGGGATGCAGCACTGCAAGGAAGCAGATTTAAATCCCAAGGCTGTCACAGGTGCTGTGTCTCGATGGCAGCTTCTCAGGTAGCAAAGATGCAGGTGTGCGGATGAGAATCAGGAAGAAGTTAAAGATCGCACAGGGCTTTGCATCACAACAAATTGTTGGGGCTGTGCCAGAGCAGACAAGAAGGGCTGTTGCACACATAACACATAGATAACTTTTGGGATTCAATAATAATAATAATAATATTTTTTATTTATACCCCGCCCTCCCCAGCCAAGACCGGGCTCAGGCGGCTAACACCAGGTATAAAAACAATTGATTAAAATACATTAAAATACAGCCTCATTTCAGTAGAAACTCAAATAAAAAACTTTTGGGGCATGAAAATGTCAAATCTTCACCAAGGCTAACTATCCAGACTGGATATTTATTCATTAGCATGGCATGCCATAAAGCCATTTATTCATTAGCATGGCATGCCATAAAGCCACTTCCGACGTAGAAAGGAGGTGGGGTTGCGGGCTTCTCCCTCCCACCATGCACGTCGGGGCTGGCTCTCAGCCTCGGTGCAATTGAAGCAATCCCTGATCGGGTCATCCCCTGGCCAGCCAATCGGCTAGCCTGGGGGGCGTGGCCTGCTCCATTTAATGCAGGGACAGCCAGGGATCTCCTTCTTTGCCGCTTCCAGCTGCTCCAGTTTCCCACCCTTCCACCCTTTAAGGTTTTCGTCTTTGACCTTGCTATGGACCTCGGTTGGTCGCCGTTAAGGGGCCTGGTAGGAATTTTTTTCCACTTGGCAAATTGGCACCAGCCACTTGGTTTTTTGCCTACCTCGTAGCAAATCTTCACAACTTTCTTGGTATTGGCGGTTAGGCATTGGTATTGGTATTGTTATGTAGATGGAAGGGGGGGAGGAAGCGCCATCACCTCCCCTGCATATTGAAGGGTAGTCCGATAAAGGATTCTGGGGGGCATGGCCCTATCCGAAGCCTGTGGAGTTGAGTGCCTAAGGCATGCCCCTGAGCGGTGACCCTGGGGGAGTCCCTAGTTGATGTGCATCAGCAGGACTTCCCCTACTGGTGGTTAACCCTTCCTGGACTTCAAGCAGACGGGCTGGAGTCGGATATAGTCGGTTAGGACCAGTGCCTAAGCCAATATCGCTCATCACCTGTAACCAATAAATATCTGTGTCATGTGTCTTTATTTCCACTGGGGGGAGGCGGGAACTCACCACACAAGTGGAGTGGAAATGAGAATATGAGGATAAACAATAGCCCCCTGTTATTAGTCAGCAAATGTTAGCATATGATTTTGCTTTAAAATCACATTCTCCTTACGTTTCAGCTGATTACTTGCCATGGAAGCAGCCCAAAAGGGACATGATTAAGCCGCCACACACTTTCCGCCCAGCAGAAGATAAATTTGACTGTCGGACCACGCACCAGGATGAGTACCTTTACAAGGGCCCAGTGATTACAAAGAGCTGCAAACCTTTTAGATCGCCACACATTACAAAGATACCCTTAGACAGTATGACCAACTATAAGTTGAATTACGTGGCACACCCCTTGTCCAAACGTCACGCCCATGTCCCTGAGCCATTCAAGCCCAGCGAGGAGCCATTTGATGGTCTCACCACCCACAAACAGTCCTACAAAGGGCTGGCAGGGCCCCCCGCTCAGTCCGTGAAGCCCCCTTACGTGAGGCCGGACCTTGCCAATTTTGAGGGGACTACCGAATTCCGGGAAAAGTTCTTAGCTTGGCCAACGGCCCCACCGGTCAGCAGGAAGCCTGCCGCATACACACCGCCTAAGGAGAAGATGGACCTCAAGACGATGGCGCAGATTCATTACGTCGACCCTCACGGCCGCCCGGCAACGTCCTGCAAACCCCTGGCCCGTGTCGTGACCAACACAGATCCCTTCGACCACTGCTCCACCATGAAGGAGGATTATAAGCATTGGGACTATTCGAAACCGAAGGCCATTGTTCCTCACTGCGAGGTCACGTTGCCCAAGGTCCCCATGGACACCTTGACCACCTTCCAGAGCCATTACGTGCCTCACCCGCTTCCATTCACCAAGAGCTTCAAGCCCCGGCTGCCGGCCGCTCGGCCTCATGTCCCGTTTGTTGACGAAACCACCTACGCCACGTGCTACACACCCAAGAAAGTCCACATTTGCCCTGCCACGTACAAAGAGCCGCCCGGCTACGTATTTGAGAAGATCGATGAAGCAGGGCACAGGCGGTTCCGTCCTGCTACGGTGGCCCAGGACCGATGTGCGTCCAGTTTGAATATTGGGGACCGTAGAGGCAGTCTTCCTGGCGGCAGCTTCAGTCAAACGGGCCTCAAAGAGATTGCGATGAAAGCCTGATGTTTTTCGAGCTAGTTTTCAACACACCACTGAATTTATTCGTTGATGGATGGTATTGGTATCATGTTTATTTCCAGAGGCTTGTCGCCCTTCTGGTAGAGCTGAATAAATCTCTAACATTCTAGGAAAGCTCTCCTCCCCTGGTTGCATTATGACATTTTATTTCTGAAGCTGCCACCAGAAAACCATATGGCGCGATCCTCTGCATATCTACTTGGAAGTCCCATTGAGTTCAATGGCTCTTACTTGCAGGTACAGGTATGCAGTTTAAATTCATTAATCGTATGAGTCTGAACTGATTGATCAGGCAATTAATTGATCAAATCTATGTTTGCATGAAAACCACAGAGCCTAGGACTTGCCGATCAGAAGGTTGGCGGTTCGAATCCCTGCGACGGGGTGAGCTCCCGTTGCTTTGTCCCAGCTCCTGCCAACCTAGCATTTCAAAAGCACGTCAAAGTGCAAGTAGATAAAAAGGTACTGCTCCGGCTGGGAGGTGAACGGCATTTCTGTGTGCTGCTCTGGTTCACCACAAGCGGCTTAGTCATGCTGGCCACATGACCCAGAAGCTGTACACTGGCTCCCTCAGCCAGGCCAATAAAGTGAGATGAGCGCCGCAACCCCAGAGTCGACCACGACTGGACCTAATGGTCAGAGGTCCCTTTACCTTTATGTTTGCATGTGAGGAGAAAACAGTAATTCTCCAGGGGAAAAATGTTTTTAAAATTACGCATAGGCATGTCACAAAAGGGATCAGCGCTGGTGAGTCCTTGTTGCACACAGATGTGTGTGTTCTCTTTTAAAGTGATGATTGTAGTCCGGTTTTATATATTCAGAATAATGTTTTTTAAGGTCTGCTGCCCAATTAATTAGGGCTCCTTTTTTTAGTCAGCAAAATTTTTAAACTGATTAAACTAACCAATTCATCGACTAGGTACAGTGGTACCTTGGGTTAAGTACTTAATTCGTTCTGGAGGTCCGTACTTAACCTGAAACTGTTCTTAACCTGAAGCACCACTTTAGCTAATGGGGCCTCCCGCTGCCGCTGTGCTGCCGGAGCCCGATTTCTGTTCTTATCCTGAAGCACTATTTCTGGGTTAGCGGAGTGTGTAACCTGAAGCATATGTAACCCGAGGTACCACTGTAAAGGTAAAGGGACCCCTGACCATTAGGTCCAGTCGTGACCGACTCTAGGGTTGCTCATCTCGCTTTATTGGCCGAGAGAGCCGGCGTACAGCTTCAAGGTCATGTGGCCAGCATGACTAAGCTGCTTCTGGCGAACCAGAGCAGCGCACGGAAACGCCATTTACCTTCCCGCTGGATCGGTACCTATTTATCTACTTGCACTTTGACGTGCTTTCGAACTGCTAGGTTGGCAGGAGCTGGGACCGAGCAACAGGAGCTCACCCCGTCTTGGGGATTCGAACTGCCGGCCTTCTGATTGGCAAGTCCTAGGCTCTGTGGTTTAACCCACAGCGCCACCCGTGTCCCTCATCGACTAAGCGCCCTACTAATTGCTGCTGTTGCTACTGTTAATCAGGACTTCATTGCCAAAAGGGGAGGTGATGGGGCTCAGCTGTGCACAGAAGTGAATCTCTTTGACTTGAAAGTGCTGCACGGAATCATAAGAGTAGAGAGGGTCGTCTTGGAGCGGCCTTCCAGGATGCAGTTACAGCATCCCTGACCAATAGCTGACCCTCTGCTTAAATATCACCAGCGAATGAGAGTCCACCACTATTTCCCGAGGTGGCCTGCTCTGTTCATCCACTTGAGAAGAACTCTGCACATGCTCAGAGTCATGGTCCTTGTTAGTTCAGTTACTAGCCCAGGCACATTTTTACAACTTTATTCATTTGTGAGAAATTTATGTTGTAAAGGGAAGAGAATAACTTCAGGGCAGATCGACACCATACATTTAAGGCACATCCGACACACATTTTAAAAGGTTCTCCCAGAGAATCCTGGGAAATGTGGTTTGTTAATAAGGCTGGGAATTCTAGTTCTCCCAGGACATGTAGTCGTTATGAGGCTTTGCTACATATCCCAAAAACTGAATTTTGGCCCTAATAACAGCTTCCAGGCCTAGCAGTGACCAGCCCTGAGCCTCACTGCACCTGTGGTTTTGTTCTTAGCAATCCCAGGAGTTTGCAAGGTTGCCATGTGTCCTAAATCACAGGTGAGGGCCAATTTGTTTGAAGGGCTGCCCAACCGAAGCCCAGTTTAAGGATACGGAACCACCAAAGGCAGGGGGCTGGAGGTTGCCCATTTATTGTCAACACCTGGGCAGAAGAATGCGCAAGCACCCGAGTCACCTCCTCACACGATTCTGGTGAGTTGCATTTTTATTTCAAATTATAATAATTAATGCTAAATTGACATGCAAAGGGATGAAGTTTGGGGATAGATGACCCCAGGTCCAGTCCCAGGTAGGGGACTGCGGGAGAGCTGTCTCTAAAACCTCAGAGAGCCGCTGCCAGTCTATGTAGACGATTACACAGAACAAAAGAAATTACCGTGAAAATCCCTGAAACGAGAAGTAATTGACTATAGAATAACAAAAATCAAAAAATAAACTAGAATTAAACAAAAACTTAATGAGATGCTGGCTACAAAATTCATTTCACTGAACTAATCAGTTTCCTCAGAAGGAAATAAAGAAATTATAAGATTGTAAGTGATATCAAACAAGCTCAAGAGCCCTATTTAAGAGAATCGAGCAGTAGTGATAAGAAATTGAGGTTTTAAAGTTTCAAACAAACTCAAAAATAGGGCAGAGACTCAAACAAGTTTTGAACATAGCCCTACTGAGAAATTGAGGTTTTAAGTTTCAAACAGACTCAAAAACAGGGCTGAAGCGCTCCTGACTGTTGATGTTAAAGAATGATATAGGGTGATCCCAATCACAGGTTTTTATACTGTAAGGTGAAAGAATTTTTAAAGGGACAGACCATCTAGTTCAAACATAGGGCGTGGTTGCCAAAGTTTGTAAAGAATAACAAGAATATTGTTTAAATAGAGTTATAAGAGATTACAATAAGGAACTAAAGTCAATATAAGAGTTGAGACCTGATGGAATTAAGGAACCAAATCTAAAATGATAAACCATCTGAAATCCGTTCCCTTATGTTTGGTTTCTAAGAAATGAGAAGTAAGAGGTGCTTCCATCACTTTATTATGAATACGATGGTTTATCATTTATAAACATCAAACTCCTGAGATAAATACGGATATTTTAAGAAAGAAATTACTACAGAAGGAAATGTATTGGATTTTTAGATTGCTCGATTCTCTTAAAGCCCTGTTTTTTGAATTTGAAGTAAGTTTTTGAAGTAATTCTATAGTCGATTACTTCTCGTTTCAGGGATTTTCACGGTAATTTCTTTTGTTCTGTGTAATTTCTTGGTGTCTTTTTTCCACTAGTCTGTGTAGACGATGGCAGAACTAGAATTAGCCTCCTGACAAACAGTTTCTAGCCAAATGTGATTTTGGTTTTAAACGCAGTATAAGGAATCTCTATGGGAGTATATTGTATTTAAAAATGGGGTATCAGAGTTTTTAGGGGGCTAACCAGGCTGGGATAGCAGGCTTGTTGGTTTTTGCATGTCTTGTGTAGATTTTTCAATTTCGTTGTTCTGTATGGGACAATGACAATAAAGATTATCGTATCGTATCAATCTCACTTGACACAAGGCCTATGGAGGGACAGTGTGGTGTACTGGTTAGAGTGTTGGATTAGCACCTGGTGGAGACCAGGGTTCAAATCTCCACTTAACTCGTTGGGTTTTCTTGGGCCAGTCCCTGTCTCTTAGCTGGACCTGCCTCGCAGGATTCTTGTGAGCATAAAAAGTGGAGAAAAAGCCCTGTGGGGCACCTTCAGCTCTTTGGAGAAAAGGTGGGATATAAATCAAGCAGAAGAATAAAATATACAGTGGTACCTTGGTTCTCAAACGCCTTGGTACTCAAACAGCTTGGAACCCAAACACTGCAAACCCGGAAGTGTGTGTTTCGGTTTGCGAACTTTTTCCGGAAGCCAAACGTGATCCATTGCCATACTTCCGTTTTGAGAGTTACACTGAGGTCTGTCTGTTTTTGCTATTTATTTTGCATTTTTGTTTTTGCAGCTCTTTTTTGTTTGGTTTTTGTGACTGTGTGGAACCCAGTTCAGCTACTGATTGATTGATTGTGTGACTGCAGTACATTGTTTATTGCTTTCATTTTATGGATCAATGGTCTCATTAGATAGTAAAATTGGATAGTAAAATTCATGTTAAATTGCTGTTTTAGGGGTTGTTTTTAAAAGTCTGGAATGGTTTAATCCATTTTGCATTACTTTCTATGGGAAAGCGCACCTTGGTTTTGGAATGCTTTGGTTTTGGAACGGACTTCTGGAACAGATTAAGTTTGAGAACCAAGGTACCACTGAACATGAAAATCAAGATGCATATCAGTGTTGTTTAAATCTGTGCCCTCTTTTTGGAGATTTACATAAGTGGCCACTGGAGGCACTTACTCAGGCAGGAATCTGATATCCCAAACCTCTTTCTGTGGGGAGTATTAATTGTCCAAAATTTCCTGGTTATATGGCAAGTCTGGAGAACATCACCATTTTATATATTCTGCTTAGTGGAAATCGTGGCTCATGCATTCAGCCTTAGTTTTGCTTAAGGGGGTTTGCAGCAACTGTTGGTTTTCAAACAGCTTGGTTCTCAAATGTTTTGGCTCCCGAATGCCGCAAACCCAGAAGTGACTTTTCTGGTTTGCAAACTATTTTTGGAAGCCGAACGTCTGACGGGCATCCGTGGCTTCTGATTGGCTGCAGGAGCCATGCTTTGGTTTCTGAATGGACTTCTGGAACTGATTCCATTCGACTTCCAAGGTACGACTGTATTTGGTCCTCCTGGCTATTGGTTAGCCATTCCCTGGTTTCTGGCTCAGGAATCTTTCCTCCTGGGTGCAGTCATACTTGATCTGCTATGATACGTCTCAGCAAGTTAGCTTTCTTTCTTAGGTAAAGGTAAAGGTACCCCTGACCATTAGGTCCAGTTGTGACCGACTCTGAGGTTGCAGCACTCATCTCGCTTTATTGGCCAAGGAGCCGGCGTACAGCTTACGGGTCATGTGGCCAGCAT